ATATAAATATCTTAATATTTCCTTTTACTAATTCTATTTCTAGGTATTCTTTTAAGGTTATTAATTCCTTTTTATTAAGGTTATAAATCTTCTAGAATAATAAGTTATTTATTTTAAGCTATATTTTATAATCCTAGTAGTTATATTATAATATCTTTATTTTAAGTTTTTCTCTAAATAGTTTCTTATAAATATAATATTCCTCTAAAATATTCTTAAGTCTATCTTATTATTTTTTTTCCTTAATCTTTTTTTATAGCTTTAATTATTTATTTAGGTTATATAGCTAGGTTCTAAGGAGACCTAGGATCTAATAGTTTTATTATTTCTTACCTTTTATATATTTATATTATACTCCTATTAAAGGTAATAAAGTCTTTGCTTTATACTTTCCTTTATTATCCTCTTTAGTTAAGGTTTAAGATCTCTTATTATTTATTATAATTATTTTATTATTACTATCTATATTACTAGGAATAATAACTTAACTAGTTAGCTAGTTAATATTTAGGTTTACTTATTTAAGCTAAGGTATATTAAGGAGGATATCTATTAATCCTAATAGTATAATATTAAAGTTTACCCCTTAATTTCTTCCTTATATAAAGACCTTAAGGTAATTAACCTCTTAGTTTATAATACTATTATTATAATTAAAGAGTTATCCTTCTATATTAATTATTAGATAAGATAATTACTTCTTTCTTTATAGTATTTTAAGCTTTATAACTATTTTTAAATTAATAAAGTTCTTTTTAGCTCTATAGTTAATCTAAGTATTTAGCTATCTCCCCTTAATTTAAACTTTTAATACTAGGTAATCTAGCTTATTATCTTATATAACTCCTAAGGTATTTATTAGTCTAAGTTATTCTTATTCTTATTCTTTGCTTTTCTATAGCTTAGTTTTTATAAAAAGTATATTACTTTTCCTAAGCTATTAAAATATATTAGTTTATAGTCTTTATTATTATTTTTAATTCTTATATAATATTTTATATTATCTCTTAAATTATATTTATTATTACTTAATTTATCTTCTAAAGCTATTTCCTTTATTTTATTTTCTTAGTATTTTTTCTCTGCTTTATAAATATCTTTTCTTTACTATTTATAAGCTTCCTGCTCTTATTTAAGTTCTTTATAGCTAATATACTATTAGGCAGTAAACTCTTTATTATATAGTTATTATTATAGGTATTTCTTTAGTTCTATATCTTATATATAATATGAGGTTACTTAGGTAATATATTCTTTATTATTATATAGGTATAACCTATTTATTTCCTATTATACTTATAGTTCCTTAATAGCTTCTAAGTTTATATTACTTATAGTTAGCCATTTTATTAGGTAGTTAATTTATTTATTATTAATTTACTTCTTTATTAGATAGTTATATTATCTATTATTAACTTATTCTTAGTACTTTCTTTTTTATTCTTAGATTTTATTTATCTTATAAGTATATTTTCCTTAAGTTATTTCTTTAAACTCTTTTTTTGCTTTTTTAATTATTTATTATAACTACTTAATTCCTTCTAAGAGGTCCTTAGTCTTATAAATCTATTAGTAATAGGGTATATTAAAGTATAATTCTGCTACTCTAAGGTTATTATATTATATATATATTAGGTATCCTTTTATTTTATATTCTAGGTAAGGTTTATTATTTAATATACTAGGTATTATTACTAGAAAATAGTTATTATTTATTTTTTCTTACTTATATCTTTTATACTAATAGTTCCTATATAATACCTAAGATATTTTATTATATTAAAGGTATATTAGTATAATTTATATATTATCCTTAGTATTAAAAGCAGGTTCCTTATATAAGGGGTTAAGTATATTATTAATATAATATACCTTAATATAAATCTTATTTCCTCCTTTAGTATCTTTATATTCCCTGGCTCCTTATATATAGAAGTCTTCTTATATCTTATATATCCTTATTCTAAATTTATTATACTTTAATTAGTATTCTTTTATTTATTTCTTTATAATTTATTTATCTTTAAGGCAGAAGTATTATATAATTATTTATATTACTTTTCCTTTATATCCTATTAATTAGGAGTTTCTATATTATTTTTATTAGATACTATTTCTAGCTTTAATTTCTTTTTTTTATATTTCTTTTTTATCCTAAAGTCTAGTTTTAATAAGGATATTATCTATTATCTAAGATAATTAGGCTTATTTATTTATATTAGGGGTAATTATTTTTCCTTTCCTAATAACTCTAAGGATTTAAGGTTCTCTAAGTTTTTATTTTTAGTAGTTTTCTTAGTATTAAGTATTTTCTTTAGCTTAGTATATAAGGTTATTTTCTTACCTATCTTTCTTTAACTAGTAATAGGCTACTTATTATTCCTTAAATTTAATACTTCTTATATCTTTAGTATATTTTCCTTTACCCTTAGTTATAATACCTTTTTTTATAGCTTCTATATAGGTAAGAAATAGGTCTTATAGCTCCTTAATTAAGTTATCTAGGTATAAGATTTACTTTAGTTTCTTTATTTCCTTTAGGCTAGTAGTCTTATACCTACTTCTAATAACTCTAAGGACTTAGGGTTTTCTAAGGTTATTCTTTTTTATATCTTTTTTTTTTTATTATCTTTCTTATTATTTTTATTATTTATATACTTTCTTTTCTAGGTCTTATATATATTTATAGTAATATTAGTAGTTTATTTTATTTCTTTTAACCCTTTATTATTCTTTTTTTTCTTTAGTTAATACCTTAAGTTATCTTCCTAGTTAAAACTTAGGCTCTAATTCTATAAATTTAATTATATTATTAAGGATTACTTTATAACTACTCTAGGTTATCCTTAGTATTTAGGTATAAATAATTATTTAGGGGTCTTATTATTTAATTAGTCCTAAGGTTTACTTACCTTAGTTTAGGTTTTATAGTTTATATAATTTAAGGTATTTATATATTATATATTTAAACTAATTATAGTTATAGTATTTTATTTTAGATATATCTTAGGGCTTTCTAAGTCTCTTATTCCCTTATTATATAACTCTAAGTATTATAAGTCCTAGTTATATTTTAGATATAGTATTAACCTAGTAGTTACCTTATTATAGGCCTTAGTTTTAAGAGTTACTATAGTTATTATTTTATCCTTAATTAAGATAGTATAAGTTAAAGTTATTTCTTTTTTCTTTCCTTAATTTAATAGCTTTCTCTCTTTTATATTTATATTATTATTTATTTATTTTAATTACTATAGTTATATACTTATTTAGGGTTTTAGGTCTATTTACCTTATATAATTTATCCTTAATTTCTTCTTTTAATCCTCTATAATAGATCTTTATAAGGGTATTATTATCTTATTAAGTCTTAGCTATAAGTTACTTAAATTTTATAGAATAAGCTATATAAGATTTATCTTATTAAATCTTTATAATATCTACTACTACTTATTATTCCTTATTAATTACTTTAAAATTATTTTTAAAAGTAATTTTAAAATTATCTTAGTTTATAAAGATATTAATTATTTCTTAGTCTTAAATAGCTTTATTATCTTTATTTTCTAGAAAATCCCTAAGGATAGGTTTAAACTAATCTTATATATTACCTTAGATTAATAGTATTATAAAAAGTACCCTAGCTTTAATATTAAATAGTTTAGTTAGGAATAAGCTAAAGTATATTTTTATCCTAGTAAGAAAGGGTATTATATCTATTATCTATCCTCTAAAGGGTTTTAGCTTAGGTAATTTAAGTAATTTACCTAGATCTTATCTTATATAGATAGTAAGTGCTAGGTTAAGGGCTATAGCTACTTATTTATTTACCTAGGTTTATAGGTAATTAATTATATTATATAATATAATAATTTCTATAATTAGTTTAATTATATTAGGTAGTCCTTTATTATAAGAAGGTATTAAATTATTATTAATATTAGTATTTATAGTATTAGATATATTAATAATATAATATTACTTAGTTATTTAATATAATATATTTTAAATAAGAGCTATTAATATATAATAAAGGTAGTTTTAAATAGGGAAATTAATTTATATTAGGTTTATATTTATAAATAATATAAGGCATTAATACTAAGTAGGTTAATTATTATATCTTTTAATAATTAAATAATACTTATTAGGCTTATTAATATAAAGAAGTCTTATTAATAGCTAATAAGCTAGAGTTTATAAAATACTAATAAATATAATTTATATACTAAAGGTAATCTATAAGGATTACTAAGGTAATTAGATTATAATAATCCTAGATTATAAGAGTTCCTAGAATATTATAATCCTATTTATAAGGTAATCTAGCTCTTATTAATTTATACCCATTAAGGGGCTAATGCCTTATATAAGTTTTTATAAGGTATATATAATATAACTGCTAAGGTTATAATAACTTAGATAAAACTTAGCTTACTAGTTATTAATAAGACTTCTTTATATTAATAAGCCTAATAAGTATTACTTAATTATTAAGAGATATAATAACTAACCTGCTTAGTATTAACGCCTTATATAAACTATAAATATAAACCTAATATAAATTAATTTCCCTGTTTAAAATTATCTTTATTATAAGTATTACTTAATTATTAAGAGATATAATAACCTACTTAGTTTAATATCTTATATTATTTATAAATATAAACCTAATATAAACTAGTTTCCTTATTTAAAACCCTATTTATTATATTAACCTACTTAGTATTAATACCTTATATTACTTATAAATATAAACCTAATATAAACTAGTTTTCCTATTTAAAACTATATTTATTTTATAATATTACTTAATTAATAACTAACTAGCCTGCTTATTAAGAAATTAAATAAAATAAGAAGTAAGGCTAATATAATAAAAACTTAAAATAAATAAAATAAAAATAAAACCTTATTATAAAATTCTTTTTTTAAAAAATTATAAGAATATTATTAAAATTACTTAATTTACTTAAAGATAAGTTTAATTCTATATAATAACTAGGCTGCTATTATATTATCTTAGTTAATAATAATATTAATTATTATTAAAGTTTAACCTTTGCCTTTAATAAAGTAAGGGCTTTAATACTATTCTGGTTTATGATTAGAGATATTAACTCATTACTCAGGACCATAACCTCAAGACCTTTTGCCTCGCCATGCCCATGAGATCCACGACACGCCTTCTTTGCTCTTGAGTAATAGTCATGGGCCAGATAATTAACGCCCAAGAGCTGGTAGAGGCGACCAAGATTGTAGTATGCCTCGGCCTTGGTCCAAGTCCCTCTCTCCGTGGCTCCTGGCTGTCCCAGCTCAACATATCGCGACAAGTAGGTCTGGCCTTGCAGTAGCAGGTATTGGCGGTTGGTCGATTGTCGCTTGAGGCCATAGTGAACATATGCCAGTCCTAGACTCAGATTCACCATGGGATTCTCAGGGTCCAGGGCCAGCGATCGTAAAAAGTAGCCTGAATCTAGGAGTAAGCAACTTCACAATGACGAAAGAGATGGTTCTCCTACCTAATGCGTATGTGTAGCTTGTCGACGTAAAAAGAATGTGGCCATAAAGCATAAGGACACATGCATCAAGAACTGTCTCCCCGTTCTCTCTCCTTTCGGAATTGGTCTCATCGCCGGTGTAAGCCTCGTCCATAGCCTTGATCTGTCGGAGAATGTACTTCTGTGCAGGCCCTGACGTATACCAGGATACAGGAGATTGACATAGGTTGGATAGTAAGGCGAACATTCGATATGAATCAGACGTGGCACCGTCTCTCATCAATTGGCGAGCTGTCGCGATACACTTCTCCTCATCGCTCGTATAAATGGCGCAGACTGGCTCAATCAGTAACTCAAATCAACAATGTCATGACTGCTTAACTCACCGCTCCATGCCACATGAATCATAAAGCCATGCTCTGGGGCTTGAAAAGCAGTCGAATCTCGGGCAGCTTCGCACACTTGATATGCTTCGTCGCGTCGGTGAGCAATAGCCAGGCCAATAGCGTAATCCAAAAACAAGTCAAGCCAGTTGTTGAAGGAAATTCCTTGGTGGGCATCGGGCTTTGAGGTCCCGTCGTCTCGGCCTTCGCTTCCTGGCTGTGGAGCAAGGGCTTTTGAAATTCATGTTAGCATATAAAACATTTGACGAATCGAACGAGTGAAACTCACTCCTGGCAAGTCTCTCGTACATCTGTGAAAGCTCGTTTTGCGGTTTATCGGCTTCCTGCTGTTGCAAATGGTTCTTCGGCCCCAGGAAGTGCAAATACTTATCCCAGGTGTAGAATTTCTTGATCGATCGAAACTCGTCCACAAGCTCCTTCGACGAAGCCATCCAAGTTGGAATCAGGTTGTGTTGCCCTTCTTTGATCTTTTTACGCAGATCTTGCACAATCTCGTACTGTTCAGTCAGCTTCATGGCACGAGCTTGCTCCTCTTGTCGGCGTTTATCAGCACCGGCTAGTCGTTTTGGTCGATATCGTCGTGGAATAAGCCGCTTTCCAAATGCATCTGTTCTTCGAGGAACTGCCTGGGCTCGTCGCGGAGCCCGACGACTTGGCTGCTCTAGGTCTGTGATAGAGTCTTGATGGCCTTCTAGGTTTTGATCTCGAGCTTGTCGGAGGGCCATTGCCTCGGCTGCTAGGATGAGAGCTTCTTCCTCCTCTCTAGCCTTCTCGTACATGTTAGCCAGTTCGATACGGGCGTCAATGTTGTCTTCATCAGCGTCAATGGCAGCGAGAAAATACTCCTCAGCTGTGGCCGTTTCTCCAACTGCCGAATAGCATCGTCCCAGTTGTAAAAGAATGGTTGCATCAGCATCACCAGGTAAATCGCGGAGTATCTGATAGTATGAAATTGCCAATGGTGTATGGCCACGATGGGCCAACTCTTCAGCCAGGTCGAACGTTAGAAAGGGAAAATCGCCAGCAAATTCTCTCGTGAGAATCGATTCCGGCTCAAACCACAGCAGATGCCTCTGTTACCAAAGGTTAGCCATAATCGTCAGAATTAAGTTGGACCTTACCATTGCCTCGTCCTCGTCACCCAGCCGAAACCTGTATATTGCCAATCGAGCACGCAGGTCCCAAGGAAACGACTGGCCATAGGTGTCAGGACTCCAAACACCTGCAGTGAAATTCGGGACAGCAGCCCGTCGTTCGTCGTCCAAGTCCCATTCGCGATCGTCAGAAGTCCATTGGTCCCAGTAGTCTTCTGCCTCTCGACCCAGTAGCCATCGAGAGAGTGACTTGGATTCTTGTATAGCTTCTTGATAACGTCCTGTCGATGCAAAAAGTTCCACGTAAATTCCAATATCATGCCATGGAGCTTCCGTGATCTCCATCTGCGGCTTCGTCCTTTCATGATCAAAGAATCGTTTATAGGCTGCGATTGCGCTCGGAACAGCGGCCTCGGCTTGTTTATTGTCAACACAAGCCTCAGCAAGTTTTCTGACGATTTCAAGGTCGTAGGGTCGATGCTCCAGAACAACTTTGTAGTCGGAGATGGCGGCTGCAAGATGGCCCTGTCTGTGACAAACCAAACCTTTGCCCAAGCGAGCATCGATATTCGTGTGATCGGCTCGCAGCGCCGCAGAATAGCAAAGTCTTGCGGTGTTGAGATTTCCGGCTTCGTCATCTGCAACGTTCTCAAGTGCGAATGATGCGCACTGAAGCCAGCCGTTCACATCCTTTGGGCGGAGATGAGCAGCATAAACCATCGCTGATAACGATTTGCCCATGTCACCTTGCTCACGGAAAATCGATGATAGAGTCGTCCATGCTTGGTGCGTTTCAGCATTGATTCTGATGACTTCAAAAACAAGATCCAGTGCTAATGAGTAGTCGCCACTCAGGAAAGCTTGGTTTACTTTGGATAGTCGTGCTGTAATGTCTCCTCGAGGTTTTGCTGCTTTCCGTGGACCTCGTGCTCCTTTTCCTCGCAGGAGGCCACGGGCCGCAGGTGAGGCATCATTCTCACCCCGTTGATCTGCCAAAAAGGTTCGAACAGTCTCGTCTAACTTTGCGATATCTCCCTCCAGCTCCTCCAAGTCAGAGTCTGCATCTGAGGCGTTGTCTTGTTGCCTGCTTTCAATCAGTATATTCATGTCTCCAACGAGAAGTGATACCGACCTTTCCATCGTGTTTGCTTCTCGATTTGAAGCAAATTATTACGATGTGGACATTACCTTGTTGGACAAAGATGGTGTGTCTGGTGCTAGTCAGTAACTTAGAAGAGGTCGCGACGTTGACAAAGATGGGATGGCTGTGGCGCCCTCCAAAGTGTGGCGTACTACGGCTGTCAGCACGTGACAGAAACAAGCGCACAGAACCAATCTTGGGGAACGACAGATGCTAGAGCACGTGGATGATAACGTGTGCATTCTTATTTTGTCTGTCTGCCTACCCAGGCGTGATATGCCATTCGACTTGAGAGTGATGAATCAGTAGCCATCATACAATGATGACTCTTTAGTTCATTTGTTGAATGAGCCTCCTACTATCACATGCCGCAGGCTCCATTCATACAAATCCTACAAATGAAACGTATTACTTCAAGATGGGGGAAGGGTCATCGATGCAAAATAAGACCATGTATCAAGGTCTGTCGATCAAAAATATGGCAGAAATGCAAGGTGGCTGCCGACCAAAAGAGTCATAGAAAGCACAAATCATTATCACGAAGCCATCTGGACAAGGATGAGGTGAATAAACCTTGGATATGCAAAATAAGGCAAGACGTTACTATCAACAACATGATCTCGTGGAAACTCATGAGTTTACGCACTCGAACTATTAATTTTGATCCTCAGCAACCTTCCATCTTGGTGTAAAATACTAAATCGAGTCTGTAACAGAATTGTAACAGGGCTGTAACCCATGTCCAACACAATGTGTGCAAAGTTGAACCACTTAACGTCCATTTTCGCAGGTCTATATATGGGCATGCCCGGTTGTGGTGATTCTAGCCCAGTTTTCCATCGGCCTTGGCTTCTGCGACATCATTAGTACATGATCTCAAACAACTCTAGCTTGAAAGCGCTTACCCTTGACCTGTTCAAAAACCTTGAGCATCTTTCGGCGTGCACCGAGCGCGTTGACACCACGCTCTTCCAGGGCCTTGTCGTCCAACTCGATAAGGTCTGTCCACTTCATATCCTTGAGATTATCGGTGTACTTGTGAAGGCGAAGACTGCGGAGCCAGCTGGGGATATCCTGCAGAAGGGTTGGGTCGGTAGGGTCCTCGGGAGGCTTGGAGCTGCCTCGTCTCCCACGAGGAGATCGTCCACGAACCATGTCCGAATGATCAGATAAGTAGCCCTCGTGACCAGGCATCCCAAGGCCTCCCAAGTTGACCGGTTGCATACCGCCAGTAATCAATGGCGAGGACACATCGTACGCACTAAGGAATCCATTGTTCTGCGGTGAAGTGAATGGTGCCATATGAGGCACTCCAGGTTGCATGGCAATTCCAGGAGAGCTGGGACGAGAGCGCTGGCCACCCAAACCAAGGTTTTGCTGCGCCTGAAGAGCCATGAGCTGTTCTCTACTGAGGACTTGACCATGCTCATTGATCATGACAACGTTCGTGTTTGGGAGGTTGATTCCAGGCTGTGGACCAGCGGAGACAGGATTCTGTCCTGGCGTGCCGTCATTGGACCTAGTTCGGCGGTACTTGCGCACGTCGTCCAACGCGAATCGGTTGTTGACTGTCGACAAAGCTGCGAGTTTCATGGCAGTGGCGTTGGCAACCATATCGGCCTGGTTACCTCCGGTGTTGGCTGTGTTGAAGGTGCCGGTCATAGGAGTGTTGACCATTGACGCCCAGTTGCCGCTGCCAGCATTGTACGGTGAAAGCAAAGGCAAGTCCCCAGGATTCTTATCCGGGGCAGTCAGAGTCGTTTGCTGGATCGTATTGTTGCTTGACAATTGCGGACGCGGAGAGCGAAGTCCACCAGACGGTGTCGGCTGTACAAACTGGCCCATAGGGGCCTGAGCAGAGGGTGCCTTACCAGAGTCTGCGTTCCCGCCACTATTCCAAGGCGAAGAACTAGCAGGTCCAGCATCACGGCTATCCTGGGGCGCACTGATAGACGGAGCAGCCATGGACGAACGATGATCCAAAGCGGCACTGTTGCGGTTCGAGGAGGGCGGGTTTCCAGTCTGCTGAGTGAACTTGGCCTTCTCTGTGGCAATGGCTGCCGCAGCATCAGGGAACATGGCGCTGATGGTAGAGGGGTCGAGTCCCGAATGTCGCTTATTGGATGGGGCGATAACCGAGTTACGGGCCATGGAATTACGGGCAGAGTCGACGTTGAGCTTGTTCATTGCATCACTGAGACGGTTCGACATAGGGTCTGGGAAAACTGTACGTTAGAGGTGAATCAAAGCTTACATTGCCAACGAACATACCTTTGTCGAAGCTGGCAGGGGACAAAACCCCTGACATGGGATGATTCTTTCCCATTTGCTGGAGCACCTGGATGAAAAAGCGAATCTGAACCTGAGTCGTCTGCTGCAAGAGGGCATACAAAGCGGCGGTGCGTTCAGCCTCGCTCAAGACACGGAACCATTGCTCGATGGCACTGAGCTCGTCCTTGAAGTCCTGGTCCAGAGTAGCAGCAGCCATCTCTTCCAGCGTCGTTTCGTACTGATCAATGTCGGCAATCCACTGCTGGGCAATCTTGTCCTGAGAGTCCGATTCGGCGTTGTTGGGGCCAAGGTTCTGCTGAGCCTGCCCATAGAAATCGGAGGAAGGTCGAATGCGGCTGGAGGGGGAAGGGCCAGTTAGGGACGCCATGTCGGCCGAGGCGCGAAGTGAATGGCCAGAACCAACGGCTCGAGAAGACGGTGGCCGCAAGGTCGAGGTGCTGTTGGCCTCGGGCGTGCTGTTTCTGTTTCCGATGACGTGGTTTCCAGACATGTTGAGCATTATCGAGGGTCGGTGGTTTCGAACGGGTTATTGGTAGTAGTAAATAGCGACGAGCGCAGAATGTGACGTTGGCAAGCAAAGATGTTACAAGAATCGTCTCTCGACTCCTGCAGTGACCGGCTGACCTCAAAGGAGCTTAAGACTTGAAGCAAGGCAGGGAATTTAGAACATTATCTGCCAAACGACGAACAGTGCTGCGAGTACCAATGTCAGTAGGTAGCCCCTTTGTTGAAAAGACTTCCAAGCTGGTACGACAGTCTTGGAAGACGTAGAAGGAGAAAGCAGAAGCAGCGGAGAGAGGGGAGGCGTCATACCAGTATAAACGACACCTAGGTAGGTACAGGTAGTCAAAGAAGGGACGAAGTCTGCTTCCAGGCAGGCCACAGAAATCCTGATTAAATCCCGCCGACGTATGAAGTAAAGGACCGGCGTCCTCTAGAGGTTGGCTCGTCAAGGACAGAGGGATGATCGGAAGCAGAAGAGAATGCCTTCGTGTTCCGATAACTTAGCACCTAGCCTACTACGAAGGCCTCAGCCCCTGGGCTTACCTAATCGGGGAGTGTGTGCCCGCCCGCCAAGGGCTCACGGGCCTATCGGTAGCAGAAAAAGGCCATTAATCCTTGCCAATAAACATTGTTGCCTCAGGCGCTGTTCGGGTTTCGAAGTGGCAAAACGTTTTGGTTATCAGTAGCCATGATCGAAACGGAGGTAGAGTCTCCCGGAAAGGTCTAGTTAAGTTGGAGATAGCTCAATTAGGAACCAATCCTCTTTTACAAGAACTATCTACGATGTATACCTATACTGATTACTGGTACATAGTGGGCAATTGAGGCGATGAGAAGGTACGAGATGGGTACTATAGATCTATCACAAGGTTGAGACATGAATAGAAACACTCTCTAGCAATGATCGAACGACAGGTTCAGCGATAAAGCATTTGAAACAGGGGGCATGGTGCAGCTCAAAATTCAGGGTACATGACCACTACTAGCGAGTCACAAGAATAGGTAGGTCAGCGACTCGACTAACGATACATGGAACAGATTAGGGCCTGGACAGCATGTCACGGACAAATTCACTGCATATTGGACCTTGTAGTATGGAGTTCAGGTAGAAGTTTTTCCGTCTACTACCTCATGTCCCTGGGATGGAAACCAAGCAACATGCTTTACTCGGGGCCATCAAAACGTTGAACGCCGGGACGGGACCTGTCGACATCCACCATCTTCTCGTCGGGCTGGCCGCATGGTATGTATTTCCATCGTTTCATTTTGCGTGAGTTCTATCGTTTGTGTGCCGTAACCGAGCAATGCGAATGCTCCAAATTGACGCCTCCGTTTTCCTTTGCCGATATCTTAGACAGTCTCGCGCTTGCCCTCCTTAGCCTCCTTCTGTAGATCTTGTTAGCCAGATGTTTTCGTGCGCGGACAAATGTCGCTTCATTCGGTGGGTGCGTTTCGTACCAGGGCCTTCATGTTGCCGTGAAGAGCATGTCGGTGGTTTCGTCGGAACTTGGGGTCGGTACCCTTGAGAGAGGGGTAACGAGAAGTCTTGGGCTTCTTGATACTGCGCAGGAGTCAGCGATAGTCGACAATGTTGGGGAATTCGATATAATTACCCGTTCCTGTGCGCCTTGCGCGACTGGTTGTGCTGGGAGCTGTTCTTTGACTCTGAGACAATGTCAGTGATCTATGAATCTCCCTTGAAGTGTTCTCTGAGGTTGCACGTACTCGCCATTGCTGCTGATTGATTCCCTGTGTCGACGGAGACGGATCACGAAGTTGCGAGGAGAAAGCTGGAATTGTGTGCGATTACAGCCTCAAGCCCTAGAGGGAATCGTTGTGGGGCATTTTTGCTGACATAATTCTGCGGAGGGCAGGCTTGCACGTGCTGAGCTCCACCTTGGATCTGAGCCAGAATCACTGACTGCTCTGGTCTAAACTGGTGTTAGTATCTGTACAACAAACCGAAATGGATGTTGAGTTCATTTATGGCGGTTTACGTTGAGAAGAAAACAGTCAGTGACATGATACACTTGCAGATGATCCTCTGCTACTGGCATATAGGAAAACTCCTTTTATTCTGCTGGCTGTCTCATGTCTCTGCTCCGAGTCGACACTAGAAGGTGTCAGGAAAGCCAGAGGAACATCAGCCATGGTGTTCACCAACTTATCACCAGTATTCAACTCTTTGGATTTAATGTTTAATGGTCTGTATTGCTATATGCTATAATTGGTTACAACGCAGGTTGAAGGTTTTCCATCATCAGGAGGAATAGTGCGCGCTTATTACTATCGCAAAACGTCCAAACATAAAACACCAATCCGTTTCTATTCCCAAATTGCAGAATTTCATTATCCCAAACACCGATGCTGTTTCTAAGGATCAACCGTTCACTACCTATGCTGTTGTGACGGGTTTGGCCGCAACGCTGTGTGCGGCGGCTGCAGCTGCTGTCTTCTCAGCTGTCTTGCTGAGTTTCTGAAGGCGGATAGACTTGATATATCGGATCAAAAGGACGAACATGAGCTCAACCCTGCATAACAAAGTCAGTCGCTGCGAGTAATTGGGTGTCAAGGGGTGGATCGTACCTCTCCTTTGTGGTCATAAGGATGCCTTGGACGATGAGCCCCTTCAAGATCTGTGGTCCAATACCCTTGAAAAGACCCAGTACACCTTCGTGCTCAATGATGAACTTCATCACCTCAACAAAACTGGTGAAGGGCTTGCCATTTCGGGCCGGTGGAGGCTTGGACTGGAGACCAACTTTGGCCACGATAAGGGGTTGAGTAGCGAGGGTTGCAAGCGCCTTAGACATGGCACCCAGTACTACCAACAACAGTTAGCACATGCACGTGTACAGATAGATCATTCTTGATGGAAACTTACAGAATGCTTCGGCTGGTCTCAGGTTGGTCTTGCCAGGGTAGAGGACGTCCTTTAGTCGCTCGTATGCGCCATAAGTGATGGCAGGGTTGACAACAAGGACGAGACTGGCCTTCAGACCGCGCCAGAGACCTGAAATACCATCTGGGCCATCAATGACCTCACGAGCGGTGTCTATGAGACCTTTGCGGTCGCTTTTGCTTGCCGTCTGCTGGCGCGTGGTGACAACAGCAACAGGAATGGTAAAGACCTGGGCAATGGCTCCGGCGACAGCACCCAAAGCGAGTTCGACCACGGTAGACGGGTGCACGTCTGTCTTGCGAGACTTGAAATATAGGGTCCTGACAATGGTGTACCAGTAGAAGTAGGCAAAGTTGGTTGAGGCGACACCAATCAGAGAGCCATTCATGCCAGCATAGAGGCCCTTGATTCCATCATCGGCGACAATACGCGAGATGGCATCCCATGTCGAGGTGTAGTGTGGTTCGTCGGACGAGGAAGGGCCTTTGGAAGGATCGGGCTTGACTTGAACTTGAAGACGAGTCTTGACACTATTTGAGAGTCAGTTTTCATGTATAGTACGAGACAAACACCATGTCGAAATATTCAACTTACATATCAAGGGGGTAGACCAGCGCGTTCGCAAGAACAGCACCCGTAGCTCCAGCGACAGCGCGGCCCCAGGGGGAGATCTCAGGCTTTGATTGCGCAGCCATTTTGGACGAGCTGTGAACAGATAGGAGATATTGTTCAAGTGCGGGATGGGGAAGAGGAAGAGACACAGCTCACTCTAAATGTCTATTCTATCGCGATGTTGTACTTCCTGGGCCGGTCCATGATTATCTAGGTACCTTACCTTAGACAAAGATTAAACGGTCCGCTACCGGTTCGGGGCCGAGGTTCGAGTCTACCGGTCTCGGCAGATTTGGTGGGCCCCCGCCTGTGATTTGACCCGCGGGATGGAACCTCGGTTAGTGAGCCTCCTCCCTGAGATTTTTGGGGACTCAGGCTTGTGCCTCCCTACCAACTGACTCACTAGTGATATCATTGACGGTCAAGGTAATGACGTTATTATGGAGATAAGATGCACTGCAGATGAAGTGAGGTGATCTATAACTTTAATTTAAAGCGGTCGACGTCAAAGACAACGTCTGTTGCATAAGACTTGCTCACAATTCGAGATAAGGTACCCTATAACATCGTGGATTAAAAATGCTTAAATGGTCTGTTTAAAAAGTGTAAGTCATATGAGACGAGAGAACCTTGGACCAGATGGCGTACAAACAAAGCAAGTATCTAAAGACATTGAATACCCTGCTTATCTCGTTCTCTTCAGCAGTTTTTCCAAATATTTCCTACTACAGTGACACTTCTGGTATTGGATCTCAACTGTTGATGCAGAGCTCTTTTGAGTGGAGAAAGTGTTGGGCGCAGCAAACATCAGCCCCCACCGCGGGGTTCTACGCTCTGGAGTGCTTTCTCGAGTCATTCATTCATTGTCAACGTCAATCAGTCAAGCCTGGCAATGACTGAGGCCATGTTTCAGTAAAACAGAAATGGAGAAGAGAGCTCAGGTCAGTATATCCCAAGACGCGTGCCCTATCTTTCTTATCTGCCTCAGTACCAGTGCCATCATTATCGGCGATCCTCGATGCGAATTACATCATCGCTCGTTATAGCTTCATCTGTCAACTAACCCTATATCCATATCACAGGCCACTGAGTCTCTCATCCAAACATCGAGTGGCCAGGCGGCCCTCGATTATGCTGTTCAGGCTGCAGAGCTGTACATGCGAGCTGCTGGAGAGGCTTCGACCAAAAAGGATGCCACTCGTTTGCGATTGAAATGTCAACAACTCATTGCTCAGGCTGAGAAGCTCAAGGCTGAGCTCACTCAAACGCCCAGCGTCTTGTTACGAACCTCAAAACTTCACTCTAATCTCTTTCCCCCATGGACAAAAGAACCCTCGGATAAAGAATTCCAGCTTCTCCCTGGCGATGAGCCTTTCACGTAAACGGAAACCCTGCCTGATCCAGTCTGTTGTAGCTTTCGGCTGAGTTTGATATAGCGACAATGCAACCTTCACACTGTCACCGAGGCAGACCGCTACATTTGGTGGATGGAAGCGTCCAACGGACCTACACGACCATGTCGAAGCAGACGACGACATTTTCATGAACTCAAGTAGCGGTTGTGACCTGGTTCAAGATGTGACCACGGATTGTTCTGTGGTCGCCAGTTTATGTGCCGCTATGAAGATCTTGACTGGTCGAAAGTCGGTAAGGCGTATCGAGATGAACTGCTAGCGAGCGTCCGCTGATAGTCTACAACAGATTCTCTCGTCCATCTTGTATCCATTTGACAGAGCAAAAGGAATACCTAAAGTATCTGCTTCTGGCAAATATGTCTTGAAACTATACTTCAATGGGTGCTTCCGTCGGGTTGTGATCGATGAGCGGCTTCCATCTTCCATCAGTGACCGAACTCTCTACGTTGTTGACCGAGTCAACTCTCAACTGATTTGGCCTGCACTCCTAGAAAAGGCATATCTGAAAGTTAGAGGAGGCTATGACTTTCCGGGGAGTAACTCAGGCACAGACTTGTGGGTTCTTACTGGATGGATCCCGGAACAGATCTTTCTTCAAAGGTGAGCACGTTTTGTTATCCCTCTTCACATACGCTATCTCCATAACCTTGCTTGACAACGTGGACTCACCTCTCAATTGCTCTTATAGAGAAGATCTAGAAGTTGATAAGCTCTGGAGACGAATCAAGAATGCACACGACTCTGAGAACGTGGTGGTCACCTTGGGTACTGGTCGAATCTCTGCCGAAGAAGAGGATATCCTGGGTCTTATTGGAGAGCACGACTATGCCATCATGGATCTTGAAATGATCGGCGACAGCCGGAGGCTTTTGGTCAAGAACCCTTGGTGTGACGGACCGGTTTGGAAAGGAGGCATTCCTCAGCCCTTTGATGCCGAATCGCCAACCCCATATGCCGCCAGGCCTCAACACAAATCTCCCCCTTCAGTCGCTGGCTCTTTCTGGATGACCCTGGAAGATGTCCTTCAACACTTCGAGTCCATGTACCTAAACTGGAACCCTGCTCTATTTCCCCATCGTCAGGATCATCACTTTACCTGGCACATGCCTCCCCCGGAGTTGTCTTCGTCGTTGGTGCGCAACCCACAGTACTCACTCCAGTCGCAAGCTGGCGGGCCAGTGTGGATTCTCGTGAGTAGACATTTTGTGGACGAAGAGTTGGAAATTGCTCGGAACAAGACCGACTCAATGGCAGCTGTCTCTGGACAACTTGGTTACATGAGCATTCTCGTCTTCGAAAACGACGGCCACAGAGTGCAAGTAAGCGATGGTGATGTCTATCGTGGACCTTATGTCGACTCTCCGCAGACTCTCGCTCGTTTCGACACGAGCCCAGGGAGACGATATACCATCGTTGTCGACCAGCACGAGTTCCCGCTACCAGACTACACCCTCACTCTCTCTTTCCTCTCCCAACATCAGCTTGCAGTCAAAGAAGCTGAAGACGCAATGGCTTGCACAAGGGAGATCGCTGGCTCGTGGACCAGGAGGACTGCAGGAGGCAGTGCAGCTTGCACGACCTACGCTACAAACCCCCAGTACAAGCTATCACTTGCTCAAGCAGGGCCTTTATCTGTCTTATTGTCAACAGATATGCAGGATATCCATGTGCATATCGATTTAGTCTGGTCCCAGGGCAAGCGGGTGCAGACACTCAAGGCTCGGGATCTTGCGGGCTCATCTGGGGAATATCGTCGAGGCTGTGCTGTGGTCAACATTCCACAAATTGATGCTGGAGTGTATACTGTGGTGTGTTCAACTTTCGATCAAGGCCAATTGGCAGACTTTGCCCTCCGCATTTCATCCATGGCGAACGTGGAAGTACAACCCGTACCCGCCGATGCTGCTGGGAGACTCCGCAAGACACTGAGCCCTTTCCAGCTCTCAGACGGTGAAGAAGTCAGGCGTGCACAATTATCGGCGTCTTGGTTGACTCGAATGAGTGTCACGGCGCGCAGCGTCATGAGCCCGGGCTTCGATCCTAGTAACCGGCCCTCATCCACTCTGATGGTACGACTTTCCGTGGCTCATGGATGGGATCCTGAGCGAATCACGATCGCAACTTCAGGCGACGGCGAATACGAAGAACTCAAAACAATCGTGCGAACCCCTGAGCTTGACATGGAGCCAGCCAGGATACAGCGGGAGGGCATGTGGTTAGTGATTGAGAGTATGGGCGCACCTCAGGTAGGAGAGTGTATTGAGATAGAGATTCACAGTGATGGACCTGTTAATGTAGGGCCGTGGGCGCTCGTCTAGCCAAAGTCACTGTGCCAGTCAGTGAATTTGAGCACGCGTATATAGGGTCCATATATCGCATGACAAATACATCCAAATGCGAAGCACGAGAAGATGGATACATGTATCGACTGAGAGAAATGATAAATATATGTTCAACACAGTATCATGCTGAATATGAAGGTAGAATCGAACAAGGTGTACGCTCGCTAGCCAACGCCACACTGGCGCAAGTGGTATACTCCTAGAAAATAAAATATTGAACGAAATCTGACCCAACCGGGTATTTGAGATCCTGAACGCCTTGTCTGTACCTCCAAATCCTCACTCCGCTTAATCAATGACCTTTGGCAACATGCGAGAAGCCTTCAGTCGCCCGACCCGTCAAATCGCCAGGTACTCATACATATAACGCCAAAGCAAAGAGCGCTTCCCATCACATTTCGGTTGGCGTAAATCGTTAATCGTGCTCGTTCAGCGTCCCCTCTCAGCAGCCAGGTTCGTATGCCAGCCTACAACAGTCGTTTACGCCGGTGGGCCGCGTCTTCTTCGACCACGGTTAGGTCCATCTGGTCGCTGAGCAAGTACATCTCTCAGTTGCGGGTCGTCCTTGTCTTTGTCTATATGATGAACACGGACGTGTCTAGGAGCAGTCAGCATCATTACTCCAGTTCGGGGGGGCATATCTAGCTGCAGCACCGATATGGCCTAGCTAATTGACATACCGCTGAAGATTATCTGGGCGTGGATATTTGTGTTCCCTATCAGGGCAAAAGGGGCAGACGTAGCCCGGGGAGTCATGAACCAGGCCATGTCTTATCATTTCATTCTTTCTTTTGAAGCCCTTGCCCCCTTCACTTCTTGGACACCCTTTGACTGGACAATAGTGTGGCCGTATAGATGAGTGTACATTCATGTGAGAGTTGAGGAGATACTGAGTCTGGAAAGGCGCCGCATTGCATCCAGCAACAGTGCACGTATACGAGCCGGAAAGAGGCTGCGGATGTGTGATCCCATCAATACTCATCCGATCAGTAATTGAGGTTGAGTTGATTGAGGTTGATGTGGCAGGGGTGGAAGCAGAGTGATCGGTATTCGGAGTCTCGCCAGCATTGCTACTACTGTATTCGGTCGGAGCGCGAGGGTGGTTACCATTTGTCGGATAATAATGCATACTAGCACTTGGCGCAGAATGAGGGGAGAGTGTTCGGTATCCATCTGGTGGTGAACGGGGCGACGACGGGAGATTAGTATTCAAACTAAACCTGTGCCCTAAGTTTGCAGCTGGAGAAGTAGGGAAAGTGGAGGATAGACCTGGAGGGACACGGCCAAGATCCTGCTCGGATGGACGCTCTGGGTGTAAGTCTCGGAGCTCACCAAAAGTCGAACGAAGAGACGGGAGAGATTGTGACGGAAGAGTCTCCTTGGACTCGCCTGCTGGTGCGCGAACTGCATGATGAAGCGGCGGCAAGGGTCCATTAGAGGAAGAGATCAGTGGCGACGTGACTCTATTACCGGAAATATATCGCGGTGCAGACAAACCGTTGATCGGGGGCTCGTCGTGGATAGAAAGCTGCCCAGTCGGTATAGATATATCGGGGATCGTTTTTGGGACCGAGGCGGCGAGAGACGGCGGTGCTGTCGCAATAGAAGCAGCCTGTAGAGCGTCAGCGGCCAGGTGCTGGAGCAGAGGCCCGCTCATGAGATTGCCGTCGACGGCCCGTTCTCGCCGTGGCTCTTCATCCGGTGAGTCTTCGTCGCCTGGAAGACTTTCGCGGGCAGCTTCTCGTGCTATATCGGGATCGCGTCCATTGTCGAGATATGCGACTAGGACAGCATCCCCAGAAGTGGGACGAACCTTGTGGCGATTAGACTTGGCGCGACCGTCGATAGAGGTGGGACTCAGACTGACTTGAGCTGCAGGAATATCTGGGGGAGGACTTGGAGACGGCTCGAGCTTTGGACGAAGCGGGGTCATGAGAGGGCTTCCTCGAGGAACCACGTCATCCGGGTCGTATGTATCGACGACGAAGCCGAGATGGGGTTGTGGCGGTTGGTGCTGGTGGTGCGTAGCTGTGGTCATCTTTGTCGCGTTGACGGTGGTTGCTCAACTCGCCATGGCCCCTCGTGGGGGGGTTTAAAGCGTTCGGGAGCTCTTGATCAGTCGGCGGGATCTTGCACCTGGTGAATGGCCGTGGTGCGACTTGAACGGTAACTGCACAACCAAAGAAAGCTTGGTGAGTCGGAGGATGCGAAAAGAAGAAGTGGTCGAATAATGATATCGTGGAGTTGGAAGCAGATGTGCGCGCACAGCTCTGGGCAGACGACTTGCGAGCGAATATTCGTATACTAACGTTGGTCGCTCAGCATGAGCAACAAATGCCACCAATGCGGCGTCAAAAGGAGAACAGTAAAGTTGGCGTCGGTAAGTCGTCCAGGCACGTTGAGGTCGGATGTGAGTCGCGAGTATGGCTGTAAGCGCAGGTTAGGTGGGATTTGCGGCGTAAATGCGGTGAACTTGAAGTGCCAGGCTGAATGCGAAAAGAGCGTGGCTAAATACGGTGGTGAATCTAGCCGTGGTAATGCGCGTTATTTGGGGGATGTAGTGCAGCCTTTGTCGATATGATAGTCGCCCAAATGAGCGCTTGCGCGATAACACACACAGAAAGAGAAGCGGAGTTGAATCGCTAGATATTCCGTTGCCGTTTGACCCAGGGGATGTGACCAGTAGTAAGACCGAGTGAGATGATACTGGAAAGGGACTCTTTGATTGGCAAGATTAACCTCGAGGTCAGACCTGAGGCGTCGATATGTAAGGTAAGGTAAGGTAAGGTAAGGTAGGTAGGTATGTGTGTATGTACAGCACAGCAGCCAGATGAGGCGAGGTACTGTGCCGTGCCGTATGTATAAGATTAAGGTAACAGCTGAGAGGTGAATAGCGGGAACCAGATACGTATGAGCAAACTCGATATACCGAGTTATTTCAGAAGGAAGAGTGCGGAGCAAAGTAAAAAATCCGGGGGGTTGAATGTATTTACTAAGTTTACCTTATTCCTGGGAGCTGGAGCCCTATCTGTCCATGTACAGTACATTGCTAACCTGCCCAGGCTACTACTGCTCATGGTCCTGCTCCTTCCTAGTGAGTATGGAGTATGCCTCCACTTGTTGACACCATGTTACGGGGTTTTGAGGAGCAGTCCATTTTAGAGGAGACGGGGGAGGCTACAAGACACGGAAAATGGGCACGGGCAGTACTGCACAGTACAGTGCAACACAGTGCCAGCTACGCCCCGAATTGATGCTTGAATTAGGTAGGAAGGACTGGAAGTGAGTGGGAAAGAATGGAAGAGAACTTTCCCTGGGAAGGGTGAGGAGAGGACTCGCCGGGGCTGGGGTCCCGGGAAGGTTAGAAGGGTTCAAACTCAAGGGCCGGCAGGAGCATGGCATTGGCAATGGCATGGGGAAGATGCGGGATGGGGTAAAAGGTGGTAAATATTCGGCCCTTGGTTATCTGTAACATGTGGTAGGTCGGCTGAGGACAGGGGGGTCCGAGATGGGGCTCTGCTGTTGCGGCTGGCCTGGCAGGCCCTTGAGCCCTGAACCTGGGGACTGGACCTGGACCTTCACTGGCTGGACTGGACGGACTCGGGGACGTAGGGCGGGCACAAATTTTAATGACAGAAACAGGACGCGGTACGTCCGTCGTATGTCTGAGCAGTCTCTCTGCTGAATGGTTGACTTTGGTGCTCCTCTGTGCTAGTGCAGGCCACCCGGCAGCGCCATTATGGGTAATTCTGTGAGTAATTGGATCATTTCCAAAGTAGTGTGTCTTTAGCGAGATCTTTTATTGAGTCCTCTTTTATTACCTATGCACGCTTGACCGACATACACTCGATGATATGGATTGGATGCCACTTGTACCACAAAATGAGCCTCACCTTGAACTGCAGCGAGAGTCCCTCTCACTCGAGATTTGTCTTTATATTGTCGCATTTGTCTCAGGTATATGGAGTGCTCGCTACAGACTTAAGTCTTGAGTAAGTCATGGCCAAAAGGAGAGGTCAAAATTCAGGATGCGTCCGCCGAGGCCTCCCTCCCCCTCTCTTGATACCCCACTGGGGTCACCCGTCTAAGCCTCAACGTCCACTGCCGTGTCGACATGTGTGTGATGCATTGGCACGAGGCCGAATGGGCAAAGACTTACTTAGTATGTCAGGTAAGATAGTGAGTCTCGAAACGGTATTCGACTCGTCGTTTGGACTCGTTGTCCTTTTCATCGTTGATATCTTCTCATCTGGCAGACTCAAAATTGACCTCGTGATCATTCGGAAGTATTTAGGCGTGATGATCTGTGCCGAGCCAAAAAGAGCCGCCTCGTCTGACATTGTCCGTCAGATAAATATCTCGCGCACTCAACGCCCTCTAACGGACTGTCCCGCTCTATGAATCGCAGTCTGATTGGCTGACCCCGGAGACTGCCCCAGCCGCAGGACGAGGGGAAGTGGACACTTGGACAAAAGTGGGTAACCTCAAAGTGCGTGCCCCTTCAGGTTGTGGGGTATTCGGCTACCGTGTATCGGATAATATCACGCACTGTCTGTGTCTCGACTGGGGCTCTCTTGAGTCGCAAGATTAGAAAAAAGGGCCGTTTTTTGTTGTCATTGGACCCTCCGCAATTTTCCCACAAAAAGCGGCTCTCTCTCATCCTGGAACTGAAATGACCATGCCATGACCGCTTCTGCGTTGCCGGCCGCGGGAGCTGATAGCAAGCAAGCGAGCACCCTTGGCTATCCGTACTTCAATGCAATAACAAGTAAGGTAAAATAAGCGAGGACTCGATGTGTGCTTGCTTGCTTACCTGGGTACAGTAGCAGGGTATGTAGGCAAACTAAGAAGGAGAAAAACAATTGATTGATGGGGCTTGGTTTTGTTCTAGAAATCTGACAGAAACTCGCGACTTAAATGACGCAGTGAATCTGTCACATCACGGTTACATGCTTCTAAAGCTCCCTCCCGTCCATTATCGAAATTGGGCAGAAGTGTCAGTCAGCCTCTAACCTGACCAATGATTGGCTTTGTTCGTTAATCAGGCACACACTCAAATTAGCTGTCTAGGCCTAGTCGAGGGTGCCCCGGGTCTTAGCCTGAAGTTTGCTGTGACTGACTCGTTACCCCATGGTAGTTGGCCGACCACATGAGAAGTTGCAAGACCACAATGGATTTGAGAAGTACTTATTAATGACCATCATTATAAGTCCGACTAACAGATAATGCATTCAACATTGAGGACACCAATAACCGACTAATTAATACTATCTAACTCATTACAGCATTCAGATCCTTGGGTCCAGTTCATGGTCTTTCCTCTATGTCCCGTTTCATAACCACCCGATACCGAATTTGGCCCAGGGAACTGCTACAGTAGCATTCATCCCAAGCCTTAAAGGTTTATTTAAGTAGTCACCATGGGTCGCCAACCATCTTACGTAGTTCTCCAGACTCTATTGACTATAAACGCCATGCTTATCGCCTTCATGGTCACGAATTCAGAACTTTCATTGGTCCAAGCACACGTCACATTCAAACTTCAACCCATAACGTGCAGAGTAGTTGCAGGTTTATCATGATACCCCACTACAATACGGATACCACAAATCCTGCTATCTTCCGCCGATGGCGGAACACGCAACCCCACCTCGGTCCTCACAAAACTATGTAATTGATCTTTGAGTGAAGTTACAACAACTGAATCGGTGTTTCTTTCGAAGCAACAAGCCCCCTTCGCGAGGAGTTTGCTGTACAATTTGCGCCAACACAGGCAACTATACGCGTAGTCAGTTGTCTAAGCCAATCTCACAACATCGTCAATGACCTTTACAAACCCGTAAACCAACATCATGTCTTTGCCATCAACCATGAAGGCCGTGGTTTTCGATGGTCTGTATAAAATATCAGTGCAGGATAGGCCAGTGCCTCAGAGTAAGTTGACGAGTCACCCAGCTTCAGACTTATCATTGTTGAATGAGGGCTATTTCGACTACAGCTAACTCGATATAGTTCGAGATGAGAGGGATATCATTATCAAAGTTCATGCCGCTGGCTTGTGTGGATCGTAAGGGCGTCATCATCCCTCAAAATGCTGTCCCATTTGCTAACTAGAGCCCCAGGGAACTTCACATCTACCGTGGTCATCAGCCTTCAGATACTGGCTTCATCATGGGCCACGAGTTCACCGGAACGGTCGTCCAGATTGGGTCAGCTGTAAAGACAATCAACATTGGTGACAAGGTCGTTGCTCCCTTTACAGCTTCCTGGTGAGCTCTCTCCTCCACCGTCCGGTATTCGTGCTAATAAGAAACTGCAGCGGCAACTGTTTCTTCTGCAACAATGGTTGCTCAGCCCGTTGCGTTGAGAGCCAGTTGTTCGGCTGTGAAACTCTTGACGGAGGACAAGCCGAGTACGTTCGGATTCCCATGGCCGATGGAACTGCCGTCAAGGCCCCCGGGACTATCTCAGACCAGGCTCTCCTTCTCATGGCAGACATCTTTCCCACCGGATTCTATGGTGTAAAGAGCGCCGCAGAATTGATCCCTTCCCAGAACATTCAAGATGCCACAATAGTCGTCATAGGTTGTGGCCCTGTTGGGCTTTGTGCTATCCTAGCAGCCACCCATTTCAAGCCTCGCCACCTCTTTGCCATCGATAGTGTCGACAGTCGCCTGGAGCAAGCTCGAAAACTGGGTGCAGAGCCCCTGAACTTTGAGACAGATAGAGCAGGGCTGGAAGCTAGAATAAAGGAGGTGACGGAAGGACGAGGCGCAGATATGGTTGTTGAAGTTGTTGGCCAGTCCCCAGCTTTGAGGACTGCATTCGATATCGTGCGACCTTTTGGTGCTATTAGTAGCATTGGTGTCCACAACAAGGAGGTATGATACCAGAACAAAATGCTGGCCAGGGACAGGAGCTAACATCACAATGCAGATTCCGTGGACGGGCGACGATGCGTATACGTATGTAACGCCTTGGGATGCTTTGTGTATTGGTCCAAAAGAGAACTGACTGGCTGACCTTGTTGCAGAAAGAACATTCGAGTGCAGATGGGTCGCTGCCCAGTCCGCAGCGTCTTTGACGAAGCCCTCAAGTTGCTGGAGCAGAAGCAAGACCAGATTGGGTGAGTTTTTGAGTTACCGTTGGAGATGCTTCAACAGCTAACATCACCCTAAGCTTCTTGTTCGACCACATCATGCCGCTCGCACAGGCTCCTGAAGGATACACTCTATTTGAGCAGCGTAAGACGCAGAAAGTAGTATTCACATTGTAACGCAAAATACAAGCCCGGATTAGGATGTCGACGATTAGTTTTGTCGAGGCTTGACCATGCCCTCATGCATTAGATAGTAGACAACCGTGGAATCGTTATGCACGATGGCCAGAATAAGCCTCTTCTCTCGCGGGCCATTGCGCTCGATGGAGTCAAATATCTCGGAGAATCTCTTGATACACCATTTCTCTTCGGGATGCACTGCCAACACCCACTCGAGCTCTGGTGTCTGATCCAGAGGCTCTCCGGTGGCCCTCTCACGTTCTAGAGCAGCGATCTGGTCATCAGGGTGGGTGTAGAGCCGTTTCGGCGGCAAACCTCTGATCAGAGGTCGCTGAGCTGTCGTTTCATGGACTTTGAGGGAGACCCAATCATGCTGATATTGCAGGTTGTATACAACTGTTGAAGTGACGTTTGAAACCGGGTCACTTGAGGGATCCATGTCGAGCATGAATATTGCTGACCCTTATATGATGTCCGCGTGATGAGTGCCAAGGGAGGCGAGTGATGAAATTTGATACGGATCAGGACCAAGAGGCAGTGTATGCGTGGAAGCCAAATATGCGTATGGGGGCGAGGCGCGGCTCTGCGATCACGAAAAGAAAGATCCGAGCTTGAGAAATTGGCGAGGATTGTCACAACAGTAGCGAACGAACGTTGAATGGCTGAAAACCCGTTGTAAGAGAGGTTGATGGAGATTCTAAACCTTGTACGGAGAGGTAAAGATAAACTTTTTTTTTATGGATCGACTGAAGGTGGATAGCAATACCTTTGAAGAGTGGGGAGTGGGTATATGCACGTCCGACGGACCTTCATGATTGAACGAGAACGAAGTGAACTTTCGTTTATTCACATGTTTCATGAGAACTAGGATCGTTTAGACTTTTGTGTCTCAGCGGGAACTTCGCTTTGCCTGTGATTGACCAATGATGGCCCCCCCGGCGTTGCCGTGAACCCCTCAGTAGCTTCAGTGCTTAGACACCTACGGTAGGATGTACGGAGTAGCTCGGTAGTGATTGACATCCACTATCCACGTTGGCATTAGACCCTGAGAGAGGATCTAGATAAATGGGCAAGTCCCACCGTTGCAAGGCACGTTGATGTGGATCACAATCGCATTCCATTCTCTCTCATTACATATTTATTATATCTTGGTACCTGTATAGACATCTTGATTCACTGAAACAAGCATCAATTGCACACAATATTAATACTCGTCATTCAATTACAGCTCTTCAGGCGCCCAATCCAGGGTCGCCAAGTCGCATAGCCACCATGACAAACTCTGGGCAACCTTCCTATAATGGCACAGATACCGAACCCTTTCCAAGCCTCGATAATGCGTCACCAAACCCCAACCATACAAACATAAACGCCGACTCTTCATCTCTCGTTGAGAATCGTCCAGCGGCCTCTTCATCTTTGAGTGGTCGTCTCCGCAGAGTCTCCCAAAGTTTCGAAGTTTCCGGCCCCCCTGAAGGGTTTATGGCCGCTACAGGAACCATCGCAGCATCCATATTCTCGCGACAGACTGTGGCGCGAAGGCCATCAGACACCTCGATACCGATGCAAACAAGCCAGTCCCTTGGGGACACTTCCAGACAGAGCACATTCCCAGCTGTCAACGAAGAGCCGCCCGAAGAGAAGACGAATGCAAGCGTCGCGTCCCCCAGGCGAAACTTGACTGGTGAGCCTGCCGCCGCGGCTCCTTTCGACAATGGATATCATTTCCCACCAAAGCATTCGTTTGGACAGTCGACGAAACTTGGACTGATCGCTTTCTGGAACTATGTACGAACACCAACCGGCTTTCTTGTTACACTATACGGTCTGAACGTCGTTGCGTGGGGCGGAATGCTTTTCTTGCTGCTTTGGTAAGTTGATGATTTGTATCTCTCTTGCTCAAGGCCGACCATGCTGACAAGCTATCTAGCAATGCTTCACCCGCGATGTGTGTTCCGACTTGCAACGACATCAACTCCCCCAGGCGCAAGTGGATAGAGTGGGACTCCCAGATTTTGAATGCTCTCTTCTGTGTTACAGGATTTGGTCTTGCTCCATGGCGCTTCCGTGATCTGTATTTCCTGCTTCAGTATCGGTTCCAGAAGAAGGAGGTTGCCCTTCGACGATTGGCAGGCATTCACCGAGGATGGTTCCGTCTCCCAGGGTCCGATCAGATTGATCCTCAAATAGGGCCCCATAATATTTCGTCTGCGCCTGAACTAGCCTCATCACTCGCCTGCCCGTTTCCCGAAGACAAGATTCCCGACGCTCCGCTGACTGGCGTGCGCGCCCCGCCAACACCCATCACGAGAATGGACGCCGTCATCTGGCTGATGGTATGGAACACGTTTCTGCAGTGCGTCCTGTCCGGATTCATGTGGGGCCTCAACCGTTACGATCGTCCCAGTTGGTCTACAGGTCTTTTTGTAGCACTGGCTTGTATTGTCGCGGCCATTGGAGGGCTTGTCATGTTTCTCGAGGGGAAGAAAGTTAAGGGCATTGAAGGTGTCCCCATTTCAGAAGAAGACCAGAAGCTACTACAACAAGACCGGGAACGTGGTGTGTGGCATTACAACAATATCAAGGACAAAGACTTGGCTGCTGAGGAAGCAAAGAAGAAGAAAAAGGCAAAGAAGTGATACTCTTGTTGCATATCTGTTCGACATGTCCAGGCGTAAATAGCAAATCTTAGTTAGCTAATGATTATAATAGGTGGTTTCACTAATTTCATACATGTGCGCTTTACAGTAACAACAGGTGTTGGGTGTAAGCTTGCCGATAGAGTAACCATATCGTGCATATATAAAATAATTTGGGATACAATATCGAATTACCTACCTTAGCTATTCTTAGTGATATGTACGTTCACGGATGGTTGTTTGTGTATGTGACAAACTGCACTCGATGAGGCTACCAGTTCTCATGATGATTTCCTTGGTCTCATCGGTTACTCACTGCTGCGCCAAATGTATGAAAACTAGACCAACAATGGATATCGAGACATCATTCAAGGCTCTATGAGGCTTTCTGAAGGCTGTGATATACTGCCATTTCAACTTTATCTCAGTAAGGCCGAGACTCTCTTATCTGACTATTATATGGCTGATGGAGTAGGCAGACCCCGCTTCCATTCACCTAACCCCGGCCTCCGCCTCACTATTAAAGAGGGACGTACCCGCATTAGCTAACTCCGGCCTCATGACGTGCCATTCCTACCGTGACCTATCGTGAGCCTTCTCCACTGTTCCTTCAACTTTCCCTTCTCAACTTAGACACACGCAGCAAGTTCACGGTACATCTCGACAACTTCAACTTTGCGCAATATCAGTATATAAACACCTCCAATACTCTTCCAGTTTGGCATCGCCCTTCGTCTGCCTCAGGGCCCCGCATCATGGGGCTGGCTTACAACACCTACCTGAATAGCAGCAAGATCTACGGCTGCAAGACATGCAAGGCCCATCTTGCTAACCATGAGGATATTATCAGCCGTGTATGTTATTCTCAAACTCTCCAACCTCTTAACTCCCCTGTAGATTCCTGTCCGCTGATGCCGGTACCAGAATTTCCGTGGTCAACATGGCAAGGCCTACCTCTTTCACAACGTCGTCAATATCGAGACGGGTCCTCCGAACGAACGTAACATGACGACCGGTCGACACGTAGTCCGTGATATTACATGCCGTCAGTGCAAGGAGACCGTTGGATGGAAGTACGACAAGGCATACGAATCTTCAGAGAAGTACAAGGAGGGCAAGTTTATTCTCGAGGCTGAGCTGCTATGTAATGTTACTTGAGGCCAGGTAGTCGAGGCACCGCCAAGCGTGCTCGTTGGCTGCTTTTGTCTCAGGCGTTATCTGGATATCGGATGCACAGGCGTTGACTGCATTTTTGGGTGGCCTACACACTGCTTTTGACCATGACAAGGACAAACCAGAGATAGTTATGTTTCTTAGCCATTGGAGCTGAATTTCAATATGATAAACTATTCGACTAAATCCTATACTCCAAACCTAGACGCCGTTCGAACATGCAGATGATTCCAAAACTCTGGCCCAACATGATATGATGTAGTGTCGCAGCACAGAATGCTTCACTTAACGGTGCTCAATGGGCTCCTCAGGCAAGAGCTCCTCGATGTCTTCATCTGGGACTCTGAGGAACTCCAGAGGAGGCTGAACGATACCGTTGAACAAGAAGGTGAAGTAAACAAGCAGGGCGAAACCGACAATTTGGAGCCACTTGAAAGTCTCCCAGCCCAAGCCAAGGGAGACGATCCAGATGAACAGGGTTCTGCAAGTGTCGATGGTAGATCGAGAAGTAGCGCTGACGCTTCGTGTAACGGACAAGCCAAAGAAGTTGAAGCCACTAGTAGCAGTGTCAGTGTTTGGTTATCCAAATCTGATCGACAAGATACTCACCCAATGCTGATCATGATAAGAAAGCTAGAAATGAGGACCTGCTTGTTCTCGGTCATCTGGCGCCAGCCCTCGACAATGTCAAAATATCCATATTTGCCAGCTTCAGTGGAGCCGATAGTGGCATGCAGAACAAGCATAGCAAGGAGGGTAACACTGAAACCAAAGATGCCCTCCCAGCCGACCACTCTGATTGGGTCAATTGTAGATCTCTCTAGGAGATATTCCTCGAGGACGAACTGAGTGGCTGTAAAGATCTGGGCACCAGCGATAAGCAAAACACCCACAATGGCTCTGGCAGCGTCTGAAAGACCTCCGTCAGTAGCCGAGTCCTCCTCGGGCTGTCCAATGGAGTTCTCAGGCTTCTCATCTGGCCAAATAGCTCCCGCCAAACCAACGACTGCGACACCCAGAACAACACCGACGAGGGATAGCCACTGGAAGAGGTGCAAGTGTCGCTTGAGGAAGACGACGCTGAAGAGACCGACGAACAAGACTAGAGCACCTCGTGTCATCTGGTAGATGGATGCAGCAACCATGAGAAGTCCAGCGTTCATGAGCGTGGTACCGCAGATGTCGCAAATAGCGGGCAGAGCAAGCAAGGCAACTCGGTATCCCCTCAAGATGGATGGGCCATTGTGAAGGAGCTTAGTGCGATCGTCGGCTTGGGGCGCAGCTTCAGCATCGCCATTTTCCTCGGTATCAACAGCTTGATAGCCTCGGTCTTCTGGTGCAGAACCCTTGAATCGTCGCCAGAGAGCCATGAGGCCAACAACCAGCCAGCAGCCCATCTCGCCGATAAACATCTGGGCGGTTTGGAGAACCGGCTGGTTGAAGAAAGCGCGCTTCCTTGGATTGTCATCGGGACCACAGTTTCGAACACATTGGTTGTCCTATGGAGAGGTGAGTCAGTTACAGCTCTGCTAACATGGCGGAACAGCGGATGCGCAGCGCATGTCGTCATACCTGATACTTGGTCAACAAGGTGTTGCAAACACCTGTGAGCAGCATCATGGCTACGAGAAATGGGATGAGGCTTCTAGACGCCATGTTGAAGAGATGGCCGATTACCGACGGCCAAACTTCAGTGGTTGTTGATGTTATTCAAAGAGTGAATGTGGAAGATGGGGGATGAGACAGCTGAGAAAGGTCAGCCAGAACTGATAAGAACAAAGAGTTGATAAGCTCCAACCTAATAGAAGGCGGAGTAGAGGTACGTAGCCATAGTACAGATGGATGCAAATGCAGGGTTCAGACACTCGACCCGAATGCGGAGTCGTCGCCTCACTAAATGCATGCACTACTTGCATTAGCCCTTAGATCCATCTCCGACGCCTCACGTCTCCTCTTTGTGAGTGCTACGCGTTACGCGTTACCTCGAGGTACATGCTCGAGCCAAGTCGATGTACCTTTTGATTTTTGGTGGAGAGCCGGGTTTAGTTTATGCGGGTCACAGCGAGACAAGCGAGATCCCAGCCACCAGACTTCTCGGAGGGTGACATGTACATAATTATTGCCGTATCACAATTCACAAAGCTGTTATCGGCTCTTCATTCCCTGCTCAGATCAATTGCCATCGACTCCAGCCTCCCATCCATATTTGTTAAGAGCTTCTATGTTCAATTTCGACAGGGAACACGAGTTTGAGTGTCTCAGCGCTGGGTCAAATGACGGCGATCTCTAGAGATCAGAGTCAGCGCTTTTGGTCACCTGCCGAGACGGCATACAAGTCACTTGATCAATGTCACGTTCAGACACAGATCCAACATGGTCTAGTGCAAGTAGTGGATAATGTACTATGTGTTGGAAGATGACTATTGAACAGCAAGTGAATAACTTCTCAACCCTATTGCCCTTGATAACTTGAGAAAGAGAACAAAGATTTGTCTTATTGTCATCCAACAACACCTCCTTATGAGTACGTCTTCATCAAACTTAGTCAACCCGACCGTAACGTTTATTGCTGTTGATGAAATTTTGTACCTTTATTCGTCAATCCCGTCACATTTAGTACAAGACATACTTATGGCCGTTACTTGTTTTAGTGCTATTGAGTGCTGGTCCTCAAAAGGACAGAAAAGGAGCGTAGATACACCTCGATCTAAAGTACAATACATGAAATTGATCTCAAAATTGAGCCTTGCTTCGCAAGATGTCCAAAGATGGACTGGAAACATCCGAATCCCTGAAAACTCTCAGAGTTCAGAAATGAGAGCCAGTGCTGTGGCTCATGGCTGGGAACTATGGACTGGACTAGCCAGGAAATGCCAAAACTCCCAAACACCTCATACCCGCACCCGCTGTTAAGCTTACCACGTGAACGCCTCCTCGATGAAATCGATGTGGGATCGATCCTGGCGGTTTCGAACAGCCAAGCGAACCTCATCACTGAGAGCACCAGGACCACAGACTGTAACAGCCATGGCGCCAACCTGGTGCTCTTGCTCCATACCCAAGAGAGTGTTGATGTTGGGTCGTCCAGGGAACATCTGAACAGTAGACGAGGGGCTGTGGATTTCCTTGGTCGAGCGAGGCTGGCTGACGAAGAGCATGATTCGGAGAACATCCCTTCTCTTGTCCATGCCTAGGATCTCAGTCATCCAGGGGCGGATCCACTCCAGGTGCTCGGGAGTCTGAATGGTCCAGACTAACAAGATCCTTCGAGTTGCGACAGTGCCCTCAGAGTAGCCCTCAACAAGATGCTTAATATAAGGAACGGGGTGAGTGATGCCGACACCTCCAGCGAAGAGAACCACGGTACCGTAAGAGTCGAAAGAGTGGTGTCCACCATAGGGGCCCTCGGCGAAGCAGCTTGTCTCGAAACGACCTCCAGGGGCAGCGACTGCCTTCTTGTAGAGGCTGTCAGTCATGCCGGTTCTACCTCGGATGATGAAAGAAACTCGTTGTTGTTGCATGGCCAAAAGATCTTGGTTAGTAGTGGCCAATCGGTCGCTCTTAACATCCTCGACGCCATCGTACCAGGCGACGGAGAAGGGGTGAGATTGCCAGTAGCTGATGGCGGGCATGTAGAGATAGGCGTGTTGTCCAGGGGCGGCGTTCCAGGGGCGAGCCAGAGTCATGGTCAATCGGACGGCATTTCCAGGGAGGGCTTCGACAATGGTTCGGGAGCGCGAACCTCCAACGTGGGAGCGAAGGACACGCCAAATACGATAGGTTCGGTCGAAACTCCAGATAGCGATCACACCATAAACGTAGCAGAGCCACTTGAACAGACCAGGGGATGCGGATAAGTGATAGTACAATCCCACAACGGCGGCGGTGGCAGCGAGGATGTGGAGAGCCTTGAAGATCTCGTAAAAGGCATGGCGAAGAGGACTGGAGGCCTGGATGCCGAGGAAGACAAAGGAGCATGTGGCCTAGAAAGTGTAAATAAAATTTCATTTACATGATAGACGTTAATAAATGTCATTTAAGTGACTTACAATAAAGCCGGGAAGGATAAAGTTGCCCGCGGGAGGGGTGAAGACCCAACCGTTCTTACCATAGTGGGCAAGGGTATGAGCGAGAGCCTCAAGAATGACAATACGGCCAAACCAACGGTGGATCAGGTTGTAGGTGTCAAAGGAGATGTTCAAGAGGGGGATGAGAGGGTTGTTTCGTCCAGCCAGAAGGAAGAGAGGGACCTGAAATGGATGTAAGGTTAGTGGCATGTACTAGTGAGATTTGGAACAACCTAAGCCAAGCACTATAAAGTGCATTGGCTTGGCGATCCTTAATATGCAATGCAGTTCAATTCAATTCATACCATGTTGACAGTTGAGAGGACACCAGTGCGGTTGCGAATGACACCGCAGGCGGTGGCCATATCAGCGGAATAGTCGATGTCGATGACACACCAGACGACATTGGAAACGAAATAGGACACGAGGAAAAGTAGTTGGAAACGGGTGGGTAGAGTTCCAACGTTGATGGCCTTGCTTAGCTGGATTTCGCGGTTGTGGCGCTTGCTGAAGACGGGAGCGTAAAGAAGGTGGCGCTTCAGGGCAGCGAACTTCTGGTTGGGGATAGCGAAGTAGCGCTGCTTGTCGTTGTTCAAACAAGAAACATGTCGAGTGAGTCGGATAATTCGCTCGCAGACCTTCCAGACGATAACAGCAGCAGAGACAGCACCACAGACGATCATGAGGTACTTGGAGAGGTTTCCGTTGGTGGTTTCGGCGATTTCTTTAGCGAGTTGTTGCTCAGGTGTGAGCTCGTAACCGCCTCGCGGCAGCAGTGAGTTTCCGGCACTCATTGCGACTGAAGAAAGAAGGGAAAGACTCAGAAAAAAGAAAAAGAAAAAAAAAGAGATCGAGGTGTCGAAGTGAAAGATTTAGAAAAGAAAAACCTCCCCTGGAGGAATCGAGTCGAATGGTCGAAGAAGCGGCGGCGAAGAGAAAAAGAAGAGAGGAGAGAGGGCGCTGTCGACAGTGATGGGGCCAAGGGACCGTAATGTAGCCTCAGCAGCAACAACACCAACAACAGCAGAGGGTGAATAAATGAATGAATGGACGACAGAGAGTGTGTGTCTGAATGGAAACCAGCTCCGAAACAAACAATTCCTACGCCTTCTTTAGGAATGAACTGAAGACGTCAAGGTTGACGAAACGAGACAAGGCAAGGAAGAGTTTTGAAAAAACGTTTGCGGAGGCCAAGGGAGGGGATAGTATTAAGAATCAGCAGGGGGTATTTTGCGAGATAAATTGGGTCGATACTAAATTCCCCAGCAATCATGGCTCAAGCAGATCATATTCAAGGCCGCGTGTAGGCTTGTCGTAGAAACAGTCGCCATGCAGTGTCCCTTGCTCTCTCATTTGCAGCCCAGTCCATCAGCTATCCCGCTTCCTATCCCTGAGTATCCCACTGAGGGGCCCATCTGCAGTGACCAGCTAGCTGCTCTACGACAGTGAGCGAGTTACAGTTGGGGCCAGCTGCGAGGCCACTGGGCCTAGCCTCTAGTCTCAGGGGCATCTAGTTTCAAGATATTCATCGACACATTCAAGATTGCCTGATCTGACCTTGTCATTGGGCTCAATCTAGGAACCCCCCCGGCGGCTCTACTAGCGAACTGGAGTGAACTGGCCCAGTCAGCGTCTGCGTTGCAATTGCGCGGGACACGATGCATTGAACAAGGGAGATGACTGTGGCGCTGGCTCCGAGTGGCGGAAGGACATCTGATATCCTAGCACCGCGGGGCACAACTGGGATTCTGAAACAAGGGCTTTCCCAGCTTCTGGGTAATCAGTTTCTTGGCTGTTCGAGTGTGTCTAAGGAAGTGACTGTTAGGGGATTATGATCTTATTAAAACTTCAACGCCCCGCTAATTTTAAACTCTCTTTTAGTACTTTTACGATAAATACTTTAATTTTGGAAATCTTTCATCTCTCTTATACCGGAGGACACTCCATTTGTAGCCCTCACAAGGACGTGCGTTGTCCAGTTCCAACTGAACACGGCTCAGCGGCAATGCAAACATACTGTACAGTAAAACTATGGACCATTCATTTGCAGATCAAGTCTCTCAGAGACTGTTCCCAGCCGAACCCAGCCTGACCCAGCAATGACATCGAATGGCGGTTTCAAGTGCCTCATGCCCCACCATGACCGATGTTATCATAACCGTTTCTGCGGCTCCTGAGAGGCGGAGGATTATTCTCCAGTTAAAGCCTGAGACGAGCACTGAGACGAATTCATTACATGTGCATATGTGATCCTGGCCGCTAACACCAAGAAAACGAAAAAGCAAAACAAAAAATAAGGCGTAAATCGAAACTCTAAAAGAGTGATTGCGTATCCCTACATCCTAACTTAGTACGATCTCTTTCAAGCTCAAAGCATGCTGAGTTCGTCATCCATATTGCCCTCTCCCGGCTCTGCCAATGATGTTCCTACAGCGACTCTATCAGGCCTGTTTTCCTGCCAGGTCCTTGCAATATCCAAGCGCTTGACTCTCTTCACGGTCTTGATACTTCCGCTACTGCTTCTGTCGCTGCCGTTACCATGTGTTCGTCCCAATGTTTTCCTGGGGCTGTAGTCCACCATCTGTGCACACTCGCCAAGCTCATCTCCGCTGTCTTGCTCTTCGTCAATATCCGTAATGCTGGTTGCGCTCGTATCATTCTCATCCTCCCTGTCGGTGTCGTCCGTATCATCATGATTGCCAGCATCCTTGTCACTTCCCACCGAGCTATCTTGGTCGTTTCTGCGCCTGAGATTGCGGCCCGTCTTCCCACTCAGGCCTGTCATCCGGCCTCGACTATCTGGTCGACGATCTGTGCCTGTTCTGTAGCTCGCTCCGTCTCGACTTTGGTTTTGCTGTCTCAGCTCGCTTCCTCGTACCTTACCGGGGCTGGGGAGAACCCATTCGCCAATCCCTTCCTCCCACTTCCAGCCCGAGAACATCGTGCTTGTTTCGAGGGTTCCCTTGCCAGCGGTGGGAAATCTTTCAGCAAAAGCAACATCTCGGAGGTCCTTCGTTTTCTGTGCCAAAACAAACGCCCCGTCGGACACCAGACCTTCTTGAAACCAACCAGGCAGGCTCAGTTCATTTAAACATGTACGAATCTCAGACAAGACGTCGTGGCAAGCCAGGCCACATGCTTGTCCCCGGTATTGTGCAACAGAGCAGGCCAGCAAAAGAGTCTGTCGATACTGAGGTTGAGTTGGGGAACCGTTTCTTGCTGTCAACGGTTTCACACAGTCGTAAATCGCCAGATTCCTCGCTGATAAACTGCCCACTTTCCCGTCGATCAAACTCGTGGCCAAGAATCGGGCTAAAACGAGTGTCAAAAATCCGCTGCTTCGAAACGCCCCACGACGAGTTCGTTGCTGTGTTACGCACATTTCGAATGTGAAAAGCAGTCGTCGGACGGCGTGAGCTTTCCAAGGCTCTTCATCACTCATATCAACACCCAATGTCCATATCGCTGCCGTCATTGCGGCCAGAATACTGATCAGTGTCTGATCTTCTGTAGGCTGTTCTGTCTCCTTTGCTTTACCATTGTCCAACAGAAGCTGGTCCAGAGCTTTACACAAAAACTCAACGACCGAGGGCACAGGTTTTCTGGAATGTAGCAGGATTTCAATTCCTCGCATCCATACTGACTGAAACGCCCGTGATGTCAGCCAGGTCAGAGACAACTTCTTGGTGTTGATAAGGTCCGAGAGACAGTCCCAAGATGGGCCGATTGTTCCCCGACCTTGCAAGCTTCTTACTATAACCCCTAGAGGCTGGACCGTACTGCTCTCGATCAAGGTGCTCGATGTACCACGAGGTGCTGCCAAAGGAAGCCTCAGGCTTGAGACAAGTCTCGCGGCTTCTGCCTTACAGTCGAGACTGAGACAAAGATCGGCCAACAGTCGTACAAACGGAGGTTCGAGGAGACCTTCTGTCACAGCAGTTGCCAAGAGACATAGAGCATGCGCACGGACAACAATCTTGAGAGACTTCCAACCCAGACTTGAAGTACCAAACCCCTCGAGTTGATCGTAGAGTTCTGCCGATGCTTTAGATGACTGCCACTTGAAAGTTTTCCCTTCCTTTGCCGCAGTCTGACGATCCCATTCTTCTATCACGGCTATCGCATCTGGTATCCTGCGAAGACACATTCCTAGCAACGACTTCGGGTGTGCTGTTTGGGAGAGAGGTTCGGTTGAGGTCAGCAAGCAATGCAGCCAGCTGAAAATGGCATCGTATATGCGGTATTCACTATCCGAGACAATCCGGCGGAGTGATTGCAATTCTGTAACTAGCGATTTTGCATCTATAGCCGCCGGCTTTGAGCTTGCGGGTGAAGTCTCAGGGGTCAAATTGTCGCATCTGAACTTGCGCATGACCGGTGTCGAGAACCCGAGTCGTCCAGCTCCTGGAGGACTACGCTCGATCTTCATGCTGCCGAGAGTGCGAAATGCGCGCGGCGGTGTCGACACAGGCAAAGTGCTTGGTTTTGACTGAGATGTTGTTCCTCGGCGTCCTCCATAGGTATGCCGCACTCGCTTTGACGATTTCGTTGGTTCATTCTCGGTGTTCGTTCGTTTCGTGCGGGTTGTTGTAGCTGGTTGCCGGGCCTCATTAACCAGTTTTCTTAAAGCAACTAGACGACACTGAAGTTGCCGTAGCAGGCGCTGGCATCTTGCTGCTGTCCAAGGCTGTAAATCTTGTTGGTGGTTGCTGCGATCTCCCTTCATTAAACAATGGGCTGACGGGGATGGGAGATCAGCCATGATAGATGCATTCGGGTGACATCGAAGTAGCTGAATTGAATTAATATTAGAGTAATAACAAAGCAACAAGAAACATATTAGATGCCCAAGAGAGTTTTGGAGATTGGATCAACAAGCAAAAGAAAGAATTGAAGATAGTTAAAGACAAAGAAGATGTTGTGTTGTGTTCTGTTGTGTTGGTAGGGAGCATAAAGAGATCGGCCAATATTTACATTCATCTACTTTTGGTCTAGCGCTGCCGTCAATCCTCTGGGGTCGACCGGCTTCGGGGCCCTAATATTCTCTACTCGGGCTATACCTTGTTTAACCGTAGAAGGCACCGGAGGGCTAAGGTACCGTCACTGTCGCGTCTTCAGCACCGGATACTTCCAGTGTCCGGACCCAATGCAATGCCGGGCCATTGCCGCCACACCCACCACAACTTGAGCGTTAACCGTCCAATTTTTTCTTCGTCCCCTCCGCTCCGTCACTACCTTACTCCCACCTTCTTTCGACGAACGTCGTTCAATTGATTGTCTTACCCTTCCAGTGCATATCCCATGCCTGGTTTCCTCCCTCATTACCTATTCTTCTTTTGCTAAACACTCCATCTTGTCAATATGGCTGAGGAAACCACTCCTCCCGCTCAGGCGCCTGGTACGTATAACGTTTTTTGTGCGAAGCTAGACCGCCCTTGTCGAATGCTCGCTTGTAAAGTCCGGGGTCTCAACAGCCTCGACTCGGTCATTGAAGGAGCTATTATATAGCTTTTGCTTTGGCTGTACTGGTTTTACTTATTCTTGGTACTGATTTTGTTACACTAAACCGAGCTAATTTGTCTCACAGCTGCTGCGTCCGAGGAGCCCGAGACCAACATGGAGGCCGAAGCTCAAGACGTTGACGCTGGCGCTGAAGGTAGCTAAAATTATCCCTCCGATTAGCGATATACACGACATGGATATCTAACGGTTCAAAGCGTTAATAAACCTTACCATCGTCTTGCCCGACGCCAATGCTAGCAAGATGCAGATTATGGTCCGTCATTGACTTATACCGAGCCCCTCCAAAATCTCAAGCTCACAAAAAATGTTCAGGTGTCTTCTCAAGAACAGGTTCACGAGATTCGACAGTCCATCATTGACCTTCCCTCCGCATTCCAATACACTTGCTTCCACCTCGAGTTCAACGGCGAGAAGATCAACGACTTCATTCCCCTCTCTGAAATTCCTGACCTCGGTACCACTCCTGAATTCCACGTTGTTGAGGACCCATATACCGAGAAGGAAGCTCGCATCCATTTTGTCCGCATTCGAGAGCTTATCGGTGCGTCTGGAGACCGATGCGACACTGCCCAGGGCCTTCTTCCGGGGTTGTCTCTTTTCGAAACTGTCGCCACAGAGGCCGTCGGCAACAACGAGTCGGCCGAAGAGTCACCCATTCAGAACTACGATTTCCAGGCTGTGCCCTCTCTTACCGAGCTGGTTCCTCCTCCCTCTGAGCCCGCTCCCAAGACAGTGAAGCAGATCTCCTTATCTTCCTGGAATCCTCCTCCTCCTCACCTCCGACAGCGCGGCCACTTGCTCTACTTGGTTGTCTCCACCAACGAAGGCGAGCAATATCAGATCACCTCTCACGTTTCGGGCTTCTTCGTCAACAAGTCATCTAACGCCAAATTCGATCCCTTCCCTCGTCCGGCGCCCAAGGGTCAGTCAGCTCACTCTTTGCTGAGCCTGATTGAGCTTGTCTCTGCATCCTTCGCCGAGTCCTTCACAAAACTCCAGGACTACAACAACCAACGCGACCCTCTTGCCACTTTCCAAATCACCAACGCTATTCCCGCTGCTCCTTGGGTGGTTCCCTCTCCTAACTCAACACTTTGCACACATCTTCCTGATCCTGCACGATCTCAGGAGACCTACCTCCTTAATGGTGTCGAGAACACCGACACTCTGCGAGACTGGAATGAAGAGTTCCAGTCAGCGAAGGAACTTCCTCGCGAGACAGTTCAGGATCGTGTCTTCCGAGAACGACTCATTTCTAAGCTCTTTGCCGATTATAATGAGGCTGCTACTCGAGGCGCCGTCATGGTCGCACGGGGCGACATTGCTCCTTTGAACCCCACAGAATGCAGAGATGCTCAGATCTTTGTCTATAACAACATCTTCTTCTCTTTCGGTGCTGACGGTGTTGGTACATTCACTTCTGAGGGTGGTGATGAGGCGGCTCGTGTCGCTACTGGCAAGGATGTCGCTGGTGTGAAGCTCGTCAACCAATTGGATATTGAGGGACTTTTCACTCCTGCTACCGTGGTTGTTGACTACCTTGGCAAGCGAATTGTTGGTCAGAGCATTGTTCCCGGTATTTTCAAGCAGCGCGAACCTGGTGAGAACCAGATCGACTACGGTGCTGTGGACGGCAAGGACATCGTCGCCGCTGATGAGAGATTTGCTCCCGGCTTTGCTCAGCTGTCCAAGGCTCTGAAAGTCAAGAAGCATCCTGTTTGGGATAAGGAGGGCAAGCGATTTGACTTGGAGGCCAGTGTGGAGACCAAGGGTCTGTTGGGTACAGACGCCCGCAAGTATGTCCTGGATCTGTACCGTATCAGCCCCCTCGACATTGCTTGGCTGGATGAAGATGGTCTTCCTGAGGATGGCGATGCCTACCCTCACCGCATGACAGTCCTCCGACCGGAGCTTGTCGACTCGTTCTCGCGATACAAGCTGAAGCAGTGGGTGGATAAAGAGGTTGCCCGTCGAGCTGAGCAAAAGGAGAAGGAGGGTGAGACCAAGGCTGCAGAGGGTGACGCCAAGGGTGAAGAGGACGAGAGCGAGAAGAAGACCACAGAGGGCGAGGGCGAGGGTGAAGCCTCCAAGGAAGAGGATAACCAGCCTAACCTGTCAGACTTCAAGTTCGCCCTTAACCCTGACGCTTTTAGTGGCCAGGTTCCTCAGACTGACGAAGAGAAGGCCGAGTTTGCCGCTGATGAGGAAGAGGTTAGGGCAGCTGGAAAATATCTCCGCGAACAGGTTATCCCTGACCTGCTCAAGGATCTTTCCGAGTCCGAGATCAGCTTCCCCATGGATGGCCAGTCATTGAGCCGACTTCTACACAAGCGCGGTATCAACGTAAGATACCTCGGTAAGGTTGCTGAGCTCTCTAGTGATGGCCGACTCCGATGCTTGCGCGACATTTGCGTCCAGGATATGGTTGCCCGAGCGTTCAAGCATGTTTCTGCTGTCTACCTCCGACACCTACCAGTCCCTGCTGTTCCTGCTACTGTTTCTCATCTCCTCAACTGTCTGCTTGGACATAGGTTCAATGAGAAGCCCGTTGCTGAGCTCGATCCTTCCATCCGCAGTCTCTACACTGATGCCGACTGGTCGTTCGAGAAGGTTACACCTGAGAGTCTGCGGGAGAACATTGAGGAGCAGATCCTCCAGCGATTCCGATATGAGCTCGACGAGGAGTGGCACAACCAGGTTCGCCCTGTGCAGCTTCTTCGTGAGGTATCGTTGAAGATTGGTATTCAGCTTCTGGCCAAGGACTACAGTTTCAATGCTGAGGCTGCCGCCACTGCTTCTGAAGCTGCTCCTGCAAAGGTCGAGAAGCCTGTTGCCAACGGCCAGACCAATGGAGAATCTGGTAGCAGCAAGAAGAAGAAGAAGAGCAAGGCTCGTGAAGCTTCTCCCGTTGAGGCTGCCGCCCCAGCCAATGTGCATACTTTCAGCCCCGAAGACGTCATTGACCTTGTTCCTTTAATCAAGGACTCGTGCCCTCGCAGCGCCCTCGCTGAAGAGGCGCTTGAGGCTGGCCGTATCTCTCTTCTACAAAACCAGAAGAAACTGGGCCAGGAGCTTCTCCTGGAATCCCTTTCCCTGCATGAGCAGATTTACGGCATCCTGCATCCCGAGGTCGCTCGTGTCTACAACAGCCTATCCATGCTCTACTACCAGCTCGATGAGAAGGAGGCTGCTGTTGACCTTGCTCGCAAAGCTATCATCGTCGCTGAGAGAACCGTTGGTGTCGACTCAGCCGAGACTCTCCTTAACTACCTCAACCTGAGCCTGTTCCTCCACCAGATTGGTGACAGCAAGGGTGCTCTTGTGTACTCCAAGCATGCTCTCAAGATGTGGAAGGTCATTTATGGCCCTGATCATCCTGATTCTATCACAACACTCAACAATGCTGCTGTGATGCTCCAGAACCTCAAGGCTTACCACGAGTCTCGACTCTGGTTCGAAGAGTCACTGCGCGTATGTGAGTCTGTTTTCGGCAAACAGTCGATCAACTCTGCCACCCTCCTCTTCCAGCTGGCTCAGGCTCTTGCTCTAGATCGCGACTCAAAGGGAGCTGTTACTCGCATGCGAGAGTCTTACAACGTCTTCCTTGCTGAACTTGGACCTGAGGACAAGAACACCAAGGAGGCCGAGAGCTGGTTGGAGCAGCTCACTCAGAATGCTGTCAACATTGCCAAGCATGCTAAGGACGTTGCTGCTCGAAGACTCCGAACGGGTGTTCGGTTTACCACCAGTCCCTCAAGCTTGGCGGCTTCCAATGCTACTGTCCCCGGCCGCACGGGACCTGGTTCACAAGTTGACTCCCGCAGCATTGATGAGCTTATCAAGTTCATCGAGGGTGGTGAACATCAGCAGACCAAGAAGCGAACTGGCCGTGGAAACCCTAAGAGGCGAGGCCAGGCTGGAGCGCGATAGGCTAACAATTTAACGAAATTCTTTATGATGCTATTATGTGGTCGAGTTTTTGACTCACCGCTGTGTAAAAGTAGATGGTGAAACAAAAAGCATGGGAATTCCATTATGAATCATGTGAGAGCTGGGTGGCTTGGTCACGAAAAAAAGGAGGCCCTTGCATTGGTTGGGTTTGGTACGGTTGGCGGCACGGTGGCGCGATCACACGTATTTGCATCAAAAGGCGCGTTCTCAACATTTGTATATATCCAAGGCTCTGCTCTAGGCCATTGGCCAGATGATCTTCACTCTTATATAACATGTTCACACTTGGAGCACTTGGGTCTGTCTGTCGAGCTAGAATTCCCCAGTGATGCAAAAAGGTCTATAAGATCAAGTGAGTCGTTGAGCTGACCGTTCAGTCACGAAGATACCTAAGTCGAGGAGAGATGCTTTTTCGTTGGCGCGTTGCATTCATAAGTGTCGTCAACATCCTTGGACGGCAACATCATGTACTCAAAAGTTTAGTACAATTCATGGCTCAGTGACTTATCCCCCTTGAAACAGAAACGCCAGGGCAGAAAGAAAGCCTAAGTACGGCCTTGCAAGATAGACGCCCCTCCGCCAACTGGCGCATGATACGCACCGATACTCTGAAACCCCCTGGATGATTATGTTAGCTCAGTCTCAAGTAAGTGATGGGGAAAACATACTTGGTTAAATCAAAGCCGTGCTCCTCTTCGGCCTCTGCCGGTTGAGCAATAGGCTGTGGACTTGACTTTTGAGGTCGAGAGGGACTGCTAAGAGGTGACTTGTCTCCCCTTGGCGGACTGCTACTCTGCGAGGGGAGAACCCCTCCAGCCTTGGTAGGACTGACATCGTAGCCACCAAGAGGTTTCAAGGGTGTGCTGCCTATGTCTGCGTATTTCCAGAAAGGGGCAGGTGAGCTGGTGGGCATGTGTTGACTTGGTCTCTGCGCTGTGCTTGGAGGGGCAAGCTTAGGGTGCATCCTGGGCGGTGCTGGGGTGACGAATGAGCCTCCGTCCTCCTGGTATGAAGATGTGAGCGTGGGTGACTGAGGGTTGTACACCGAAAACGATGAGTCTCTTGCTGGCGTCTTCCTAGGACGCGGCAATGGGCTGCCATCAATCATCATGGCCGCGTTTCTACCAAAAGATCGATCAGGAGTGGACTGGGGAATTAGCAAAGAGGATCCAGGTGGCTGTGGTGATGCCGGAGGGGATGCCCTTCGTCTGCGGGCTGAGGGAGGTTCTCTCGAGGCCATGTCTCTTGGGCCATGTGTGATGTAGGCAAGTTGGTTTGGGGATGAGGGGGCAGATGAACCACGATGACCGCCTCGGCCAACGCGATAGGCGTTTCTTATCATCTCCTCTCTTGCTTCTGGGACAATTTGCCACTTCATCCCCTTGCCAGGCTCATCGGTTAATCTGGCAACCTTGTCAAATGATTTGTTCAATGAAAGGTTATGACGAATTGAGTTCTATCGAGTGTGAGTGAGTATACCGCCCAGTAAGGTAGCCGCCACGAGAACTTACCTGCCAGCCAGCAGCCTGTTGATGACGATAGTAGGCGTATGTGTTCATGATGTAGGTATAGATCCCGTTCAGATTCAGCTTCCCGTCAGGTGCGTTCAGGATCGCTTGTGTAATCATTTGAGCATAGCTATATTGAGGCTTGATATGCTGGTTCTCATCTTGGCTCAGATCTACACCATTAGCACCAACCATGACGGCCGGCGTGCTCGCTGCCGGTGATTTTGCAGTGCTCTGGGCCGAGGGCGGCGTGCCTGGGCGTTTGTATTCCGGAGGCGCCGGTGCAATGAGGGGTTGTCGACGCGAAGTACGAGATTGTGGTGTATGAACACTGACTCCAGCACGTTGCAAATAGATGGGATGCACAGTCAGTGGAGTTATCTCGGACGGAAGCACGAACATCATCTCGACATTTCCAATCTCAATGACTTCGCCGCTTGTGAGAGGATGAGCCTGTCCGGCTTTAACGGGCTGGCTGTCCACCTTGGCACCGTTACGGCCTTTGACATGCAGGAACCACTTCTCGTCCTTAGAATCGAATGATATGGTAGCATGCTCTCGCGATACCATCTTGCTAGGGCCCAAGTCGATGTGGACGTAGGACTCGTCTTCGTCGGAGCCCACGGTCTGAGAGTTATGTGACGTCTCGGGAGCTCGGCCTATGTTAACGTTGAGCTTGGTGATATAAAAGGTCCAGTCCTGAGCAGCCACTTTGGCGTAGGCTTTTACACCATCGCCCTTGGCCTCGTGTATGACATTTGCGTGATCCTTGCTGGCCTGGACTTCCTGACTTCTGAGATGCTGTGTGATTTGCGACACCAGTTGATCATCGTTGGGCGCGGGGGCGTCTTCATCTTCTTGGACCTGCTCGGGAAGATCAATGTCAGCTGCCGCTGATAATGGAACGACAGACAAGATAACGGACCTTCTTACGACGCTTTGCTGGACGACTGGGGGAGGAATCTTCGACGTCGCCTGGTGATGTATCTGCGTTGGACGTCGCGGCTTTACGCGGTTCGCGACGAGCCCTAGAGGCTCTCTTGGCCGACGGTGGCATGGCGGGCAAGCAGTTGTGCACTACTAAGCTGTAACGACGAAACGATGATGGCAAGGTTGAGGTTTGGACACGGGCTATGGTCGTTATCTTGAGGTCGCAGGGCGTGTTTTGGTGCCCTCGAGGATTGACGCGGGAATACGAAACAATCAGGTCAGGTAAAGTCGTGTCGTCAATCAATGAATGTATCGTCTACTAGTGCAGCAAATAAATGCCCTGCCCTTTAAAGTTGGTACCGCGTTCGCGTTAGGATTGACCTAGTGTCGTAAAGTGGCAGGGCCATGACAGGGCTGCGCTGCGCTGCGGGCTGGGCTTGTGGGCTGGCCGGCTGGGATGCGGGTGCTGGGTGTACCGATTCGTGCATATTCGAGCCCCGTTGAGTAAATCAGAGGCGCAGAATCAGCAGACAAGGGGCTGCCAGTGCTGTAAGGGGGCATCATCAGTGATCACTAGCGTGTGTGGGCGTCATTGGGAAACAAGGCGAATATGTAGATGGATCCAATGGATGTCATGAGCGTTGGAAGAGGAAGAAAAGTTGAGATGATTTTTCTTCTCTTAAATCTTAATGATAGGATTATAGTCTGAAAGAGAGAGAGCCTTATTAATTGTTTTCGTATGCCAATATCCAAATCATTATTTTCTTATATAAGGTAGTAGAGTTTTGTGGCTTGACTTGCATCTTGCACAGACAAGAATTCCGGTTACTTCCATTGCCGTACCCCCTGGTCTAGTGTCCAATGTCTTGCGTGCGTCTCAGGGGAAGGGCACTATCCTGATAAGTGAATATCATGTGGTGTTTGTTCGTGAAAATGTGACGACCATGCAATACGATAAATGCACATGCGTAACCTCGAGTAAGCCCAGCCTCGCCTCGCCCTCCACTGACTGACTGAATGTCTCTCATTGACTGATTGTGTTTAGCGCTAAGGTACGGATATTGCCAGCCATGAATCAATAACAAGTTTTCCTTGCGGCTGTCACTTTATCTGTTTCTAAGCGGACAACTCTTGCCACCTAATCATGCACTACAACGCGTGAACAACATGATTGAATGCTTCAGCCACAGTTAATAAATAGCAAATTGCCCATTTAATTCAGCTCAAACCCACAGATAAAAGCCAGTAATAAGAACTCAACCCCCAGGTTTAGGGTGCCTCAGTAGCCAGGGTCCACTGTTTCAATTACTTACACCCAATCCAGCTTCTGGGCCACCACCGCGTTTGTGCAGCCTCGCGGCGCCTCGTAGTAGTCAGCCAAAAGTCTAACTCTTATTCATTACCTACCAAGTAAAAAAAAAAAACTTGGTCTCTTCATCATCCAGCGAATTCACTCGATATCCTTTACGATCCATCCCTTACCTCTCCGATCCAGCCATTCCCAATATTCGTCTCCATACCAGACACAGAGCACCCTCTTGTCCTGTCCTGTGCCTGGCCTCTCCCTTGCGCTGCTCCCACTGCCCTTGGAGAGGCTTGAAAACCAGCGTATTCTTTTAAACAAGCAACCGTTTGTTGATTCGGCTATCATCCTGTCGCATTGGGATTTGCGATCCTCCCCCCGATACGTTCCTCCCCGGCCTCGGGTTGGTTATTATCCAACCACTGTCGTTCAGCTTACCCCCCATTCCGACGTTTGGATACATTGAAGCTATGGCATCTGAACAGGCTTACGGCGTGACGCCTCCCATTTCCGTTCAACTCCCAACGGAAGCTGAGCTGCGACAATCGGACGCTCTCCTGGAAGAATTGAAGCGTCAAAAAACCTTCGAGAGTCCTGCAGAGACTGCCAAGAGGTGAATGCCAATAAATCTGTCGCACGTGAGCATGTCAAGAACTAACACACTTGTTTTAGAGAAGAAGTCTTGGCCTCGATCCAAACCATTTGCGATGCGTTCGTCCGTCGAGTCGCCCAGGAGAAAGAACCCAAGAACGAGGTCCTCATACGAAATGCAAGAGGCAAAGTCTTCACTTACGGCAGTTATCGCCTCGGCGTCTACGGCCCCGGCTCTGATATCGACACTCTCATTGTCGCACCGAAATACGTGACCCGCGAGGATTACTTCAAGTTCTTCCCAGATCTGCTTCTCTCGATGGCCCCCAAAGATGCCATCACTGACATGGCTGTTGTGACTGATGCTTTCGTACCCATCATCAAGTTTGAGTACTCTGGCATAAGCATTGATTTGATCTTTTCTAGGGTTATTCAGAAGCAACTATCTCCCGATTTCAAAGACCTCAAGGACTCTGGCCTGCTGCGCGGCCTAGATGAGGCAGAGCTGCGATCTCTCAACGGCACACGAGTAACGGACGAGATTCTCACGCTAGTCCCCGAACAGAGCACATTCAAGAATGCGCTGCGAGCCATCAAACTGTGGGCGCAACGGCGTGCTGTCTATGCCAACATCATGGGTTTCCCTGGTGGTGTTGCTTGGGCCATGCTCGTCGCACGCGTTTGCCAGCTCTACCCAAAGGCTACGTTCTCGGTGATTGTTAACAAGTTCTTTTTGGTTATTAGCCAATGGCGCTGGCCGCAACCTGTTCTTCTCAAGCCCATCGAGGGTGGACCTCTCCCTGTTCGAATCTGGAACCCCAAGGTACGTCTAGTTGCATGCGATTTCAATACGCAGAATGCTCATCCTGTTTCTGCAGCTTTACAAGGGTGATACTTATCATCTAATGCCGGTCATTACTCCTGCGTACCCATCCATGTGTGCCACTTTCAACATTACTCGTTCGTCGATGGCGATTATCAACCGAGAACTTAAGCGGGCTCTTCAGATATCTGAGAGTATCATGGTGGGCAAGCGCCCCTGGAGCGATCTTTTTGTCAAGCATACCTTCTTCACCGCAGGTTACAAGTACTACATCTCTGTTACCTCAGCAGCGAAGACAAAGGAGGCCCACACGATCTGGTCCGGTTATGTTGAGTCCAAGGTTCGAATGCTAGTGCAGAAACTTGAGCAACACCAGTCCATTGCTCTAGCCCATGCCTTCAACAAGGGCTATGAACGACAACACCGATGTCACAATCAGGAAGAGATTGAGGCTGTGCAGGAAGGGAGCCTCGATTATCTATGTAAGGAAGACACCGAGCAGACTACTGCTGTTAAGATTGAGCCCGCAGTCGCCGAGCTACCAATCAAGGCTGAAAACGGGGAGAATGGCCATCTCATCACGTCTGAGAATGGTCCGGGTGACGAACAGGTCAAGACCGAGAACGGTGAGAATGGTCGAGTTGTAAAGCCTGAGCCTACAGAAGAGACTGGTCCTATCACGGCCGTGCCTGTCAAACCTGAGACATCCGATGACTCCAAACCAACAGACACTGCGACGGCAAGCGGCCCATCCGACATCTACACAACTACGCACTATATTGGTCTCGAGTTGGCTTCTGGTATGTATACAGCCTGACATGTTTTCGCAAATCCTCGGTGTTTGAGATTTCCCAATACTGACTCAATAGGCGCCAAATCACTTGATCTTTCTTACCAGGTTGATGAGTTCAAGGAACTTTGCACCTCGTGGCAGAAATACAAGGATGATCTGAAAGATGACGTCTCTATTGGTGTTCAACATGTCCGAAAGTGGGTTCAGCAGACGCTTCCAGACATCAACGCACCTTGGCCTGCTGACTTTGACCCGCACAGCTTCAATTTACCAGACGATGTATTCGACGACGGCGAGAAGAAACCCCAGAAGAAGGCTGCAGCTAAGGGCTCAGCAAACGGCAAGAAACGGGGGCCCCCAGAGGTATTTAAGCATCACCGGACGAATTCCCATTGCCGGCCAAGATGCGCTGTTCCAGATGGCACATCCCTCTCAGCTAGGGTATACTAATCCTCGAATAGGAGAATCCTCCCCCAGCGAAGAGACAGCAAGCCTCGGTTGCCGCCGCAGGCTGAGCATGATAGCATATTTCGCGTTCCACACAAAAGTTGGCTCGGAAGAGCTCGACCACAACTCAATTGTGCATCTTGCACTGTATCTCAAAAATATCAAGAATATCGGCAAGTCCATAAGTGGCTGGACGATTAGCATGTGGCTGATCACGTAACTAACATAAGATAAACAAAAAAGTTCGCTTTCAACCAGACTGAACTGCATCAACTACCATGGTAAGTTGGCAGTGCCAGCCTGATGTGTTAATGCATTACTGGCGGCGTTATTTGCGATTGGAAGATTGAATAATCTACATTAATAACAGCAGAAAGAGAGAGAGAGGCACGTGTAGTGCGGGAAGGGCAGCTGGCTAAATCAACATTTTGTGCTTCGCAGCAACATATCTCCAAATTGGGAGCTGTCTAGTCGCCGGGTCGATAACGTTGAAGACCTACAGCAACCTCATATTATATCTGTACCTAGGAAATGGCCATGCTAGATCAATACAAACTTTTTGAGGCTCGATGAGCCTTGGGAGATTTGCTCCAAACCTCTTCTTGTTTTTGTCCCGCGTGTTCCTGAGATGTGAATGGTGCCCGAGATTGCTCGACTCTATTCGGATTTGATGGCTAGCTCTATCAAATGTATCATAGGTCATCGTCGTCATCATCACTGCCACTGAACCAGCCTTCTTGGTAGGCATCCGCCAGTTCTGCGAGTCCGTTACCAAGATCCTCTCTTTCGTTGACTGGCACAAGTCGAGCAGAGTCTGACCGCAAATTTCTGATCCGTTGCACTAATGAGCTGTTTGTCGAGAGTGTGGTTTGCATGCTGACATCAGGATGGCTACTGAGTTGGGGATAGATCTGGGGGTAGGCGTCCAGCAACGGGAATCTGAGAGATGAATCGTATCTAGTCGAGTATCAGTACATAGCAAGTCACATGGTCTAGACAGTAACGTACTTGCGCACAACAGAATTGCCTATCATGGGGCGTTCACCTGGAGCAAGATGTCCAGGAGCGTCTTCATCAAGGTTCCCAAGGGGGTCCAGATCTCGATAAGATCGGAGTTCACCAAAGACATGCTTATGGGCATCCGATCTAGCAATATGCTGTCGACTCCAAGTGCGCCCTATTTGGAAGAAGTCGACATTGATGCGGCTGTCTTCCGATGAGTCTTTTGCAGATGCCAATGACATGTTGATGCTGGCCAGGGGCTGATTGCCATTGACGTTCAGACTCTCAGCCAGGTCGTCTAGAGAACTTGGCTGCTCCGAAGAGCCTTGTACCAGACGTGTAGGCAAGGTGGCTGTTTCGATAGCTGCAGCCATGACAGCAGATGTGTGCCAGGGCGAGCGGCGATCCAACGATACTCCAGCTGATAGGTCCTCTTCGGGTAAAGCCATAGGAACAACTGTCGTTGCCTGCGTGCAGAGCTGCTCGATACTGTGAGCGATGTTCGCAAGGCGTAGTTGGCGCTTTGATCTGGGAATATCAAGCAAGGGGCTTTGAAGACCCCAGGTCCATATGGTTGTCTTTGGGAACTCATCCCTCAACGACTCGAGATATGCGGATGCATAGCCACCCCAAGCATCGTCGATAGTAGTAAAGACCTGTATTCCCTGCATCCTGTCACACTCTTCTGCAAAGGGCCTGAAGTCTCGATCCACGATATCGTGCTCCTTGTCGAGCATCGAGAAGAGCTCTGTGCCCATTGAGAAACGCTCAAAGGGCATGGTAGTCGAGTTGAGCTCAAAGTCATAGAGCTGGACCAGTGAACGTGGATGGAAGTAAACTCGTGAGAAATCGGACCAGTATCTCACATTCGAGGTTGTTAGTTGTGCCGGTTCAGTGCCTGCATCGAGGCTCTGCTGGTACTCGCTTGGATTAATGGGTGCCTGTTTGTGAACGACTGATTGACCTGACCTGAGAGGGTGTTAGCATGGGTGCTGGCCAACAGGATGATCAATCGGACTTCCTACCATAATTCCGCAGGATCTGGTTCGGCTTCAGCTTCATACAGTGCATTAATCTTGCGTAAAGAACCAAAGCCGCCTTTGAGGTCGTATATGACTGTTCGTGGGAGAAATGTTTCTGAGCCATCAGCGCCTAGACCGGCCCGCCAATGAACATTGTGATCTATGGGTGACTTTTCGTCGGCTGAGTATGTAAAGTATGACTCCTATCCTACGGTCAGTGATTGTGTTTTGTGCATGAGCTGTAATATATTACCTGGGCATTCCAGAAGTGAGTGGCCGTATAGTTGCTCAGCTGACCGAGCTGAAGACTGATGATTTCACGCATTTGGGGACCGTGATTATAGAATTTTGTATGCCTTTTATATGTATCATAAGACAGTTGATGCAATCAGAGACCAAGCCTGCGTGTAGAAGTGTGAAATGTCAAAGTTCACATGCGAAGTCTTGATCGATGGAGATATCTGCGACTACATAAGTGCTTACCCTACACGAATATAGTGGATATTTGTGGTTTTCAAACATGCATCTGTTGATACCCTAAGTAGCTTATCTAATCATCAATTCGAGAATTCAATAAAGTATTGGAAAGGTGTATCATCCTGATTGAGTAGGATATTCAAATAGACCAGGGTATTATATCTCATTCTTCTTTGTATGTTGGTCATATGTAGGAGTACGTGTGAGTGTGAGTATTATGTCATTGACAATGGTCGCACTTATACCTCCCTTGCTCTAATACCACGAGACGTTTGGAGCTTAAAATACTCTGATTATTCAACACATCTCATATCATAACACACCAAAACAATAACGTTACTGCCGCATCATGTCACAAGAAACTGCTGCTGTTGATGCCAACGCTAATGCCGGCTTCTGGAAAGAACTCGACTCATGGAAGACACCCGTAGCTAAAGAGGTCGGTCCTACAGTCGAGGTTGGATCTAAAGCGCCCTGGTCTCAACACCTTCGCCTTCCAGACGGGAAACCTACTCTCGTGGTGTTTCTCCGTCATTGTGGATGTCCCTGTATTTTAATCCTTATCATCCCGTTGGTACGATCTGATGCTAACTGTGACTAGTCGCTGAAAAAACATTCAGAGCTCTCGCCGACCTATCCGATAAGGTCCCAGGGGTCCATTGTGTCGCCATCTCGCACTCTTCAGAAGAGGCAACAGACAAATGGCTGCCCCTGGTCGGTGGCACCTGGAACGTCGATGTTGTAATTGATGAAGAGCGCGACTTGTATGCCAAATGGGGTCTCGGAATATCATCAACGTGGCACGCCGTTAACCCTCTCACGCTGTGGAATGTCTTCAGCCTTGGAAAGAATGAGGGCATCTGGAATCGACCAACAGAGAGTGGCTCGCGGTGGCAGACGAGCGGTGCCTTTGCTGTTGATCGCGACGGAACTATTCGCTGGGCTCATGTGGCGAGAACCGCTGATGATATGCCGGATCTCAAGGCTGCCATGACTGCGCTTGGACATCCACCCCCTGAGAATAAGCGCCACTCAAAGCATGAGCATTAGTAGAACTACTGATTGACGAGGTTAGACTTATCTCAGTGTCCATATATGAGCCGAGAAGGGGGCTATCATGTGTCAAAACTAAGCAACGCTGTCACCAGGATTCACAAGATAGGCGGCCGTCAAAGTGCAATTAATATATGCGTGTGATATTTATAGGGTATTTTGTGTCATGATATATTGCTCCAGTATTCGATCCCGCCTCTTGTCCTGGCCTTTGGATTAGAGCATAATGGCGAAGCGAAGACGATGGCGCTGGTCCGTACGTGTTTCAGCAGGCCGTAATACCATGTCTCGCCGTCTAGAAAGACAGGACCATGCTCAGCCGTCCAACCTCTATGTTTCTTCTTCGTGATGCAACAACAGAACACATCCCGTCAGACCAGCCGGTGTGCATGATCTTGGAAGCCACCAAACCAACCAGGCCAACACTGCTCACCATTTCTAGAGCAAGCATCCCTTTCTGCTTGAGACCTCCCCCCATCTCCAAGAGGCCGAGTGGATCCTGGTGCGTAGGTTGAGGAGCTTTCCGTTTCTTGGACTGCGTCTTTTTCTTGCCGTTCCTGGGGACATGGACTAGACTCGACTGCGTTGCCACAGCGTTTGAAATGGCCCTCTCTTCCATCAGATGATATAATCTCTCGGATTGAAGACTCTGTCGCAGGTTATTCGCCCAGTTATAGAGCTCAAGTCGATCCCAGCTCGGGGTCCGCCTGAAGGACCTTAATCTCATGGCCCTCTCCGGGATAGATCGAGAGACTGAGGCTCCGCTCGACAATGCATTTTGAAGCAAGTTATCCCCGTGATCACGTCGCCATTTGATACATTTCACCGCCGCAGAGTGCCGCAATCGAGCGCTACCGTCCAGAGAAAAGATGTGGTCGACGAGTCGGCCCAAGTCTGTAGGCAAAAGCGGTGGGATGTATTCCGAGTCCATAAGGGTACTGGCGTCCATGGTATCGTAGTCTGGCCGGGATTCGGTAGAAACGGCATATACACACTTGGTCTCCTCTGAGTCGTCAGGCCCCTCAAAGGAGAAATAACCAACATCCTTATCAGCCAGACTCTCCACAACTTGCTGTTTGATATGCTTGATTTCCTCTGGTGCAAGCACATCAACCCTAGTAAGAACTGGGATTACGTTAGTCATGCGCTGAGCGCGTTTAATGTACTCGACATCCTCTCGTACAAGGCCTGAAACTCATTAGCAAACGTGGTCGTTAAACGAAACTGGATGAACTTACCGCTGTGAGGAATAAGGTAGAGCAGAGCGTCCACAACTGGCTCGCCGCCAGAGTTGACCAAAGTGAACAGATCCGAATCAGCCATGGGCTTATTCATCAGAGACGTCAAGTGAGATTCGACATAATGAAGATCACGCCACGATCCCTGGGTTATTGTTAGGATGCGACGATGTGAGGTGGCGGTTCAGGTACATACAGAGGCATCTCGTCGGTGGCCGGGGCTTTCAACAAAGCATACATTCCTATCAAGGACATCACCAGTGGTAGAAATCCGCCTCCGTGTTGTCACGGTGAGTTCAGAATCAGATCGCCACCATGGCTGTGGGCGCGAACTGGCGTATGTTTCAGTAGCATGCACTGCACTGCGATTCTCTATCGGATCCATGTGAACGATGTGCTCGCAACGTTCTGCCAGAGTCTTGATGAGAGAAGTTTTCCCAATACCTGTTGAATTTGTTAAAACCGTCACGGATCGGTATTCTGTTCATTTACTTGCCACATTGCCCAGCGACCATAATCTTTAGCTTGCCCAAAGATTTACCCACTTCCGAGAAAGGACGACGTCGTGGAACCATCAAGTTCGGCATGATAAGCTGAGGAACCGTGCTCTGATTTTCTTGATTATCTGCCAGATCTGTTACGGGTAAGGAGACATTATCGTGAATCAAATCGCTATGGGCGTCGATGGAGGGACCTGCTAGGGAGCAGCTTTGCGACGAGATGCTCATGACAGAACCAGAATGCGAAAGACCGATCAGAGAGGGAGTGCTTGGCTGCGACGGTAAATTCAAGGGCTCTTGTTCAACAACAGATTCAACGGAAGAATCGTCTGAGCCGTCTGACTCCGATGCAGGATACGCAGGCTTACGGCCGGTATGAGGAGGCGAACGTCGTTGACGCGGGGTTGAAGGCCGGCGCGAGTTACGACTACACTTGCGCCGATCGCTTTGCTGGCGGAACCGCGGACGAGAGCGATCTCGGCGAGCGTCAAGGTCGGCCTCTGTGGTGATGAAACAGGCAGTAGGCACAGTCGAAGAAGGGCGTACCAAGCTGTCAGGCCGGTCTGAAGACCGAGTGTTGAGAGGATGGTTCGTAGGCAAGACAGGTCTCATTGTTGTATGTGGTTGGAGGGGACCAAGGCAGCGTGCTATGCTATGCTGTGCTTATACGGCGGATACAGGGGTGCTAAGGTGCAGTTCTGATAAGGGGCAAGCTGTCTCTGTTCATGTCACGGCGCCTTGTAGGAGAACAGAAGAACGTATGTAAGGTATGTATTTGAATTCGAAGGCGTAACACAGCGAGGGGCGAGCAGTGAATATGGTAAGAAGTAACACGGGAAACGCGGGATGGATTGATTGTGTAGCTCGATGACGATTGTTTTAAAGTCCAAACTCAGTTGGATGATAAGGTAAGGTAGCCTCAACAAATATCCCGTCGTCTTATTGATTCATGGGGTAGAATGCCATATTCGGTAGGTGGGGGTGCATGGGCCCATTTTACCGGGTGCGCGTGCGCTTAATCTATAGCACTAACATGCCCCCGTGACGGGCTTGAGGCATGATTGACACCCGCTATAAGCACCCATATCGACGGGCAGGTGTAGGCTGAGATCAGTCTCGTAACATCAATACTTTAGATATTTAACAAAAATGGTGAAGAATATTACTATACAGTATATATCACCAACTATTCTGCTCCTGACTAACACCTTCGTTTTCAGTATTTCAATGGCCTACTAGGTATCGGATTCAATAAGTACTAATTCCAGACTCTCTTCCCCTTCCGTCGATCCCTCCAACCCCTCCCTCACAAGGAGACCCTTCCAGCAGCCTCCACTGTTTGGGTACCTACAGACATTCCCTTTCTTTCCCCCCTCCATCCATCACAAAAGTCGCCGCAAGCAAAGGGTGCGACTCCAAAAAAAAAAAGTGAGGCCAACCTGAAGGGCGGAACCCCCAAATACATACTCTATCGTCAAGGGCAGTGTTTGTGAGTCATCAACAAACCCAAAATATCAAGAAATAGCAGCAAACAATAGCCACTGCCCAAAATCCTTCACCTCGCATAATCTTTCTCACCTGCAGATTATCGACAATCCTCTCCAAGTCGCAGTCCCAGGTCCCTCAGTCGAAATTGGTGACACGCCATTATCAGCCAATACCCACCCATCCTCGTTCGCTTTTCAAACCCTACCCGCATCAGATCCCCCAACTGATATCATATCGTACCCTCAACATGGACGGAAAGCGACACCCCAGCTCGTTCCAGCAGCTCGAGAAGCTCGGTGAAGGTACCTACGCCACCGTCTTCAAGGGCCGCAACAGACAGACTGGAGAGCTTGTAGCGCTCAAGGAAATCCACCTCGACTCCGAAGAGGGAACACCGTCGACCGCCATCCGAGAGATTTCGTTGATGAAGGAGCTCAAGCACGAGAATATTGTAGGCCTGCACGATGTTATTCACACCGAGAACAAACTCATGCTCGTCTTCGAGTACATGGACGGCGATCTTAAGAGGTACATGGACACTCATGGCGATCGCGGTGCCCTCAAGCCTACCACCATCAAGTCCTTCATGTACCAGCTCCTCAAGGGCATCGACTTCTGTCACCAAAATCGTGTTCTTCACCGCGATCTCAAGCCCCAGAACTTGCTCATCAATAGCAAGGGCGTTTTGAAGCTCGGCGATTTCGGCCTTGCCCGCGCCTTTGGTATCCCCGTCAACACCTTCTCCAACGAGGTCGTCACCCTATGGTACCGCGCCCCCGATGTTCTCCTCGGCAGCCGAACATACAACACCAGTATCGATATCTGGTCCGCGGGCTGCATCATGGCCGAGATGTTTACCGGTCGACCTCTGTTCCCCGGAACCACAAACGAAGACCAGATCATCCGCATTTTCCGCATCATGGGAACACCAACAGAGCGTACCTGGCCCGGTATCACACAGTTCCCCGAGTACAAGCCTACATTCCATATGTACGCCACTCAAGATCTTCGAAACATCCTCCCGGCGATTGACCCCAACGGTATCGATCTGCTGCAGCGAATGCTACAGCTTCGTCCGGAACTGAGGATCAGTGCCCATGATGCCCTTCAGCACGTTTGGTTTAACGACCTTATGATGCACCCTCAGCAGCAGGCTCTCCAAGCGCAGGCTCGCGGATACCCCCAGGCTGTTCCCACTCAAGGTTTCGAGGCGTATTAGAACTTGCCCCAACCCCCAGTGGCGGGAGACCAAGATTTCTAGTTTTGCCTGCGTCATGATCACAGCGTTTTTGAATCGAGCTGTTTCAGTAACAGCGTCTCACTGCAAACCAAAAGAAGAAAATACCGGAATATTACGTGACGACTATTTCTCAGCACGATGGAGTTAAGGGTCAGCATGAATTAGACAGGACAGGAGAGATATTGGATCTTGGGACAGCAGCGTGTGTCGGTGTCTTGATTCGTCATTTATTGTTTTATTCCTGTCAACAACTAATGTTGAGTATGAATACCTTAGTCTTGGGTGGTTTGACCCTCCTTGTTTTAGTCTATAATTCTACGAGCGAAATGTATGACATTTATACTCATGGGCGTTCTCTTGGCCCATGTCTGTTAACAAGACTGCCATCGACTGGGCTCTTGAATTTTGTGCGGAGAGGATCTTTGGCCCATGTTTCTGCGAGAGCCGGTGCTTCGTCCTTTTCTGCAGGGAACCCTGCGCTTTCTCGTAATTTCTCGACCTCGTCTCTTACTCTCCTGGCCACCGATATTCTTAACTCAGTAGCCTCTGGGCCATTTCGGAGAAGTTCTGGGTCACCTTTCGCAACAAGTTTGCGCCATGCTGCCCGCTGGTGACCAAAGAGCTGGTCGACATCTGTCGGCTCACCTATCACTATCTTCACGGTCTTTCCAATACGAGGCGCCCATCTGGGCCATCCTCTATCCTCGGCCATAATGTGCTGGGTACCATGAACGAACATGGGGATGAACTCTGGAGCCGGATCAGATTCGAGAATAAGTCGAGATACACCCCATTTGAAGTAGCGCAATCCGCTATCCGGACTTTGGTGACAACAAGCCTCTGGAAACACGTGGACCCAGGCATTTCGATAGGCTGGGTAGGCAGATGGCGCTGGAAATTGATCAACGCCGTTGGTAGAGAAGAAGAGCGGTTGAGGAACTGCAGGAGGTCTTGTTGAAGCAGGAGTTGCAGAGAGAGGAGAGTCGGAGGCTGTAGACCATGAAGCTGGTGATGAGCCGGATAGTAGCTTGATAGCCTGTGCCATGGTTGGCTGGTATAGACCACCATAAGGAGAGTACCATAATCTGTGAGTGGGCAGAACCTGACCAAGACTGAAGAATGTCGATGTGGCTCTGTTATTTGTGTTGTTAGCTAAATGTTCACTCACTCACTCTCATACAATGGTCTTCTCAAGACTTACTTATTCTTGAAACATATATCATGCGCCCCAAGACCCCATCTCATGTTGACTGCGTCAAAGAAGTACCGCATTGGTAGCATGCCCCAAATAAGAGGATCATCAAGTCTATATGCATGGCAGATGGTTAGCAAATGAACAGTAATGTTGAATCGACATGGCATACACTGCTACATGATTACATACAGTGAGCAGCCCGCGCTCACGCCCTTCTCTTTTCCTACGATCAAGAACCCCCAGAAGCCCTTCTAGGCCTGTAACCTCGAGAGTATTGAAGCCGTTCATGAATACTCTTGAGAATGCGCCAACTGAGCCCATGACAGTCGCCGAGGCAATGCGCCATGGCAGACTTGGCTGCGCAGGAGGATCTGAATCTGACATGGTAACGACAGTCTTGAGAAGATATCAAATTATCATTGTGAAACAGAGACAATATTGTAACGCGAGTATTCGTTAAATGGAAAAAGACAAGTCTAGACAAGTGCTTTACACGAGTATTTGATCGGAGAGAAGCGGCTCATAATAGACCCACCTCCAACTTTTTTCCTGTTTGCTTACCCTGTAGAAATGACATGGGATTCCTAGAATGGGCAGGACAGGTTAGGATTAGGCATGTGCTGGGGTTGCATTGCAACTAAGTTAAGTTAAGTTGACGTCTACCTCAACGTTTATTTGAACATCTATCACTTCAAACTTGTTCTTGTCGTTCGTAGGCGAGTATCACTGGGGAAAACTAGTCTTTCTCAATCACATCGAAATCAGATTTACGAGCTTCGGGACACTGCGACATTAAATTCCCCTATACCAGCTTCTATCAACAATAACGGAGCTCTCCCAAGCCAGATAACATCATGGTATCAGCACACAGTACGTTCCTTATGATACCATCACAACTGCTGTCTTACCAAACTAACCCAATTAATCAATCAGGTAAACGGAACACCTCCCGTCCAGTCTTCACCTCTCACGAACGCGCCCTCGCAAAATCCCACTGGTCATCTTCGTCCGCTCGCCTCCACCGCGACTCATTCCTCCCATTTGGTTCCTGTGGTCTGTGTCTCAACATCGCCCGCGATCCCGTCTCATGTCGACGCGGCGATATATTCTGCCGTGAATGCGCACTATCGAACATACTCACGCAGAAGAAGGATATCAAACGCGCCCAGAAGGCACGCGCCGCTGCTGAGGAAGAGGCCGCTAAGCAAAAAGCGCACGAGGATGAGCTGGATCGCGAGCGCACCATTCAAGATTTTGAGTTGACGCAGGCTGGTCTCGACCGCAAGAACAAGGCAAACGTAACCAAGACCGACGATGAAAAGGTGGATGCGACGATCAGCGATTCGAACTCGCAAGCTTTGGTAGTAGGTACGAAGCGTAAGTTTGAACTCGACAAAGACGAACTGGATCGCTTTGCGCGCGAGGACAAGGTCAAAGCCAGGAAAGCGCTGGAAGAGGAAAAGGTAGGAATCTCAACCCTACAGTGGTGTAGTATTCCGTGTTGACTCCCTATCGTACAGGCTGCGAAACCACATCTCCCATCATTCTGGACTCCATCGCTTACACCAGACGCCCAATCAAGCAAACTCCCACCAGTTGCGAAGAAAGACAAGACCGTACCAACATGCCCAGCATCTGCATCCGACAGTCCCCACCCTATTACCATGCAAAATCTCATCACAATTAACTTCAACGAAGAGGAAACGTCAAAGGGCAAGCAGAGGACTTGCCCGTCATGCTTAAAGATGCTCACAAACGCCTCCAATCCCATGATGACCAAAGAGTGTGGTCATGTTTTGTGTCACAGTTGCGTTAAACAGTTTATGATCCCATCATCCAGAAATACATCTTCTGAGGATGTTCCACCCCTGACCTGCTACGTCTGCGACGTACCTCTGACCTCCAAGTCACACAAGACAGATACAGCCCCTGGCTCTTCGATACCTGGCTTGATAGCCCTCCAGTCCGAAGGGACAGGCTTTTCAGCTCACGGAGGAAACACCGTGGAGCGATCGAGCGTCGCTTTCCAATGTTAAGAATCTCGCACTGAACCACATCCCATCACTTCATCCGCAGCCTTCGCTGTCGCAAGTAGGGCAACAGCATCATAAACCATACACGAACAACAAACCGATGAATAACACCCTTGGTGAGCATTGTCAATCCGTGACTGAAGAAGCTCTTGAGAAGCTCTCCCTGAAGTCCAGCGTAGAGTGCTTTCATACCCTCGTTGGTAATGATGCGAATAATGACGCCAAATATGGACTGATTGAGAAGATCAAGTATCCTCCGCAGTATATGCTTGCGCTTCGAATTTCCGCTCTGCCCTTTCTCCACATCAGCATCCGCCGTGCTCACCGAGCTACCCGCCATTTGAAGGCGCGTCTTGCCTGTCTGGAAAGGATATGTGATGGCAGTGGCAGTAGCTTTGCTCGAGGCGGCAATCAAGAAGGCGATCCATGCCACTGGAAAGTCCTCTTCTTCGAGTGCTGGTAAGATCCGCGCTGCCAGCCGTCGATTGACAAAGAAGGTGATGCTGGGATTCAGAGTGAGCATCAGGGTAGCCGAATAGCCAGACCAGAGACCAAGCAATCCGCTTTCTTTTCGAATCTCGGAGAGAATATCCATAAGCGACTGCTCACTCCCCAACATCTGCTTCCTCGTGACAACATTCGAAATGGGGGTGGTGAGAGCCCTGGCACACCCTCCAGCGACGGCGCCCACAAGAAGCTCTTCGACAATCTTGGGTTTGCGATGTCGAGGGCGTAGATAGTTGTAGAAGCCAAAGAATAGAAAACTATCCACGACCGACTTGGCCACATCTGTTCCTAGTCCACTGTACAGTGCCTTGATCCCTCCTTCGTTGGCGGGGATGCCTTTGAAAGCTGAAATGACACCATCGTAGTCGCCTGTAGAGCCTCCCGTCTTTCGCTGCGCCTTGAGTCGAGTCGTAACCAGGTCCAATGGGTACAGAGATGCTGTTGATATGGCTGTCCCTACAGAGCCAGATACGGCGTGGCCAAGGGCATTGAGAGCCTGCTGAGACGACATTGTAACAAGATCAAGATAATGAGAATGCTCATCAATGCCGTGAAACGAAGTGATGATAGCTGAAAGGCACGCGCACCTGCATGATGTGAAGGAAGAGTCGCGAGCAAGGCAACATGGATGTTGAGCCGCATGTAAGTAGCCCTGGTATTATAGCAGGACAGGACGGGACCGTAATAATGAGCGACGCGCGCTATCGCATTCAAGACGTCATAAGCCAACCTCGGCGCGGCCCCACCATCCAGTTACCGCATGTGACCCATGTTCCGAGGCATGACGGGTATACTTAGAGATGGGACACTCATAACATTATTGATATCTCATACAAAAGTAAAGTCTTCCAGACCCCGCTGTACAATACTCCTCGTCACAAACAATAAACAGCGTTTGGTATCTCCTCCAAGAATGGTCCGTTGTACAATCGACCTTGATACGCTTCCAGAGAACGTGTGTTGGTTCTGTTTTCAACCCTTTACCTGGCCTGCAAGGTTTCATTCTATGCTCTGCTTGAAACTGATGGTTGTCTTTGAGGTGTGAATGTTGCTGTCGTCCGCCCAGCATTATTGAAACCCGCAGTAATGTCTATCTCTCCTGGAGCATCTTCTGAAGCGGGTTGTAGCCCAGGATGGCCCTCGGGAAGCTTCTGTGCTCCAAAACCAGTGACTGAAAAGATATTTGTCCTTCCACCATTGGTGGCCATTTGAAGCTGTTCGTGTAATCTTGCGAGCTGGTATTGTCGTTTTATGGGAGTGAAGGTGGGTTGTGGTATTAAAGGTTGAGGGCGCCATTGTGATAGAGCACCCATCACGGCCGTTGTTTCTTCGTCGGAGTCGACAGGCCCGTTATTGGCTTCGTCTTCATCTTCTATCGGCGCGTTGGCATCAAGCGCTGCCTCTGTTGGAGTAAATTGTTAGTCGTGTCCAGGCAGGGAGTACTAGTGAAAGGGTGGACTAGATCAAGACTTACTCTGCTGCTTCGCTTGATTCTTCTTCTGGTACGCGGCAAGAAGCATATCGTATGGCAAAGATCTTCCTGCGACTGCGCGCTTCGCTCCCATACTATGGCTCTTACATGTCAATGATCTTGCGCATGGCTGTCCATTGGGCAACAAGACACCACACTGCCGCTCCACGTCCACAGGTCCTAGCATCAGTTTTAGTGCAAGTCTCTCAAGAGACCCGTGATCAGTATCTCACCTTTTGGCTTGGGGACCTTGGCTTTCGGCTCATCCTTCTTCTTCTTATTCTTGGGTCCCTTGTCTGGATCACCATCGGCCTTGCGCTTCTTCCCCTTCTTATCGTCTTCGGGTTTCTTACCCGCGGCCTTTTTGGCAGTCTTGCTTCCAGTCGCTTTCTTTTCAGCTGAGATTCCGTCGTCGTCACTGTCGTCGTCGCCCCGCTCAACCCCATTCTCTTCGTCCTCTTTCCGTTGTTCTTCTTGTCTTGCTGCCTCTTTTGCCCTTTCTCTTGCTTCGCGAGCTTCTTTCTTTCTTTGAGCCTTCTCTTTCTTTAACCGCAGGCATTGCGCAATATGCGCCTTGGCGGCCGTTTTCAAAACGCTCTTCTTACAGTGCTTGCATTGTTGCAGGTCGGGGCTATCTTCGAGGGGTCGTCCTGTCGCAAAGGTTTCGCGGGAAGTTTCGTCGAGTTCGTTTACAACAGGACCTGGTGAGGGCGCACCCACAGGTGAGGCGCCGTTCTTCTTCTTGTCTTGGGAACATTAGCGGCTTCGCCAAGATTGTATAGGATGACCCCAGTACATACTGTTACCCTCAATTACACTACCATCCATCCAGTTTCCAGGTTTGCTGTGTTTTGGCGCTGGTTTCTTCAGCTTGATCTTTCCGTTCTTGTTCTTGGATGCGACTTTGATCGTGCCGTCATCGCCTGCAAGCTGGGTGTTAGTCTAATGCAGTCGCGCATGTGTAAAGTCGCGTTACCTTTTCGGGCATCCGTCCCCATGATGATTGAAGTCAGCGACTAGTATAGTTGCTATTGTAGTTAAACAGTTTCCTTCGTATCGATGATGAAATTTGCTTTGATGGATCGCGAATAGTCTGGCTTTGAAAGGGATGGTCGTCGCGATAAGGCTGGGCTGGGTATGGATGTTATGGTGGAGTAGAAGGTGTGGCTGCCTTAATGATACACGTGCCTGAGCCAGGGTCGGCCCACGCCTACACTATTTCTCCGGGGGTTTAGTCAGATCCCCACTAATATCTGGGGAAGAGCCAGGCTCTCATGAATGGAAACAGATAAGCACCAATGATAACCAGGTTTTTGAATTCAGGGTGAGATAAGGTTAGATGATCAATTTTAGAGACTACTGACAAGATCAAAGGATTGTAGAATAGTACCAAATTGCTACTTAGCACTAATATGATGCCTCGACAAAGAGTCAGGGCACCTGTTTCTGAAATCGTCCATCTAATGGGCCAGTGAGTGTGTTAATGATTTTGAATAGTATAAAATGTCTGAGCCATGGTCATTTCCATTAAGCTCTGATAATACTATAGACAAAGAAAGAGTTTATCAACATAAGTTGTGTAATATAAAGGCCTCAGGTGCGAGTAGCAACACTGAGGCTGAGAAGTTATCATGTCTACCACAAGCATAAGTGGCCATGCACCCAATATTCGTTAACCATAACCTTCCGTGAACCTAAAAGTCCAGATGCAATACCCAAACCAGCCAACTCCGGGTGAAGAACGACGCTCGATGTCAGTTTTTCTACCCCTAGGTACCCAAAAGAAGAAACTCGATGTCAATGCAGCCCACAAAGCCAGTAAACACCGAACAAGATGCATTCGTACTGTCCCAGACATTCCATGATTTTATTCATAACCACACCGATGCCTGGGCGAGTTATCATCACCGCACACTGCTTTCGATCACTTCCTTCTTTATCTTCAGCGAGTCACGATATGCCTTCATGGTGTCCATCATGCACTTGGCATGAAGAATACCCATATCACTCCATATACACTCCATCACTGCCACAACCCAGTCCCAGTATGCTTCTGGGACACCAGGAGCACAGGCAGCAACTTGAAGGTGAAATAGAACAACGGGAAGCCCAGCAGAGCCAGAGCCCGCCCCTCCTGGTCTCTCGACTGGTATGGCAGCCTTTTCGGTGAGAAGCGGGTGTCGCCAATGTGTTGGGGTGCTCACGAGAGTGTCGCGGGCGAGTTTTCTAACGATCTCGTATCGATGTCCGTATTCGGCCAGCGAGATCAAGGGCGCGCTAGATTTGGGGTACGCCTTGATGAATTCGATAATTGCCTGATTCAAGAGAGTACGCGCCCATCGGTAGTGTCCATACATCCGTGCAACAAACATGTCGAAATAGACATGACACGCGCCATCGAATACCGCAGCTGGTGGTAGGTGTTCCGCTTTCTCTTCGCGAAATCGCCAAGTAGGTCCAAGATTTCGTTCCCAACTAAGGAATGACTCGTCGATATCTAATAATTGCTTCAAGGTGGACACTGTGATAGAACGACCGTCGACCAGAGCATGAGTCTTGATGTATGTTGAGACCTGAATGAATCGCCCAATTAATGGGCCGAGATCGGTAGCAGGATGATCGGCTGGGTCAAGGAGGGTTCTTGCAAACGAAATCCATTCGAATAGGGGGTCCGGCAGGGGTGTTGCGGACATGTGAGCAGGTATAAACTGAGCAACTATGTGAGTAAATTGGGACGATGTGCTTAGAAACCATGACATACAAGAGAATAAGACATTTGTACCATGGCACGAACACCGAGGAAAGCGGCCGCTGGCATAGGTAGCCATCGTCGCAATAGAGCAAGCCCGCCCATAACGTGCGCATGAACGTGCCCTAGTCCTTGATAGGCTCCTTTGACAAGCTGGAGACGGGTGTTAGCATATCAAAAGCCAAGACTGGACAGGAGAATGGTAGATCGGGGAGATGGGGCTGACCATGCGGGTGTGTTGGCTAGCATTAGGGGTCGGGGCACAAACCTCGAACATGGCAAGCATGACGACGGAGCGCATCGTGACCTCAAAATCCGGCATGCTCGAGGTCTGTACGAGGCGGCCAGTCTGGCGCAAAGCCAACCCATATTGTTGACGGGCTATCGTCATCATGCTGGGATCGTCTTTGAGATTGGAAAGGCTAGCGAGGCCAACCGCGGCCATTACGTCTTGAACAGCAGGGTCCCATAGCCATTCCGTGTGTGACAAATCGCCGGGGGACCTGGGCTCATCTGGATGGCCTATTAGGTAACGGTTGACATAGAACTGAACGCCCTGCTCCTCGAGACTTGGATCGATTGGCGGCGAAAGCCTTGGTGGTCGTATAACGATAGGCTGTACAGTGGAAACATTTGAGGTCGTATGATATAAAGATGAAGCGGGAGATTGAGGGGTCGGCGATGGTGTTTGCTGGCTCGCAGTTGAAGCAGGAGACGTTGGCCAGCCATCTTTGAATGATTTGTAGGAGGATGCTATTGCTGCGGGACCAGGATAGCTGTGTAGAGATGTTATAGAGGAAGAAGCAGAAACGGAAGAGGCTTGTGTAGAGCTGTTGGACGAGTAAGAAGAGGCCAGAGAGCTGGAGGATGTTTGTGTTGATAGGCCCTCAGAGGATTCGCCAACACCCCATTGTGCATGTGCTTTTTGTATCACCTTGCTGCTCTCGTCACGAAACATGAGGGAGAGCTGGTCACGATAACCAGGGCACTTTTTCCCAACCCGAATACATTGTGAGCATTCCGGTTTGATTTTGTCACACTGTTGAGTAGAATTGCCAATTAGTTAAAGCCCATGAACTACTGTATGTGTGGAGAAACGCAGGTCGTGGATGACTCCAGCGGATTAACTCACCTTGATACGTCGCACGCGACAGTTCTGGCAGCCCTGAGAGGCTTTCCCACAGTAGACCATGGTCGCTGAGGGCTTTTGAATCACGACGGTGTCTTGCCGAGAGCTGGACACCGTCGATAATCGATAGGTCCGGGGCAGTGAGATCGGTAGCACGGTGACGGAGTTCGTGGAGGCGGGTGGGTACCGGATATACCCTGATTCCAATATATAAGTAGTGATGGAGATAGCAATTGCGCTCGCCCAATGCCACAGGCTATGAAACAAGTAGCGAACCGCTATTGGAAACCTGGGTCAGTTTGTTGATTGAAACCCTGACAGTCGTGTGTTGCATCAGAGCTTGAAACAATAGGGGCGGTAGATCGGAAGAAAAGGCCAGGTAAATGAGCATCGCCAAGTTGAAGAATGGCAGAAATGCAGTGGGAAAGTGATAGGATGGTTAATAACGTCGAATAGCTGCCTCAAGAAATAAGTCCCATCCCGAGTAGGTAACGCGACGAATCGCGTGTAGATTGACCTTGTACTGCTTGCGCTGGCTGTCTCAGCCACTCATCCAGCCCAGAAGCCCAAGGCACAACTTGCTCACTCGCAATTCTGACGCTACCGCTGCCGCCCGTGGCGAAGAGACCTAGAATAGGGAGCGCTGTCGGATGGGCCAGTATCCAAATCCAGTAGGGGACCAGCCGGTGTTGGTGCTGGTACTGGTGCTGGATCACAACGGTCACAACGGGTAGACAGATGTTAGACAAGCCCGTTGTGTTTCCGATACGTAGGGGTGTCCCGCAGCCCAGGGAGCCGGAACTGGAATCGGGACGAGAGGAAAAGGAGCGAGAGGGGAATATGTTGACGTGAAATTGGCGGGGAATTAACTTATGGCCAAGGTAGAGAATAGATGTTTACTTTTGTCGGCACATGTGAGTGAGTTCAGCCAGTCCTCTCCCGTGATTGATTGATTGCGACGAGACCGAGTCAAGGCCAGGACCAGGGCCTAGAGGCTGGTGCTGTGCGGAACTGGCCTGTCTTGGATATTATCGAGTAAGGGTAGGTAGTTGGTGCGGAGAAAGGGTTGGCAGACTGTGTACGGTATATGGTATGGTAGGTATGGGTTGAGGATGGGAGTGATCTAAGACGAAATAGACATGACGTCCATATAGAGAACAGCCTAATAGTATGCCCCGTCGGACTTTATGGGAAATACTGTCAGAAAAGTCGTTGAAAGATTAAAGATCAAGCAAGGATGAGAGTCTAAGTATGGTAAAGTAGAGGACGGAAACGGAAGCCATCCATGGATGATGGGAGGTAGGTGCTCAGACGGGACAGCCCAAGTAGTGGACCCGGCGTCCTAATTAGACTGCCTAGAACTAGGTACCTATAACTAATAGGCACTACTAACTGCTAGCTACAGCTACAGCTACAGCTAGGTACAGCGGCAGTGCAAAATGCTTGCCGAACCGACCTAAAGCCGTGGGCACTCGCCGCATCGTATCGTATCGTACCGTACCGTATCACACAATCTATGATATTGAAATTTCAAGCTGTCAGGATTTTAATTAATGTGTGGACCCGAATCAATGCTACCTCTGACGGTTGTATCGAGGGAATTACCCATCGATCATACCTCATCTCGGCGATCGTCAGCCAGCATTGTTCAACTCCAACCCATTCGATGGCAACGTAGCTGACCGAAATCCGCACGGAGATCAGGAGCTCAGCTTCTGCCCGAGGTCATCACAAAAGCCCAAGCCCAGGATGATACCGACATCCTGGATACTGGGAAAGTCCTTGAAGGTCTCAATGAGGGAATGGGGGCCTCTAGACTATCGCTCAAAGTGGACTGCCAGGACTGCGTGATGTGGTGCGAAGTGCCACTTTGGATGGTCTAGGCCAACAGGGACCACCTTGCTATTGATCACAACTCACAACTCACAACTCGGGAGGGGAAATTTGAAAGGATGAAGGTTTGCAAGGTGATGAGAAAGGTGGAGGTGTCATAAAAGGGGGACACAGAGGCAGCCATACGGGATCATTGGAGGGTAAGTTGGAACTAACGTTAGTCTTAGATGGACGTTTTTCTCGATGGTTTCTGATAAGTTAGGGGTTCCAGTATGGAAAACCTTACCCGCACGAGCTGAACTGTATGAGAAACAGGAAGGATAACCCAGCCAGGCGAAGCTTTTAAGCTCTGGTCGCCAATAGTAAGGAGGCAGGGGAATGTTGATTGCGGAATGGTCCATATTGCCGTTACCATGGGAGTGGGTAAGGCTGCAAGATACTTACCAGGAGACCAGATGAAAATGGAACGGCAGATGTTATCTGTTGCTTACGATATCAAAACACGGCACGGCAGAGACCACTTGGCGCGTGGCTCTTTCAGTAGCCATCCCAGTACGGGAGCCACGGAGGTAGGGAGACGACTCATGCAATACGATACGCGCATTAATTCGTCATTTCAAAACCGACGACAAAGTTTGGCCTCACAGACACAGACACAGACCTTGAACTGACATTAGCTCTTGGACTTTATCGACGTGGCCCGTTGTGAGAGTACGTACGTGCACTCTCTGGCTTGGCATAAAGGTTTCAGCTCTTGGAGAGCGGTGTGTTCACGAAAACTCGAAAGAGGACCAACCAAGGGCATTGCATCGAAATAAACGCAACAGAGGCTTTTAAAGGTAGTCCATCGACTTACATGTTAAATCGGCAATTCATCAATACCCGGACAAAAGCCGGCTCTCGGCCGAACCGATGCTACAGGGCTGCAGATTTGTCTCGGGGCAGTAAGGCTGGTTGGCCTTTACGCCCGTCGTATCTGAACGAGCTGCCTGATTCGTAATGATCCAATGCTAACGACACAACCGAGCGGGCGGATTTATTAGTTACAGCACCTACATAATACTAAACTCGATGACGCGCGCAGCTAGACTTGGGGCCAATTTGGCGACTCAGGACTGCAGGTCGTGCCAAGAATCCAATCTAGAAGCATCCAATGTTGACCGCCAAAGGCCTTGCTTTTATTGCCCTCCACTGTCTTTCTTAACTGCGACTTCGGTAGATTGTTCAGGAACATTGAATGCCAAGTCGGAACCTAAGCAAGTGCCATCAAAGCTTTATAATTATAGAATCATATTGGCTTCTTCTTTAACCGTTGAAATATGCTTTTTTAGTTGTGGCTGCACTGCACATCCGTTTATCTTTCAGCTTCTTGAGCTCTTAGATGACCCCTCCAACCAGACAATATCAGGGTAGAGAATGACGTAGTTGACATATCCAACTCTATCTCGGCCTTCCCCACATAGGTTGTCCGGTCCAACACCAAAAACACTGACACAAATTCCTTGGCTTCAGCATAAGTTAAGCCACAGATGCTTAATCTCTGTTTGTTCTTTGGTTAGCTATCTTCTGCTGCAGGTTTCTTCCTCTTCAGCCACACTCACCCTTGTCCCTTGTACGTCCGCCTGTGGAGGGCAGCGCAACGTCATACCCTCTTCAAAGACCAACCTTTTACATCATCCATCCAACCTATCCAAGCCTGGAATATTATGGGAACACTGTATGCTGAAACGAGAGGCCGGGGATACGGCTCAGAGCATGCTGCAGTAATATAGGCCCTGTCAGCTCCATCGATCGACCGCGGCGTCATAACTTGAGCCGCCACATACGGATGATGGACTCTTCTGCCTTGACACGAATGGGTACTTTTGGTCATGCTCTACAGCAAACAGGTACAATGTTGCACAACTTTGACTGGTTAGACCCGGCAAATAACATGAATCCTTCCAAGGGTACTTTCTAAATGGCTTCTATTCATAGCAGTCATGATGTATACTACTGACTGAGGTGTTGTACTATTTGTGTCCCTCGCTTGGTTGGGTTAAACAAACAACGACGTCAGACCTACCATACCACCTCCCCCTCTTAGATTCTTACCTTTCTAAAGCTGAAGGTCCTTTTATTTAAACTTGAACTTCCCCGTGACGCTCCCGCCCTTTCTTTATCATTTCAGCTCTTTAGTATACCCCATCTCGCTCCCAAGATACCCAGCCATTCACGCTTCAACTGCACGACAACCAAGATACCAAACTTACACAACAATCACAACTAAATCACAATGGAGACCATCAGCAACCTCACTGCCGCCGCCTCCAAGGCTGTTTGGGGAGACAACCAAACTGCCAACAAGGAGCCCGTCTCTGGAGTCCAAGGTGACACCAAGCAGGGCGAGCCCTACGATGCCGGCAACCTGGGTACGACCTCAACGCCTGCACTACACAAACAACTACATTTGAATGATATCACTGACATGGCGTGGTCTAGAAACCCCCCAGCAAGAAAAGGTGGCACAAAACTTTGGCAGCCACGGTGAGGAACGCGCAACAGGCCTTGGACATGAAGCCCCCGTCTCCAAGCCCACCGAGACGACAAACGCTGCTTCAGCCACGCCTTCAGTTCCCGCACCCAACCCTCACTCAAAGGATACCTCTGCCGGCCAGAATGACACCCGTGACCCGGCGCAGGCGGACAAGGGCAACAAGGACCTCCACGACGTTGACGACACCTCTGAGGGCACCGACGTCAAGCTCGGCGAGGGTCCTGGACCTCAGCCTATCGAGAAGCTTGCCAAGGAGCATGGTGGTGATGCAGGCAATGCTCCTGTTGAGGGAACTTCTCACAAGCCTACTGAGGTTGGCTCCGAGGGAGCCACGGAGTCATCCAAGTCTGAGAATCAACCCCATGACCCCAAGGAGGACGAGTATGTCACCGCTAGCGGGTTTGCTGCCGATGGTGGTGATTTTGATGCTTCCAAGCCTGGTGCTGGACGTGAAGCTGACCGTAAGTCCACAATCGAAATGCCCAATGTTTCGTTATACTAACGACTGTCAGGCCTGATGGAGCAAAAGGGTATTCATCTTGGCGAGAGCGGAAGCTCAGATCACTCCAAGACCGAATCGCACTCCAGCGGCAAGCACCACGGTTCTGATGAGAAGAAGGACAAGCCAAGCATCGGCGAGCGCATCAAGGCCAAGCTCCACAAGCACTAAAGGGGAATAAATGTCCTGATGTTTGAAGAAATATGCAAAGTTAATGATGGAAAATGATATCCCGCACGGCCGTTTCGGCGCTTTATTTTTCAACTTATGCCCAGTTACTGTTTTGGTCGTGTTTTTAACTAGTTACTCTATCTAAGTAGTTGGCACCATTATTATGGTCATTCACTCAATGCTAGCCGAGACACGGACTGTCTTGATGAATTCGGTACCGCCTTGTCGTGATACATGATTGGATCCTATGCGAGACCTCGTTTCGGTGCTGTCAGCAACACGTTATTATCAGACCAGGCCCCTTGTCAGGTGGTGGCCTGGATGCGGCCCGGAGTAGCGGGATGCCGGGCAAGCTGGGGTAAAGATACACGAGACGGGGTGAGATTCCGACGGATATTGCATATTCGTTTGTTTCTGATCAGCGCTCCTTGCATACGGGTAATTGAACTCAAATTCCGGGGAAATTATCAGATACATCAACGTGATTCTCACTAAAGATACATCGATTCGAGAGTCATTGCCAACTCGCCCATGATATGAATAACCAAACTGCCGTGACAGTCCCTTGTATGAACTATACCGATACACAATCATGTTGTTTTTTAAAATTGACCATTCGCTCCACTAGATGCTTCCCATCATATCATGCGCCCTACCTCTGGGGACTTTCAGGTATATTCAATCCTCGTGCGGCCAGCGTACACTTGCAAATGCCATCGTCAGTGTCCACCAAGTTTCCCAATTCCTCTCCCATGCAGGCTTTCTCCATATGGATGCTGGTGCGCCGAGTAAATTCATCATCAAATAACCCATTCCTTCACGTAAAGGTTGCTTCTCGGCCGTTCTCGGAGCCTTTGTCAAAATGCCTCTCCCAGCATGATGAATGCCCTGCCGAGCATCTCCGCACTTTGGAACCCCCTGTCACCAACCATTTCCCACCACACCAACTTTTCCGGGCCGCCTCCCGACCATGCGGTGCTGGCTGTTTTGTGCCGCTTCCTGCCACTATCAATCGTGGGCGGCGTTCATCGCGTGATATCCGTCCCAAGTAATGGTCACTCAGGACTATCGTGAGCTCTGAGGATCGGTGGCGGGGTCGTAGTACCACCCCTCCTGGTCCCTCCTCGATTATGTTGTGCATGCCTTGTTGCTTGAAAGAATGCAGGCTGCATCGATCATTCAAACAGTTGCAAGGGTTCGGCGTTTATAGGAACCCAGACTCGGCCAAGACCCTGTAATTAAGAAACATCAAGTAAGCATATGTCTCTTCATCTTAACTGAAGACGGCAAGCCACTAATGCGAAGTGACCTCCACCATTGTGCAAAACTAAACCAGGGGAACTTAGAAGAAAGATGGCACCGCTCCATACGATGCGGGCGTATTCCGCAATGCAACATACCTCACAATCTTCTCATCCTCTCGCTCACGAGGCTCAACTTGCAAACTCTTGTCATACATCTCGTGAACATCCCCAGCGGCCTGCATGTTGTTCAAGATGTAATCTTGCAGCTCAGGCACTGGTTGCAGTGAGTACCCCACGTTCTGATACTGCTGAATATCGCGAATGACCTCAGCAGTTTTGGCACGTTTAGCAAAGTTAATGAGGTTAGTCTTCTTGATGATGGACGGAATGCCATCCTCAATGAATGTCAGATCAGTTAAATAGACACCTTTGCTGTTTGTCAGTACTGTGATCTGTCACCTGCTTTTCGGGAAAGGGGGTCCATACCGAAGAAAGGGATACAAGGGGGGTTGGCTGCATGAAGAGCCTCTCGGTACTCTCCGAAGTTCTTGGTGCTTGCCATCACCCGCCGCATCGATTCTAATGTAGCGTGTGTACGTTGGGGTACCTGGTCCCATGTTCGCTTAAGACGAGCGATGGGTGCAGTGCCCAATGCGGAAATAATCGATGTTAGTGTTGAGAAGTTGTTCAGGGAGCGGCAACGCTATCGGTCAGTTAGCAGGGGTTCCAATGACCCGACATCATATCTTTAGTTACTCACGTCAGCAACAGAAACGAAGTGCTTGATAACAACCACTCGCTTCTTGACTTCCATTTGCGCCAGAATCATCTCAGCGACCCAGTTGGTCATCTGGTTAGAGTGGAGGATAAGCGCTTTAACGTTGGGGGCCAAATCGGGCTCGCCCTCAGGGACCTTCTTCTGCCACGTCTTGTTCAGACATTCTGTCGCCTTAACCTTGCCGTACAAGCGGGATTCGACAATGGTGAGCTGGCGGGCAAACTCAACGACATCAATATCCAAGAACTTGAGCTTCTTCATGTTCTTGGGCATGATCGGCGTTGGCGTGTTCTGGTTCACTGTTTGAATCATCCTGCGAGCGCCAGCCTCCTTTCCACTGAGCCTCTGATCTAGGACCGCCATTAAGGGTGCTGAACCAGGAGTTTCTGTAGATTTGACCGTGTCTTTAGCGAAACTGTAGACATCACGAACAAGTTGTTTTGACTCGTCGTTGTAATCCTCCATCCAGAAATTATCGAACCAATTCTTTAGAATGTTAACAACACGGAAGCGAATAAGCTTTTGCTTTCGGTCCCTCCAAATCTCGAAATCCGCCTGTGACAGACCTTCTGGCGGTTGGATGTTGAATCGTTTGATAAGCATCTCGAAAAGTTCCCGAGCTGTTGTGAATGATCGGTAAGTGAGAAGGAAGGTATTGTTGAAGTTCGAATCGAGCTTGTCGTGACGAGTTAACTGTTCAACAAGGGCAAGGAGAGATCCTCCCTTAACAGTAGGTGGTGAGGTCTTGCTGTCCCAGGAGACTTCATGTTCATAATCTAGGAGTAAGAATTCTGGTGTATCTTCGGTCACTGGAACTTGAGGCGAAGGATCTTCGCCAAATATCTTCTTGACCTTGGAATAATCGCCTCTGCGCATATTGCCAGGAGCAGGCTCGCCTTCGGTGAAAGATTGTGATGTGATAAGTGGCGGTCGTACAGGAGCAGTCCTTGATTCTGTTCGCTGGTGTGGTCGGTCATAAGGCATTGTCTCGCCTCGTTGCAGGGTGCTTCGAACAAAAGAATTCTCCCGAGGTCGTACTTCAGCCTGATGTTGTTGCATGTTGATTTGAACCTGTTCAGACAATAGTTGAAGTGAGAATCCGATATGTGAAGAGTTAGTTTCCAGGGCTCTGGCACATTGTCTGACATATTCCAGACGGTTTTCCAGTGCTTCACCACGTACTTCGGACCATTCATCAGCCAAGGGTCCGGCGACAGCTTGACATCCAAGAATAAGATCAGAGATATTGTCGTAAAGGCTCTGCTTGTGTGTTCCGAGGTCAGCTAACTGAGGCGTCTGGAAGCTGTTGCCAAGGGAAGACAAATCGATCGATTCGATCATGGCAATCCATTGTCTGAATGTGTCGAGTACCCTACCACCGGCAAAACAAACATTGTTTCCGATAACTTCATGCCTGTAGGGTGTAACGATTTTCTCTAGGACGACCAGGCTCTTGTCGAGCTCTCGGATGCTGGATACCAAAATACGCTTCTGTTCGTCCAGTCGCTCAAGCATCTTGTTGTCGAGAATTGCAGTTGGCTCTACAACGCCCTCTTCATCTTCGAGGAAGTTGGCTGTGATTTCATCTCGAGGGCCCAAGCCGTTGTTTTGCCAACTTCCACCTGTATTACTACCAATCACAAAGCCTGGGAAGAGTCGAGGAATCTCCTCGCCTCGTTGTTGTCGAGCCACTTCCACGTAGCTGTATACGCCCATGAGAACTCCGTCAGCTTCCTGGAGGCATTTCTGGATAGATTCGGCATTGGGCCAGTCTGCAGCTGCTATATGAGAAGAGATTACGAGCTTGGAGAATTTGGACATCATGTCTCGGAAGTGAGGATAGAGAGCCTTGTTCGTTGAAATAATAGATGGCTGACCAGAGTGGTTATCGGTAGTCCCTGACCCAGCGGCAAGTAGCAGTCGTAGATGGTCAGATATGTCTTCGGCTTTTGCTACGTATTCTGAGCGGTTATTGTTCATGATGGCTTCCCGATACCGATCAATAGCACGTCGCATATTAGAGACAAGAAGAGTCCAGCTAAGTGAAGGCGTAGAGCCGTCATCGAAAAACGATCGAGGAACTGTAGCTGTGGTCGGTAAGTTATAGGTAGTGCTAGTAAAAGAGGTCGCGGATGCTATATTAGGGACCTGTCCTGCAGCAAGGTGGCCATTGGACGAGGCGCCATTTCGCAGACGGCCAACAGGCGATGCGCCATTGATAGAGTCCATGGAAGTTGATGGGGATAAGGCACCGAAAGAGGCACGTTTAGTATGCTAGTGAGTGTTAGCAACCGGGCCATTAGAACATCAAGTTTACGAGCTCGCTGTGTACCTTGGAACGACGTGAGGCCAGTCTAGATGAGTCGCCCTCGGCCTCGGATGCGGACGTCAGATACTCGTCGTCCTCATCTTGAGTCAAACCACGGGCCATCATCTCAGGAGGCGGCCTGGTCTTGTCGGGGATATTGACATTCATTCGATCTCGTGGACCAGTCTCGTTTGAAGATACGGGAGACTCCAGGGGCAGTTCCATGCTGCGGTCTCCTGTCATCATATTGTAATAGAACAAGCGCCCGTCGGGGGTAGCTTGTGGAATCCAAAAATCGGCCCTCGAACTATCTCCTCCGTCGGTCCCCTCGAGGGGCAACGCGATAGGGCCGTCTTGTTCGGAGTCGTCGTCTTGGTCATATTGGTCGTCGTACATCTCAGGATCTTCGGCATCATCCTCGACAGCGTCAAATGTTCCATTGTGGGCGCCGTCAGGTATATCGTCGGGACTCGTGATAAGCTGACAGTAGTTGCTAGGGAACCAGCCTCGAACACCATTTATAACGCCATCCCACCAGCCGCTCTCGAGCTGGGTGATGACTTGAATTACATCTCCTTCGTGGAAACTGAGACTAGTGCGATCGTCGGCCTCGTAGTCGTAGAGGGCGCGGACATACATGGCCCCCATTGGGGCGGTACCGACGATGCCGTTCATGAGGCCCCAGGCGGGATCAGCCCGAGTTGTCGAGGATTGTTGGTCGGAAGCTTGAACGGAGGCAGCAGACGTGATGCGCACGGAAGCGGACGGTGAGTCGCCGGAGGGGTCGTGGATAGTGCGCGAAGAGTGGATACTTGGCGGCACGGCGGCGGTCTGTATCCTGAGCATATTGCGGCTGCAAAGCTCACCTCAGGGCATGATAGAAAGCGGCAAGCCTATTGCTCATCAAAAGGATGCCGTTTCTGAGGATTGCGGTTCGTGACGCTGACGCAGACGAGGCGACGCAGCAGCAGCATGCCACGAGAATTACAAGGAGTCGCAGGAGTCGTGGGAGGTTGCAGGCCTTGCTTGCTCCAGAAAGCAGAGAGAACGGAGAAGAGGGCCAAGAATCCAGGGGGGGTTGCTGCTTAGAGGGGTGATCGCGCTGGGGCCAGGCTCGGATGCGAGTGGACGGCGAGGGGCTGACAGGAGCAGGAGAAAGCCCAGAAGGGAAGAAGGCAACCTGCAGCGACAGGCGATTTGGCTGAAACGATACTAGGATGGACAGAGTAGGTTGGTCGAAAGTACTGTACGCTTCCGTTGGTGAAAAGACGGTATAGAAAAATGACTATCGGGTCGGGTCAGGTCAGGTCAGAAAAGTGACAGTCAAAGATGGCGGCCTGGCTATTGGATTTGGGGATATAGGGGGCCCAGTATCAATAACCTCTCGGACAGCCGCAATAGACAAGTTCGCGGTCGCCAGGCCCGTACACCAGAAAGGAGTGGGTACTTTGGAGCTTTTGGCGACTCGATCGAATGGAATTGATGAATGTAAATGTTGATGTGGGAGCGATGAAGGAGAGTACAGTAGATTTCTCCGTCCTTGCAGTTGAGTTGCACCTATCTACTGTGCTGTACCTGGCTACTGTAACTTACAAGATGGGCACTACCTATACACTAACAAGAGCAACCTGAGAATTTCCATGCCCTCCACCAATGGATGGAATTTCTCCACTGGAAAAACCGCGTCTCAATGAAACCCTTCAGGTCCCGTCCGTCAGCCCTTTTTGGCAACTCATTAGGTTTCCAATTCAGTGACATTCAAAAGTAGAAACGGGGCCGACACAACATAGCCGGCTTCTAGGTCTACTAGCTACATCCATACAACATCTCAGGCTGTTGTTACGGCTGGGTTGCAGCGGCCAGAAGTCGCCAAGATGAAGCGTAATAGTAGTTCACCTCAATAATACGTATTGACCTAGTTAGTGAGAGGAGACGGTACTGGCAAACAACAACCATTAAAGAAGCCTATCTCTAGGTGGGCAAGGTGACTGGCTGTGTTCAAACCCCCAGCTGATACCTGTCCTTGTGTGGACAAATTGCCAGAGAATCAATATACAGGTGTTCTGATTGCCTCATCTCTTAGACTCTCTGTCATGTGTGTTAGATTGCCGAGAACTTCGATTCAGTACCTCTTGACGTTTCGTCGTTCCGACCGGAAGGTGTAACAGGTCGTTCTTTGACACACGACTTGTACAATAATAGAGCCATTAACAGACCTCTCATAGGTACTCAACACTGGTTGATACAGGGTACGCACGATTCAGGAGGGGGAGGGGCCTTGCGAGTGGCTGGTCGCTCGTTCTCCTGTTCCCTTTGACTTAAAATGTCCAACGAATGAATTGACAGTATCGGATATCATGCAGCATGCAAGTGATGAGTGTGCAAACAAGAGGCATTGTCCAGCCAGCGACTGCAGGTGACGGCTCTGTTTGCTTTGCGGCAATCAACCTCTTGCATATCGACACGAAGAAACGATACTCTCCTGTTTGTTTTACTCGTGCGCACAAGTGAGTCAGCAATGATCAGGTCAGATCGGTTCGTGGAGGCCGGATAACATCACCGAATCCGTACTAACATGACCTTAACGGGTTGTTACTATCGCACAACGCGCTCTCTGCTAAGTGACCGATAAGACAAGTCTACCTGGTTGGGTCCCCTGCCCTCCAATCTTACTTTCGTCGTCCTGTTCTTCGGCTAGGGGACGTTAAGAAAACGTAAGACCTGGATTCTAATAAGTGACAAAATTACTCAGACAAGTTTGAAATACTTCAAGACGAACTTAGCAGCCTCTCTGACTGGTCATTTTCCGTCCCCTACTCGCAGCCAGGAGGTCTGGCTCAAATATTAGCCCATGGTGACGGTGCCATGCGAGTCCGTCTCCATGACTACGGCGACGATGTGCACGTCCATCATTTCCCCTCCATCCCACCGCAACGCTATCTGCTGAGGGAGGTGTTGGCTTGGAAAATCATGTGCATCCTCTTGACAGCCTCAAAGCTATTGCGCAGCTGTGGCTGGTTTTGTGTTATCTGTGTGTGATATTGGGGTTGCATTCCGTTAGTCTGTGAGTTTGATGGGAGGGTCTCTAGCAGGCCACCAACAGAGAAATCCCACAAAGGGTGAGTTCACACGAACAGAGCAGCCCAGGAAAAAAGTACACAGGTAGGAGCAAAAATGCACTCCACCATCCATCGCCTTGACACCACGTGGAGCCTGACCAAATTCATGGCTCCCTACACCGGGAGACTGCCGCGGACCCGCCCGCTATTGGCGTGGATCTCGTAACTTTTGCTCTGGAAACGCAAGGGTCAGAGAGGAAATTATGCATCATCTTTTAAGGTTCCAGGCGTTTCACAGCCAGTCAAGTAAGATGTGAATGCCGTTGAAAGCAAATGATGTATCGTCCCGATCCGTGCCGCCTGAGTTGAGTTGATACAGACTAGAATGGGTGGCTAGAGACTGAGCGCAGTATGCCAGATCGTCAACGTCTTGTTGCAACCATCTAGGTAGTTATTGCAAACGGACGACAACCCCTCACCAGGCGATGGACTTCCCCTCCATCCTTTCCAACATCTGGTGGATTATTAACTGCTGGATCCGTTCGGGCGCCAGTGCCGTCCGACCGTTGCGGGGTATAACAGCATTACAGGACAAATAGGTTGCAGATCCGAGGAGGCCGGAGAGCTGAGAGGGGCTCAGTAGCGCATTGCACAAGTTTCCATTCTTTCCACAGTGAGATGAACCCTTCTAGCTCGCGACTCGTCTCCCCAAAGCTGTCCGTCATGTTCATTCCTCTCGCAACAAGTTTTGCATTGTGGCTTGTCCCTGGCGTAGTAGATACGAGAATGAATCATTTAATGTTCTGTGCTGCTGAAAGGAGATAAAAAGGATTTTCTCTTGTCTTGCCATTCATGGCTGATTGTAGAAGATGAGTGTCAAGTGTGACGCCTACGAACTTGCCAATGATCGCTCATGTTTCTCCTGTCGATCTCGCGGACTAGATTCGTTATTCACCTCTAATAAGGTATTGAATGATGATGTTGTACATATGGGTTTTGCCTCTTTTGTGGAACGTTCGCATATCTGTGATGTTGTTTGCCTCCCTGCATTTGATTTGGTATTTGTTATCATAGGCCTTCATGCGCCCATACCGACTTGTTCAGATTAACGAGCCCCTTATCAGTTCCAACCTTAATCACGGCACAGCCGATGGTGGTCAAACCAAGTCTCCCTCGCAGACAAATGCTGGGACAGTCGAGAGAAACGGTGTAGCATACCTGGCCATGACTGAGGTGTTGCAGGTGCTGTTAATGGGTGGAATCAATAGGCGGATGAAGCAATGTTCGAGAGAAAAACATGGATGCCACGGACTGTTTGATAGATCAAAACCTTGGTAGCCGTGCACCACTGATGAGAGGTCGCTTGTTAAGTAGCCCAGTGATAATATGTAGCTGAAGATATAAAAAGGTCGATAAAATTAAACACTCCTAACCATAGAGATTAGAGTGTTCCAGAGTCGTGGTTTAAGCAGCGAGCCGTGTCGATGTCATATTTAACACTATGTGCAAGTAGCTGTCAGACGCGCAGGCGCGTACAGTGCATATCAAGCTAGGCCAAGCGTTCTGATACAGGGGTAATTGACACGAATCCGACAGGAAGTCTCATCAACTTCCCCGTGTAGACCGTCTCCCGCTAGGATTTAACGCGCTTGACCGGGGAGCTTTACATCAAGTGGGGCGCGGGATGCAAGGCGTGCCCGCGACGACTGTGATCCCAGGCCTTGCGCCGCTGTGCTGGGAACGGATCCTCTCTTTGACAGGCTGCCGTGGTGCTATGACGCTAAGCCTGAATCGCGTTGGTTGAAGTCGAAGACAGTGCTGGGACGAAATGGCCAGGGCATACTCCGTGAAGTACACAAAGTTAGAACGAGGCGGACCTCCAGGCTCCGAGGTAGGTCCTGTAGAGGCTGCTGGTGAGTTTTTGGTGGTGATCGAGCTCCCTCAGCTTCCCCGCCTGATCCCTCCGGCCTGGTCTGGATGATTTCATGATTTTTGCGATCACGTTTCCAAGATCTGACTGTTTTGGCTGCTTGGCCGATGCGAGGCGGCTGAGAAATGGCCTTCCCATCTTTAGACTCGCCTGTTGCTGTGTCATCCTGGGTGGCCAACGATAATGCATGTCTCGTGCCTCGTTTTTCGTTCCTTACGGTACCATATCATCGATTGCGCTGCTTGCTTAGACAGTTGAATCCCTGCTCCTATTGGCTTCCATTCTCTGGCCTCGTTACCCTGTCTCCTGTGTGTCTTTGACAAGCCCCCCGGTTCCCCTTGTCCCGTGGATAATGTGATAGTGGGCCAGTGACCTTGTACCGCCATTCTTCGAGGCGGACAGGATGGATTACGGAGTGAGTGGATAGCCGTTCCCTGTCTGTTCAGCAAGGTATCTCGACACCGACATTGACTCCGACTTTTTGTATCCGTCACCGACTCTATTACCGTCAAGTATACGATATATCGTTCTTGACCGACGGTTCAGTAAACGGAATCGTGTCTCTGACTCTGTGTTAGGGTATGGATGAGAGAGCAAAAATACTTCCCCGTTGTGGATGTCTCCATTAAACGTCCGCTATCGTTTCCATGTGGATGTGTCCACTCAGGCTGACATAATGAATCGTTGGCGAGAAGAGAGAGAAGGTTTGGCGAAGCCAAGGCTTGCACCTCTGCAGGAACCCAGGGAAAAGAGTGCACCAAGTGACGAGTTTATGCAAGTATATTTGCATCTCTGTCAAAGTGACAGTGTACCTTGACGATCTCGTGCTCTCAAGTCTTGATGGGTCTACTCCGTCCTTGATTAGCTTTGATTGTTCCGTGCCGATTATCGTAACTTTGCGTGCCGGCCGTAGTGTAAATAGTGCCTGGTCCAACAAACCAGTGTTGTCTGTCTCTCTGCCTTGTCTGTGCTGCTTTTTAATTGACGGATGGCGTTGGCTGCTAGGTTCTCCTGACAGAATTTTCATTGTCGGTGCTCGCTCGCCTTGTCCAAAGCTGAGTTGCTTGCTTCTTGTTCATCCACAAGTAGTTTAGGGGCAAAAACGAATGGCTGAACTGCCCCTCGTCGCCCCTCCACCGAATTGGGCCCCGCTATTGTATCAGTGGAGCTTGGTTCGGTAAGGTCAGGTTTGTGCTCACCTAGTCTGGTCTCCGGTCATGTTCGGTACGAGGTGCTCAGAGGCAGATGCCTGGACTCACAGGGGTGTGATGGGGGCTAACGAGCCTAGCATTACTGGCCGAACGCTGGAAGCTGCTGCTGCATAGTGCTGCATTGTTTCTTTCAGTCGCTAAGACCAAGGTACCTAGCACGTCCACGCCCACGATTGCCCACCAAGGAAGGTCGACAGACACTCCATGCACCTCTCTGTGCTGTGCTGTCGGCCTTAGTTTGTCCATGCTTTTTGTGCTGTACTGTGCTATGCTGTGCTGTGCTTCGCTGGCACGAGTGCTCATTTAGAGCCCAGTCGCTCTCATCACTCACTCGCTCAATCAGTCCAGCCTCAGCCAGTAACTTCTCAGCCACCCCTCTCCCTCCCTCGCTCCTTCCATCTCTCCCTCCTGTCGTCTCTTCTGTTCTCATTCCCTCTTCTTGGTTTTCCATGGATGTTCCCCTCCTTCCCTCCCCACCCAGAAAATAAGTGCCCCCCCAACTCCCGGGTCACTCTCCCCTCCGGATTTCTCCCCCCCTCTCTCCCATCCGCCCCTCTAAGTCTTCTACGTCTGCTCCCCTCGCTTTTATTCCCTTCTTCTTCCAATTCCCCTCCATCACCAGCTCGACTCACCCGCAACCAACTCGCAACACTTCGCCCGTCTCATCACGACCGGTTCATATTTTTCAAGAGGCCATCCAAAGCCTTCATTCCTCAACCAATATCAATAAACTCAGCCTTTCCATGACCATCGATCAATCATATCCAATGACCATCATTACGTTCAAGATCACCGCTTTCACCCTTTAAACCCCACGGGAGCGCGCGCAAGCGAAGAGCTAGCAGTCGAGAGCGAGAGCGAGAGTCACAAATATCCTACGAATCAGACGATATTCAACCATCGTGCTGTCGGGCCCAGCCGAATTGTCCGATTTCCGATCGCAAACTTGCCGTCGTCCTTAGTCGCCTCCCAAATCTAGGAATCGCGACTTGACTACGTCGAGATGCCCGGTGCAAACGTAGCAGTCCTCCCGCCCCCTGCGGCCTCGACAGCGTCTTCGCGAAAGGCCTCGCTGGCACCCGAACGTAAATACAAGTGCCAGTTCTGCAACAGGGCCTTCAGCAGGAGCGAACACCGAAGTCGCCATGAACGATCACGTATGTGTACCACCAGTCAGACCTCAAGCCCTCATGCCAACCCTTCACCCCGCGACCCCTCTTCGCCTGGCCATAGACTAACTCGTTCGCAGATACCAAGGAGCGTCCTTTCAAGTGCATGAAGTGTAGGAGTACTTTTGTCCGCCGTGACCTTCTTCTTAGACATGACCGTACCGTCCACGCCAAGGACGGCGGCGTACCTCTTCACAGCGATGGCAAACGCCGGGCCGGTCCCAAGACTCGCGCTGTCGGTGCCCCCTCAAAATCATCTATCGCTATTGATACTTCAACCCTGGAGCAAATGGAATCTGGTGCTGATGGCATCTTTGACGTTGAGACTGCTGCCATGCTTGTAGCCGATCTGCATCACAAGGCCACCGCCGCTATGCGCGAAGACCATTCGTACGAGGACAGTCCATCGATGGCTTATTCACCCCACAACGCTTCTGCTATGGAGTCTACTGTGACCTACCCTTCCGGCGCCATCGCATTGCCTCAGGTTCAGTGGGATGGCTTCATGTCTCAATCAGTCGCCGAGCCCAAAGCCCATTCGATAACGTCCAGTGCATCCGGGTCATTCGAGTCTCAACCTTCTTTCGCCAGCGGAACGACCCTGCAAGCTAATTCAAATCAGCTCCCCCCTATTAGCGGACAGAACTGTAATGGCCTGGTACCGGCTCTACAGTCCATGATCAACTCATTGCCCAATTCTGCCGCTGCGCCACCATCTCCATGGTCGTCAGAGTCATCCAAGCCTGGATACAAGGCCCCTGAAGTGATGGGGGATGATGAGCGCAACGCTATCCTTGACAACATTCGTAGTGCCGACAGCGAGCATGCCATCCCCGAGGGTTTCCGCCTGCCAGGCCTAGGTTCCTTGAATCGGTACCTTTCAACATACTTCGGTCTATTCCATCACCATTTGCCTTTCTTGCATCCTGCTTCATTCCATCCCACCAAGGTCTCACCCCAGCTTTTGTTAGCAGTTCTCAGCATTGGCGCTCTCTATGCTTTCGACCAAGAACAAGCATACATGCTCCACATTGGCTCCAAGGTTCTGGTTAACCAGTTCCTACAAAGTAAGGAGAATTTCAGCTCCCGAAAGTGTCCCCTGTGGACCATGCAGAGCAACCTCCTCAACATGATCTTTGCTAGCTGGAGTGGTGACCCTAAGGGCCTGGAGTGGACCTGCTCAATCAAGAGTCTGCTCGCCAACATGGTTGCTGGTAACAGGTACGAGTTGAAGCTTCGCCAAGAAGCTCGGTCAGGTGCAAAGCCCACTCGTGCCGAGTGGGTAGAAGACGAGGGCTGCCGTCGTACATATTACGCTGTCTACATCTTCTTTGGTCTTTTGACACTTACATACAACCACACACCGGCCATCAGTTTTAGCGAGTTTGAAGATTTACAGCTTCCTTCCACTGAAACACTATGGAACTTGCAGGTACCAGACGAGGCGGCATGGCAAGAACATCTGGCAGCTTCCACTACCGTGACCTTTATGGAGGCTCACGACAACCTTTTTCAGGGCGAGACGCTTCGATACAGCACATTCGGCACCCGCGTCATGATCAACGCTTTGTTTCTCGAGGTCTGGTATCACAAGCGCAGTCCTGAAGCACTGCAAGACGTGGTAACAGAGTACAAGTTGCGGCTGGCGCTAGAAACATGGGAGAAGTCCGTCGATATGTGCGAGGCCGAGGCCTTTCCTGTACCGATCAGTGCTCCCCACAAAGGTCATCCTTTGATCTTCAACGCGAAAGCCATGTACCGTAATGCTCGTGCCCGCCTGGAAGTTGACCTCAAGGCAGTCCAGGAAGCGCTTCGCTACCATGAGTCCTATGAGGTTGCTGCTGCGATGACGCATTCCCGGGATCGCGTGAAGCGCTCGAGTGAGATGATCAAGGTTATTGAGGAATGCTACAACTGCCTAGAGACTGTTGTCTCTCAAGGAGTCAGATGGATTGCCCGTGTATCGCCTACCAACTGGAGCGTGGAGCATGCGCTCTGCGGAATGGATCTCATGATCATTCTATCGCTGTGGTTGTATCGTCTGGAACATGACGAGGAGCCTGCGACTCAGGAAGAGATGGCCATGTACAACAAGGTTCGACAGCTTCTTGTGAAGGAAATTGATGAGAACTACATGTCTCAGCTGAGCGCAGTTGTCGCACGACTCTGGGGCTCGATACTCGATGAAGTTGTTGTCTGGGGGTATGTATCAACGGTGCAAACATCTCTCAGAATTACATTGCTAACACAGCACACAGCATGACACGACTTATGGGCGACGCCTTCAAATTGCATTCTCAGGCCCTTGTCGGCTACGTCGATGATCCTGAAGCATCCTCAAATGTCTCGACTCCCTCGATGATCTCGCAGGGGGCTGATGAGGATAGCGTGTACTAAAACTAATTAGCCATGACTGAAATGACTTTTTCCTTTGTTTGCCCTCGGGCCGGTTCGGGCTTTCCTTTTCTCCTAGGCATATACCTCTCTGCTTGATTATGTTTGGTTTTGGTTGTGGGTTAATTCGTTCCTCTCTGACTTTGTCGGCTCCGGCGCGAAGGGCTCGGGAGGGAGTTGGACTCGTCCCGTCTCCTATGAATTTGTTTTCGCAGTCTCCTTATGGTTGTCATTTCATTATCTCCTTGGCGATACCCGAGACAGGGCGGGTAATCGCAATGTCCAGTCTACTGCAGTTTTATCATTGCAAGTCTGTTGTTATTATTGTTGGACACGTCAGATGCCCTGTTGTTTCTTGTTTACGTCTCTCTCTCCCTGTTGCATGGTTACAAAGGGTCAAACGGCATTAATTGGGGTCAAGGAAGGGGATCGGGAAACGGTTTTCGCATTGGGCTTGTGCCCCGGACAGAGGGAACTGGATCATTTGCGTAGTGACAGCGCAGGCTAATGACTGCGATGGCAGGACAGTTGGCAGGTCCAAGATGGCTGGTGTCGCCTTCTACTTCCCCTGTTCTATATGCTATGGCACCTTTATTGTTTTCGTCTTATAATACTTTTGCGTATTTCTTTCTGCTGCTTTACAGGCAGTTTTCAACGCTCGGTTCCGTCTTGGTCCGCTTCGCATGGTATGGCATTGCTCTGCTTCGCCTCTTGTTCGATTCTTCTCCTATTTACTTTTCACTTATTTTTTGTCGAATTGTTCAGTTTGGTTTTCAGATACCTTGTTCGATATACAGATTGTTTCTTTTGCGGCCATATGACGGCAATAACATGATCTGGCATGTCCTGGGAACCCGTTTTTGGGCCCACGACGCAGCGTCGCATACCGTCAAGAGGAGGCTGGCCCATACTCGTGTATAGATGAATAGTGTTTGCTTTGAATAATCAGCACCTGTCAAAACCTCATTTCTTGTTCTTTATTAAGTCTGTGACATGTTGAAAGTGATCAGCTCCCGTTGCTAAAGAGAATTGTACGGGAGTCGTAGGCAGACCAAAGGCGGCATCATCATCAACAAAGAAATGGCCTCTCATGCCCTCAAACATACCTAGTACCTTGGGTAAGTCATTACCTTCAATAATAAAACACCATATTTAATATGACATGCTCTTTCTCACACGCATGCATAGGTACCTACCTACCTACCCTGCCCATGGAAGTTTCCCTCGGGCCTTTGGAGAAGGTCCTCCCATGAACCATCTAAGCTCTAAAGCAGGCACCTTCGATGAATTATTTGAGGTTGTACAGTTCAAGTATATGAACGTGGACCTGCGATCTCAACTTGAGACTTACAACTCAGTGTCAATGTTGAAATACGCTCGTCACAACCAAGAGAGTCAATTCTGTTAAGAAGACCTAATCACTTCTATTTTCATCATGATCTTCCCTCTTACACATCTTCTTGTGACTGCCCGTCTGGTTTCTGGAGCATGCGAATGCGGTTACTCGATCAAAAATCCCCAAGGCGATAGCCCAATAGTGTTCACTGATCGGCTGGAGACCAAGTTCAGCCAGCTACACAACATCTCTGAAGGGCACGATTGGGTAGCTCAAAACTTTTCAGTATCGGCAGCAGATGGTAGGGGCAACTTCAGCAAAGCATTCCTGCCCACCAATGTCAACACTCGTGGAACAAAGTCTGGGGATGATTCTGGGCTTGAGCTACGTGTAAGAAGTGTAGTCAACAAAGACGATGCGATCCCGTCGAGCGAAGTCGATACAGCGAGACTTGACCTTCACTGGGGGTCGTTCCGAGCAGGAATGAAACTGACGGACGTCAAGGGCACCTGTGCCGCTTTCTTCTGGGTGAGTAATCTGATGTCAAGAGCGATGAGTGGAACTGACCAATGAACAGTATTTTAACGATACCCAGGAGATCGATATCGAGTTCCTTTCTCAAGAGTTTGATCACGATAATGGTATATACCCTATCAATCTGGTTGTTCAGTCCAAGAAATCCTTGGAGGCTGGCTATGATGCCAGCAAAACTGGCAGTTTCAAACGAGTCAGGCTAGATTTCGACCCGACAGACGCTTTTCACGAGTATCGCTTTGACTATCTTCCAGGACAGGTCCTATTCTACGCTGACGGCAAACTACTCGCCCGCATGAAAGGAGGCGACATGCCTTCTTCTGGAGGCCATTTGATTCTTCAGCATTGGAGTAACGGCAATCCGTTATGGTCAGGGGGGCCTCCAAAAGAGGATGCCACAGTCACTGTCAGTTTTGTCAAAGCTTACTTCAACTCATCAAACAGTGAGCGCCAGTCGCAACTGGTGCAACAATGTCACAAATCATCAGAGGAAACTTCAGGGTGTGCGATATATGATTCGGATAATGATGAAATCGATAATGCAGCTGCTAGCACAAGGAGAGTCGCGCAAGAAAACTTTGTCTGCGTCTTGGTTGTTGGCCTGATAATGCCCTTTCTGCAGTTGAGCCATATTTTCTTAGTGGTGTGAATGGGTACTTGATTATCTGCTACGAGTTTGAGGGCTTGGAGCTGTGATTGGAATCAATGTTTCGTTATGGTTTATGGCGCAGACAAGAGAATTTGAAGCATTCAAAGCATGTACTATTCTATTCAATTGAAAAAATCCTTCTATTTGCACTATCGAGATGTTGGTTGTTCGGAAACCTGGAATCAGTGAGTGCTGACGTAGTCGAATCAGAGCTTCAAATCTGCTCTCCCTTACCTTAAGCATTGTCTCAACTTTACCTTGGCCAAGAAACCAACAAAACTGGGCCTAAATCAAGGCAGAGGCAGCTTTGTAAGGTGAGGGGTTATAGATGCATTTTATAAGTAATAGATCTTTTCTTCAATAAAATTGGTCAACCTGCTATCATATCCACGATACCTTTCACTACCTTAATCATCATATTATCCTGGTAGTGAGCAACACTTCGCAAATATGCCTACAGAACCTTTCCTAGACATTATCCTCACCAATCATACAGACTCCAAGTCGCTCTTTGCGCACGTCACAGGTCGAGATGAACAGGGCGTTTTGATTCTTCTCGCAGATGGAGAGACGGTTCATCGGCCAAAGTCGCCGTCTGAGATATTACAGCCCGTCGGTGCAGATATCGCCATTCCCGTCGGAGGACCAGGAGCTCAAAAGAAAGTGCGGATACCGCATATCTTTGGCGGGCGAATCTGGTTCTGCAAAGACAAGCCACTCACATTTCTTATCAACCCAGGACCAGCTGTGGTTGAACCGTCTGTGACGAATCCAACCGATCCCAACTTTGACGCTGATTGGGGATTCTGCGAGTTCACCTACAACAACGATCAACTATACGTTAACGTGTCATATGTTGACTTCGTAAGCATTCCGATCGGTCTGGAGCTTGAGAACGAGGCAGGCCAAGTCACGCGTGTTCCGGGCATGCCCAAGGATGGGCTTGATCAGGTCTGCGAGGGTTTGAAACGTCAGGGCGAGAAGGACGGCGCAGGCTGGGAGAAGCTTGTGGTCAAGTCCAAGTCTGGCTCCAACCTCCGAGCATTAAGTCCAAACGCCGGTGCAGAGTTACATCCAGGCTTGCTGGAGAATTACTTTGCGCCAGAGGTTGACGCGGCGTGGAAGCGCTACGAGAAGGAAGACATCGAAATCAACACGCAGGCAGAATGGGGCGATGTTAAGGGCCGCGTGCACGATGCCAAACTAGTGTTCAAAGACGTTGGAAAGGACAAACTTAGCTTCCACTTTGAGAAGCCATCTACGCGGGACATTGTGTCTTGCAGCACGGGACCGTTTGCGGGCGGCCCGGATGTGACGCCGGCACAGCTCAACGTCGGAGCCCGGATTGCGGCGGCGCTGAACCGGACGACGTTATCGGGCAACTCCCGACAGCCCGAGGGGGAGAAGGTTGAAGAGTATTACTGCAAAGGAGAGGGAAAGACAAATCACTACTCTAGAATCTGTCATGAGGTTACGCTCGAGGGGAAGGGGTATGCGTTTCCGTATGATGACGTTGGTGCATCTGGGGGAGTTGATCAGAGCGGATTCTTAAATGATGGGAGACCAAAGGTCTTGACCGTTCATGTTGGAGGACAGTAAAAGAAGCAGACTGTGAAAATCGAATAGAGATAATTAAATTGATGATCAACAGCTGCCAGGTCTCGCCAAGGTTAATCTGCCGAGACTATGAACGGGCTCAGTCGAACGAACCACTAAATTAACAGGGCACCATCAGCAGGCTTTATCATGTATGTAAGACATGCGGTTGTGGCTGTTAATTGCATCTGCCATAGCCGCAATCAAGGAATGAAAGGGTTGCATAATGATCTTGAATTGTGACGTTGAGGGCCTCAAGTTTTATTTAAAGGTACAGGGTGATCATTGAGTCTTGTTCCTAGTATTACCCTGTCACTCAGAGAGTATGCGAACCAGGTCATAGGCTTATTGCCAATATCAGTAATAAATAATTCATAGTAATTCCCTCTTATAGTGTATACAGATATAATGAATCTCAAACTGGGGGGCAAGACATCATTGGTAATAAAGTCACTGAATTGCACACCGAGACAAGAGGAGGAGCACAGCCAGGCCCGCGCCTGCCCACCCAATCTGCAGCTAGCAAGTTGCATCACGTCCAATCCAATCCAAAGGAAGGAAGGAAGGAAGAGATCCAATCATTCCGCATACAACCCTTATTCCTCCTTCCGTGGATGCATGCATGGATCCTTACCTTATGGCTCGACCTACCTTACTCCGTACCAAAGATACTTTTCTCTCTCACATCTAAATTAATCTTTGGCCATAGATCCTTGTTCTTCAATTCCGTTCCTTTGGTCCCGCCTCGAGATAATTATTCTGTTCATCTCTCATTCCTGATATCGACTCCGACTTTAATGATTTACGATTTACGAATTACGATACCCCAGACCAGGCCATATCACTGATACCTACTTCGGGGACAATCCATCATATCACACAAACACTCCGCACTTCCCGGGTTCCTAGCAGCCTCTGTCGATTCCCGCCAACAGTTACCGTCACCCCTTGGAACCTATCTTAAGCCAAGAGCTTCTTAGACGACCTACACACGGTTTTTTTGACCTTGCCGTGATAGCTTTCTAACTAATAGGTGCCCATCATGTCATGACTGCCAAAGCACCATCCCTTTTGACCTCACATTCTCTTATCTTGACTTGATAAGTCTGGGCATCTAATTACGAGGCCGTGCGTCTTGCCTCTTTTATACGAGCCGTCATGGTATATTGCGGGAAGCCCTCTGGTGGCTGCTCCACCTGCCGCCGTCGCAAGATTCGGGTGAGTTGGTCCATCACCACAATCCATATGAGTTCCGTCAACGTCTCATGGCGTCCCGGCCGTCGTCATTTCAGCCTGTTTCCCAGTGCTCTTACTGACATGTGAATATCAAAATCAAGTGTGACCAAAAGGAGCCGGCATGCACGCAATGCGAGAAGAAGAATCAGCCATGCCCCGGCTATCGCAATCTCGTTGATCTCATGTTTAGAGATGAAAGCTCCCATGTTATTAAGAAAGCGGTCAAGACACGGGCTCGATCTAATCGATCACAAAAGAGTCCTGTTAGCCAGGAGCTCGCCTCGGCCTCAACATCTCCCCCACCATCCGTTGTGACTATCAAGTCACCACCGACGTTCGCCATTGACCCGAGGTCCAGTGCAGCCCCTGCCCCTGCCACCAAGACAGAGAAATCGAACAAGGTCAAGGCCAGACGTGCTCGGAAATCTAACACTCGTTGCCGGGCGCCTGTCCTTTCCGCTTTGATTAACGACTGGAGCCGGTCTCCATCGGAAACCTCTCATGAAAGCCCGGGTGATGACAACGATGTCATTGGTCCAAGTGAACCAACTGAAGGTCGCGATCACTTGGATGGTGCTCTATCACCCGAACTACAAGACCAGGGCACTGCTTTCTTCTTCTCTCGCTACGTTGTAGCCGATAGAGGCTCCTATCAAAACTATGCTTTCATATACGATGTATGGAAACCTCCGGACTCGGCGCAGGCTCAAGTTGATCCAGTCACTGTCAGTATGACAGCTGTCGGACTTGCAGGATGCTCACAGGTTTTTCGATCACCAGATCTTATGACACGGGCACAAGAGAGCTATGCTATCGCCCTCGGATTGACGCACCGTGCACTTCGCGACCCAATTGAAGTTGTAAAAGACACAACCATGCTCGCCGTCTTGATACTCGGCACTTTCGAGTTTGTTTCGGGATACAGTTCCCATACGATGCGTGCCTGGCAAGACCACGTTAACGGAGCTGCTGCCCTGGCAAACATCAGAGGTGCTGCCCAGTTTCGAAGCAAAGCTGGTGCTCGCATGTTTCTCATGCTTTGCCATACAGTTCTTATAAGCTGCATACAGAGCGGCCTACCTATGCCACAAACACTAATAGACCTCCGACACGAGATTCCCCCTTCCGAAGAACTTGGAGGACCCGACTTTCATGTGGCATACCCCATATACAAAGCACTACAGGTGCGCTACGATATCAACACGAGAAAACTAGTCGATCTTGATGGTGTGGTCACCGCCGTATCAAATGTTGAGGAGGAATTTTCATCGATACTGTCCGGACTGCCAGAATCTTGGAAGTACCATCGCGTACAGCTGACGCAACCGGACCCTCGAGTATCAGGACAAATATGCCACGTCTATGCTGGGCTTCTTCAATCCACCACTTGGAATATGGTGCGCGGAATAAGGATGATGCTGCTAGAAACACTCGTCGAGCAGCTTTGCGCTGCCTCGGAATCGGCTGACCGCACTGTACTGTCAGACAATCATTTCGAGTTACTTGCCAAATCTCTCAAAGTGTTGGATATGCTAGGACAATCAATTGCAGCCAGCGTTCCCCAGCACCTCGGAGTTGTCAGTATCCGGGACATAAGCAACAGGAAGGACCAAGGGCACACGGTTTCGATTGCTGCCAAGAAACAAGCATGCCGTGTTATATCGTCGCCGTTTGCGCAAGACTCTCGAGTCGGCCCGGGAGAGGATACATCTAGCAGCGGTGGTAGTCCGGTACTATTTGATCCAACGCAGTCGACGCCTCACACCGACGATGCCACTCGTTTCATGAGCCTTGCGTCGGCAAATAATACCATCATCTGGCCGTTGTACATGCTCGGTATGTCATCGGCATATTCGCCAGAAACAAAACAATATGCCATCGAGGGCCTGCAAGCTATCCACAGAGAAGCTGGTCTGGAGCAAGCGCGTGTGGTTGCGGGACTATTGCAGGAGAAGGATAACCCACCTACTCTTAGCCCATCACTTCTCAGCAAGCTTCCCACGGTTGACGCAAACGCTCTACCCTCAACAGTCTAATCCATCTGCACGCCGAGCCTGACTTGAGTGTGCGATAGTTAGATACGCTTCCCATTACTTTTCACAATTCGATCGGGCATCGAATTGAGACATATGGCGACACGTTGTATGTCATGGTTGTAATACCAACGGGCTTTTCTCAATTCTTAGCATAATTCTGTTAGATGAGACGAGATGTAGAGTGCACATACCCAGCACCTTTTGGATGGATTACCGGCGCATTGCAGTCTAACATGGATAAACTGTTTCCCATTGCTTAATTTACCAACTGTCAAAGTTTCCAAAACCACCCCCCTTAATCTTCTTGCGTGCTGGTTCCTCCCACGTGTCAACGCCCTCAATATCAGCCTCGTTGGTCGTCGCTGTGCTCTGCTGAGTTGCGGTCTTTAGGTATTTGCCAACGCTCTCACCGGCTCCTGTGCTCTCAACAGTGCCGTCATTGCGTATCCGTTTGCCGGTCCATGTTGTCTTGTCATCGTCCGTGCCACCTTGTAACCGAATCTTCTCCTGTTCCTTAGTCTGACGCTCGTTTTCCTGTTTCTGTTTCTGAAACTCGGCGAAAGGATCGTGAAAGATAACGATGTCTTTGATAACAATCTTGTTGAGGGGTCGGTTAGACCCATCTGTAGGTACATCCTCCATCTTGGAAAGAACATTGAGATTCTCGACAACCTTTCCAAAGACTGTGTGCTTGCGGTCGAGGTGTGGCGTGGGCTTATACGCTATAAAGAACTGACTTGAGTTTGTATTCTTGCCCTTGTTGGCCATAGAGACTAGTGACAGAGGTTAGCGAGAACTACAACATGTTTATGAAGGGCTACTTACTCGTTCCTCGGGCACTGTGTGACATTGGACCATCGAACTCATCATCGAAATACTTCCCCCATATACTCTGCCCGCCTCGGCCCGTGCCTGATGGATCACCGCCCTGAATCATAAAGTTTGGGATGTTTCGATGAAAGGCTACACCCTTGTAGTAGCCAGTCTGTGCTAACCTGGTGAAATTCCACACGGCCTTCGGTGCAAACTCAGGGTACAGCTCGATTGTTATGTCGCCCAGATTTGTTTCTATTCTGGCATACCCGGTTGTCTTGACTCGCTTGGGCTTTAGCATATACTCCTCATCCGTCAGCAGAGCTCTCTCGCCGCTCGTCTCAGGTGTCAGTCCTGTGCTGGTGAAACTAGCTGCGGCTTTGCCCGTGGTGTACGCTGCCGAGTTAGCAGCCAGCTTCTTGTCCTTGATCATAGAGTGGCGGACAACATTGTTAGCAGCAGCAGGCTTGGTGAGGGCAGTCGAGCTACGATTGATATCACCGCCCTGCTCACGAGCCTTGCGCGCCTTCTCCACCGCGGCTTTCGCACGCGAAACCTTGTCGCCCATGTTTCCTAATGCACTGGAGTTGATGTTGCCGGCATTGCGCTCGTCTTCCTGTTCCTTGGTCAATTGCGCCTGCTCGCCATCCTTCAGGTACTTGAACTGGTCCAGGTTGCGACTGGCCGCATTCTGGGGATCTTGGAGTGTAATTATATCGGCGCGAGTAAACTCTTCGTCATCGACCAAGTCGCGCCAGGATTTGGCCTTGATATTCATACGCTCGACCGTATCCCAAGCGAAGACATTGGCGTAGGTCCCATGACGAATGGCAACAATATGTGTGTTGTCGGTGAAGACTTTGTAGGTGACCGGATCGATCAAGTCGCCTTTTCCGTCGCTCAAGCCCGCGCCAAGAGAATCTGATTCTGAATTCCGAGCAAATTTAAGACGTATCAGATCTTTCTTTTGTAGAGGCTCGCCAGTGACGGGGTTCTGGTTGGGATGCTTGTCAAGCCAGGCGCCGATGACCTCAACGTCGAAAATCGTTCCATCGGGGGTGCAGACAGGGTTCTTGAAGGGTTGGAGACTGGCGGCGCAAAAGTTAAAGGGAAGACGGCGAAATGATGCGCTGGCGTTTTGATTGCGAGAAGACGCGCCTGCGCCAACACTGGGGGAGAAGGCGTCGGCTGAGGACCACTCTGAGTGTGTAATCTGGAGTCATTGAGTCAGATAGAATATCAGTTTTGTTAGAGGAGTAGACCTACATAGAGCTTGTCTGTTCCTTTACCCATTGCTGCGCTGGTTCAACGTGAACTTGGGGAAAAAAGAAGCTTTGATGATGGAATTTCACAGTCGCATTCACGGACTAATAACGTCAAACTTATGATGCGCCGCCGCCACGCTAGGCTGTAGGCACCTTAGCAGCTAACATGGTGCCTGAGACGACCTGGGGCTTGTTGCTATCGTGGACCTTTGAGCCAATGGGAAAACAGGGGCCCTTGGCTTCTCCTGCCGCTGGTGCTGACCTGGCATCACCGGCGACCAATTACGTATACACGTTGGTTACTCCCTTGAATCTGTAACTCGTCACTTAACTCGAGGCATCTTCTTTCAACCCTCGATCTAATTGAATTTGACTTATCAATTACCGTATCGTCCAACAACTCTACAAAATATCTATCATCCTTGAGTCGATAAGGACGACGCTAGAAAGGACCCTCGACAGGCTCGACATGCTCCATAAATTGAGAAGCTCCCGCGCCACCACTTAAACGTTGCTCAAGCTCCCTTTGGTCTCGCACGTCTCGTCTTCGAATATCGGTCTGCTTTCTTCCAACGTCGCCTCTACGTATCTTGCCGTAACACGCCGAAGCTTCCGCGGCGACCACCGACACAATAATCATGAGGTTCCTGACGGGACTGCTCGTGTTGGGCATGTCCCTTTGGACAACCCAAGCTTATGAGATTGGACTGGTACGGGCGGCCTTCATCCTGCGATGCGAAGCGTTTGGATCGTAACTATGCTAACGTCTCTGTCATCTAGAGCGAGAAGGAGGGCTATCAAGAATACTGTACCGGTAGGTCATGCCTTCTACGTGCAATGCGACTCTTGGATCTAACATGTTCCAGGCATGTACAGCAAGACCTCATGGGGTGGACCCGTTGACCCATTCATCCTCGTCAAGTTCCTCAACACCAGCAACTCCGATGTCAAGGATCCGATTGCGAGTCTGGTGATATTTGAGTGGAAGGACCGAAATCTTGTTGGAATCCCTGATCCGAATACTCCCGGCAACGTAAGTGCTCGCGATTCCCTATGCATGCTCCGCCCTCTTCTGACACATGATAGCGACTTGGCGTCTGCGGTGACGATTTCGTCAAGCAAGGTTACTGTAACAAGACCGATATTGGCAAATTCATCCTGCATCCCGATGTCGACAAGAAGTCTTCGAGCGTGGTTCTCACAAAGGCTGTCCACCTCAACGATGCGGCTCCAATCAACTATGCTATCAAGAAGACCGGATACTACTGCGTTCTTACAGATGTGGTCAACACAAAGAAGTACGACCTAGTAGTCGAATATCGCAACGCTTATGGCGAGCTGGAGGCAACCCAGATTCCCAAGTTGCCCTTCTATGGTGGCATGAGTATCTTGTATGCTCTCCTTGCTGCCTACTGGGGTTTCTTGTACTATCAGCACAGGCATGATATCTGTAAGCAGAAACCTCGTATATGCTTCAACCAATTGCATGCTGACTTTACTCAGTGGCTGTGCAAAACTACATCACGGCCATTCTCATTTTCCTGGTGGTGGAAATGCTCATAACATGGGGTTTCTATGGTTTGTCTCTCCCTTGGTTTAGTCTACCCGTCCTAACTCGAATCTAGAATACCAGAACCGTCATGGCTCGAATGTTGGCTCAAAGGTTTTCCTTACCATTGTTGGAATTCTTAACGCTGGCCGAAACTCATTCTCGTTCTTCTTGCTGCTCATTGTCTGTATGGGCTATGGTGTCGTGAAGCACACCCTCGGTAGGACCATGATTAGGGTGCGATGGCTTGCAGCGGCCCACTTCCTGTTCGGACTGGTCTACTCACTGACTTTCCTCTCCATCACCCCTGAGACAGCTGGTAAGATCTCTTTAATGAACTGTTTAGTTGACCGTATCTGACTGAATACAGGCCCATTCGTGCTTCTGATCGTCCTACCCCTGGCGGGCACACTGACTGCCTTCTATGTCTGGACACTCAACTCACTCAACTGGACACTCAAGGATCTCCGCGAGCGAAAGCAGCACGCAAAGGAAGCCATGTACCGAAAGCTCTGGTGGGCCATCCTCATCAGTGTCATGGTCATCTTTGGTTTCTTCTTCTTCAACAGCTTCACCTTTGCCTCAGCCAGCGATCCCGACTTTGTTCCTTTCCACTGGAAGACACGATGGTTCATCCTCGATGGCTGGCTGAACGTTGTCTACTTTGCTGACGTCGCATGGATCGCCTACCTTTGGCGTCCTACTTCCAACAACCGCCGCTTTGCCATGAGTGATGAGATTGCTCAAGATGACGATGGCAACTTTGACCTTGGCGATATCGGTGTTCCAGGAGAAGACTCGGATGACGAGGACGTCGAAGTGGGCAAGACTCGCAACGACTCAAGCAACGCCAATGGCCTCTCCTTTTCAAGTGCGTCGCAGAGCAGCGCTCAACCACCCAGAAACATTACTCGTACCGCTCCTCGTGAGTCACTAGAGAATGAGACCATTTTTGCTATAGGCGAGGATGGCGACAAATTTTCAGACGATGGAAGTGACGAAGAGGACGCAAAGCTTGTGAAAACGAAGTAAGAGGAGGATGACAATTGGCTCACGCTAAATCTGCATGCGATCAAAGTTGGGCGCACATCCTTTTTGTGTAATTGTAGGGTTGTCGGAGGGATCAAATCTTACTGATGAATGAACCGAGTTTTCGATTAAGCAACGTTTCCTTGCGTGGGTAGTGATGCGTGTAGTATATGGGCTTTTGGTTTTGGAAAGATCATAGTTGTCGTATAAGGATACAATGGTTTGATCAATTTACATACTGTTACAATATCGTTTCAGATTTGCCTCTCCTAAAGCATCGTGATGCAGTACAGCGGCCGGGCAATGTCTGTTATTAACCCAAGACGTCACCCCCAAACCCAACTGGTCGTCTTCGACCGTCATTCTCAGGCAGGATAGCCAATGCCTTATACAGTTTCCCCATGCCGTCAGGGCCCTTATCAACAAGGCGCTTCCAGGCTCCGTCGATCTTATCAGCAGTCTCTTTGTCGACGCCCGGCGCCTTGGTCAATTGTTCAGCACGCTCTCGGATGCCCATCAACTCAAGGAAGTCACCCTGATTGACGGGTCCATGGACTTCCACGCCTTCACTCGCTGACATGGCCACTTCAGCGATGGCAGTGAAATCGACATCTGCACTCAAGTCGACCAGACCAGGCGCAGAAAAGGGATTCACTCGCTTGTGGTGTCGGATGCCGCGAAGGGAGTTGATAGGGACGGTGTCTGACGTTCCGTAATCAAGAATAAGGGCAGCACCGCTGGGCTTAGTCTTGCGATACTGTTCAGAACCGCCGATACGAGTTGCAAAGTCTGTAGCGAAGATGGACGCATCTGGGCAGACTTCGATGACGGAATTGGGCATATTCTTGAGCTTGCGGTACCTTGTTGAGGTCTCAGGGAGAAAACGAGAGTGGCGAGTAGGCGTGGATGAAAGTGTAAGCTGGAACTCAGGAGGCGGCTCATCTTGCTGTGATTTCGGTGTTCCAAGTTGAGCGTGAGTGACGCCCGGCGGTGTTGGCGAGACCATCATTTCTCGCCATTCCATAGCGGGTTTGGTGTTCTCGGGTGGTGGTTGAGCAGGCGAAGTCGGTGAAGATGCCTTTGGCTGGGGAGGAGGAGCTGAAGCGGATTGGAAGCTGTGAATAGGGAGAGCATCAAAGAACTCGTGAGCGATTATGAAGGGCATTTTGTCAGCTTCTGTGTAATGCTGTTAGCCAGACCCGTGACATTATGTGAGTTCTGCCTACCATTTGGAATAGACTTGATTGTGTCAGTCCAGACAATCTGCTTGCCGTTGTACTTGCTGGGGCTATGAAAACCAGACTTTGACTCTGATGATGGCGCATCCGGGCCACAAAGGAGTTGCTTCTGGGCGTTTCTAAGTTCGCGGCTGGCTTCAACCATGTACACAGCATCGATGCTATTAGCCATCGCAGGAAATCGTTGAATGGTCGATAATTCAAGTTAGTGAGTCTTTCAAGCTCAACCAATGAATGTCACATACTCGAAGCATATCATCCATAAGAGTACCACGACCAGGCCCAACCTCGATGAGTTGGACGCCCTCTTTAGGTCGACCTTGGCTGATCCATTCAGCGATGAACCAGATACCGATAAGTTCACCAAAAATTTGCGAAATCTCTGGTGATGTAACAAAATCTCCTTTTGTGCCAAACTGATCCCGGCCTTCACCAATGGCTCCAGTGTAGTAGCCTCCAATATCTCCAGTCAAGCACATGCGCATGTAACTGGCCAACGGAACAGGTCCAGTTGTCTTTGAAGAATGGTCAGTATAAGCATGAACTTGTAGCGGTTTCACTCACTGATATAGCAGCAAAGAGCTGCTTGGCTAATGGTGTTGACCATTGTCTCTCACTCTCTTTCTGGTTCTCATTCTTGAATATCTCATCAATATCTGTAGCATTTTGATATTGGCGAACAGTGGATGAGAAGCTCCGGCCAACACAAGAGTTGAACAAGTTTGGCTGTGGAACACATCGGCCACTGCTAAGCCTCGCAAGAGGCTTTAAGCCTAGTGACCTAAACATCCTGAGCCTGTCTCCTGTGAGCGAGAACAATTAGCTACAGAACAAATCAGCTGGCGATGTTCTCACTTGTAAGCTGTAGTAGTACAACAACCGCACGTGAAAGCATCAGCGACAATGCTTTTCTGGAGTCGAGGCTACAGACAGTACTTACTGATAAGATAAGAAACTTGTCCATCCATAACTTGGACGTTCCTCCCCGCAACACCAATTCGTTTCACACATAAACCAGGCACTATTAGACAGCGTCGATTTCGTGACTTTCAAAGTTTTGCGTTTCAATTCCTATATATAAATTACAGAAGCTACGCGCAGTCTCTCACGGCCGCTATGTCCGGCAAATCTCGGTGGGCCGACACCGAAGAAGACGCCCGTATCGACGCCAAACTCAAGGAAGAAAAGCGACGTAGGAAGGCAGAAAAGGCTCGAAAGCTTGAAGAAGAGAAGAAAGCACAAGAAGCTGCACAGAAAAAGGTGCTCCAACTTGACGATGACCGGCCCTCGAAGCGACGTAGGATCACCCCCGAACCAGGCGCAAACCAAGAAGACAAGGCACCTCCAGCGAAGCTATTGCGGTTTCCAGCGGGCACCTGGGGGAAGTGCAGAAGCGTTGAGAATTATGAGAAGCTAAACGATATCGAGGAGGGGACTTATGGCTGGGTTGCGCGGGCGACAAACAAAGCTACAGGAAAGGTTGTCGCGCTCAAGAGGTTGAAGCTGGAACCTCAAGATCGAAACGGTCTCCCCGTCACAGGCTTGCGCGAAATACAAATATTGAAGGATTGCCAACACCGGAATATTGTCACCATGGAAGAGGTTGTTGTAGGGGACGACGTATCACGGCCAGACAAGTAAGCACGCGACACTTGGTGTTGAAGACTACAGCTAACAGCCAGCCCAGCTCTTTATTCCTCGTCCTCGAATTCGTCGAACACGACCTAAAATCCATTCTTGATGATATGCCCGAGCCATTTCTCTCTTCCGAAGTAAAGCGCCTCCTATTACAGCTTACATCAGGCATCGCATATCTCCATGACAACTGGATTCTACATCGCGACCTCAAAACCTCTAATCTCCTCCTTAACAATCGTGGCCAGTTGAAAATTGCCGACTTTGGTATGGCCCGCTATGTTGGCGATCCTCCCCCGAAACTCACACAACTCGTCGTCACTCTTTGGTACCGGGCTCCGGAGCTACTACTTGGCGCAAAGACATACGATGCGGCGGTAGACATGTGGAGTGTGGGCTGTATCTTTGGCGAGCTGATAACCCGGGAACCTCTTCTTCAGGGTAAGAATGAAGTCGATCAAGTCTCGCGCACCTTCGAGCTCTGTGGTGTTCCCACAGAAGAGACATGGCCTGGATTTCGTCGTCTCCCCAATGCACGCTCATTGCGACTTCCTAAGACACAAGTTGCTACCGGATCTGTCATTCGCGCTCGCTTTCCTGGCCTCACTACCGCAGGCGCCAGCTTGCTGGGTGATCTACTATCACTTGACCCCGAAAGAAGACCATCGGCGAGTGAGATGCTCCAGCACGAGTACTTCCGACAGGACCCAAAGCCTAAACCAGAGAGCATGTTCCCAACGTTTCCTAGTAAGGCGAACCAGGAACGGCGAAGGCGTGCAGAGCCTCATGCCCCTGTGCGCGGTGGACAGGCTGCGTCGCTGGGCGATGCTGACTTCAGTGGCATTTTTCAGGGGCGGGATAAAGAAGAAAGGGGGGCAGGGTTTCAGTTGCGTATGGTTTAAGTTCATGTGCACCTAAGGTTTGCGTAAATTCCAACGTTCTTCCTGGGAGGCGAAAGAAGCCATCAACGTCTACCACGACATGTGGAAATAGACTCGAAGCACATATGTAATTGATTCTCTAGGCGGGTTAACCTTACTATAGGGTTGAACGCATACAAGAACCTTAATGGACGACCACAGATACAAGATTCAAGATTCAGGACAGGGGTTATCTGAAGACAAACTCGCTGCAATCGGTAACCAAGGACCGACGAGATTAATATGTATATAGTAGATAAGATCATTAAATGATTTCAACTCATTTCGACCACCTGATTAATCATAAGCATCCAAACCGGGGATCTCCCTGTTCTTGCGAGGTGACTTCACCACAGCGACATCCGTCTGCCAACGCCCTCACCAAACTGTGAAATATCCTGATGAAAAGTGAAACAATAATCAATAAACATTTTTCTCCTTCTGATGCTTGCCTGCCCATAACACCTCCAATAATAATAACTCCTAAGATCAGTTGAAAAAAAAAAAAAAAAAATAACACTGAATACTTTGACTAGTTGTTGCAGATATCACAGTTCCACTGGGGATAGGGTGTGTAGGCCGCGGGTGTGTACATGCCAAACTGGAAGGTCTTCTCAACTTGCAGATAGCCAGGAGAGGGCAGGTCGGTGATGGCCGAGTCAGAATCCTTGATGACCAGAGTGTACATGCCGACCACGAGAGGAGCATCGGGGTCGTTGGCCTGCTTGCTGGTGTCCCAGACAAAGGTGGGGTTGGTCGCAAAAGTCATGTTGGCAGTGAGAGTGTATGTCTCGCCGGCGGAAGACTGGCTGACGAGGACATCGATGGCGGTTGGTGTGCCCTCAAGCGAGGTGTAGTTCCAGCCAAAGGTGGCGTAATCACCAATCTTGAAGAGAGGTGTAGGGACATACATGGTATCGGGAAGTGTCATGCTCACACCACCAGGCTGAACATCAGCAGAGAAGGTTGTGCGCTTGGGTGCAGATGTTCCAGTTTTGGTGCCAGACTTCTTCTTGCCTGTCTCGGTAGCGGTCTTGGTGTTCTCTGCAGTTCCGGTCTCAGTTCCTGTCTCGACTTTGGCGGTGTTCAAGTTGGTCTGCTTGGCGCTGTTCTTTCGGGTACTTGAAGCCTCTCCATCACCGGTTTTGTCCTGACGAGCCTTGATAACGCCGGTCTCCTGTGGCACTATGAGGAGTCAGTAAAAGGGGTTGTTTATGGGTGAGAAGAGTCAGCGTACTGGCTTCATGTGCAACGCGTCGGACAACAACAGAATCGGCAGGAGGAAACCAGTTAGGCCATGCTGCCGCTAGAGGGGCAAGAGAGGAGAGGCAGACAGCCAGCTGAAGGAGGTTCGAGGTGGGACGCATGATGAGATCGTTGGTGGGTTTGAGAACGAAAGGGGGTCGAGATGAAGTCAGGCGGACCACAGCGGCTGTGGTTAGTGATTAATTGATGAGTGAGTCTTGAGTGCCGATGATGATGTTGTCGATATTGATTGATTATATTCCAAGAGATGGGTAGATCGTTTGTAACTAGATGTCGATACTGGAAGATGCCAAGCGTGTCCAAATCGACGAGCGAACGAAGGGTGAAGCGTATAGCGAAGGTAGAGGAGAAGTAGCAAAATGCGAGAAACAACAAGGGTCGATGAAACGATGGCTACGACGATCTGCTGCTAGTCTCAAAAACGCTGGAATTGATCGATCTCAAAGATAACGAGAGTAAAAAGCGAGAGGTGGACAAGAAATCAACAGAGCAAAAAAGAGGGATCAGAACAGAACAGGGGAAAGCGTTGGCGTTATGTTGGGTTGGCCCAGCAGGAGGAGCAAGGGGTTGGTCTTTGGCACATGCTTCACTAGGAGAGGTACGTACCGTGGCCACACCAGATCGACTTTAAAGTCAAAACAACAACTCCTTTTCCTTTTTTTGGGTGGAGGTCTGAGCTGTAGCCGTTGAATTTTTGTTAGTGGATGCTTGTACCTCTCAGCTTCTATAACGGTGGCGTACAAAGTGTTTACACAGCCTTCCCCGAGGCCCGGATTATTGGATCTATTCTACAACCCGTGGTCAGACAAGGAAGTCATTTCGTGTTGACTGACGATCTGGATCCTTGTGTTTCTCTTTACGTAGCATCCCAGCACTTGGTCATTGTATTATAGGTAACCTTGGGTGCAGTATTTCTAGATACTTCGAATAAACAGCATGATGATGGCACACGCGTCTACTCGACCACAAAGTTTAGACCGTCGCTTAGGGTGGTTGATGAATTCAGATCGGAGGGCTCGCAATAGGAAAAGCCAACGATCGAAAGAGGGAGAATACATCACATGATCTCGTGTTCATCACTCTGCTTCACCTAAAAATAACCACCCGACGCTACCTAACCCTTGTTGATTCCCCGCCGTCCCTGTCCGGAGTCCCCTAAGCTCCCGCTATTCTCGGCAATCATGCACTAAACATGGTGCATGGCTCAATCAACAGATTCTTATCCTTAACGGTTGTATCAACGGGTCATGCCATTGGAGCCGTGAAGAGCCGTGAACTATTCTGCTCGTGTTGTTTGCTGATCTCACTTTTTGGTCTTGTACTGAAGACTCTTCTGTCGATTGTCTTCCACCGACTAAGCCTCGTTCAGCCTCATCCGTAAGACTAGATTGTCTAACTTGACGATGGCGTCTCAAATTAAAGTGCCCGTGCCCGTTACTTTGTTACCAGGCGTTTGCCGCTCTATTTATTAGCTCCCGATCAATGCAACATCCCTCTCCCGTGTCACGTGGACCCGTCTTCCACAACATCAAGACAGAGTGTTTGCCAGCGACGTAAAATACAATGGCTGACTACGGATTTAGGTATCTGTCTGGTTGATTGAGAACCGTTTGGTTACATACTGCCCCGGTGCTGTTCCTTTGATACTTTCTTTTGCTCCTTGTGTCATGGCTTACTCGAAATGTTCTTCTTCAATGCAAGTCATATACTCGCTTCCGGGGTGACTCCAGGTCACATCGAGGAGTGATGGTATTATCTTGTCACTCTCTCAGTTCTGGTTCATCTTCCGTGCTGCAATGTCCTTACAACCTGTATGTTTCTGTGTATGCCGTCAAAGTCTTGACTCAATAGTAATCAAGACTATAAAAGATATTCAATCATATATGATATTCATTAACCTGCAGGTGAATAGACGAATCAAAGTCCTCCAATATCGCCAATGTTTGCCTTTTTCAAGCCTGTAAACGGCCAGCGGGAGGCTCGCAGCTGGCAGCCGCACGTGAATCAGGCCCGTTGGTTCGCCCTGCCTTATGAGATCCAATGGTGATTGCCTGTCCCATCTCCCATGCTCGAGCTCGGCCTGGGGAGAAAGTGATAACTGGGAGCTCTTTCCATCAAATCCTTATATATTGATTTCACCAACCACTTTTGGATTATCTCTTCTTCATCCGTATCAGAATCAAGATCAGCTCTTGAGCCAACGAATTATCAGCATGAGCATGAGCATGAACCAGACGCAGTAAGCAAGAATTACTACAGTTCAATTGGGTACCAAGATAACAGTTATACTCACCTATTCGCAGGAAACAAGATGTACGACTCCCTTCCTACCCATTGGAAAGTCCTCCGTATTAGCAGAGAACTACCAAAAAACGCGTGAAATGCAAGTCTTGCAAAATATTCATCGGACTGACAATGGTTTAAGGGCCCAGAGATGCCAGTGAACGAATCCCAATGTGTGTACGTGCCTCGAGAGGAATACCAGAGCCTCCTTGCGATTGCCCACCAGTATGGTATGTTACAACGGCACAGCCTATACTGGCAATCTCTGACACTTGCCTGTGATCAGTCTACCTACGTCAGAATCTCATCGCGCAAGGGCTGAATGAAGCAATTGTGAATGTATGTTACCATCTCCCATCCGCCTACCAACTTCTAAACTCTCTGTAGTCTCTCTGCCTTCAGAAGCCAGCTGAAGATGCGCCTACCTATGCCCCTGAACAGTTTGAACCATCGCCAACGGCAAATTTCACGTACAAAGCACAAGCATCTGCTTTCCCAATTCAATCGAATACCGCTTTGGGCTACCCTGCTGAAGAACAAGGGCTTCGTCTGAATAGGAGTTGGCAGCCCAATGCGTCTTATCGGTCCTCAACCCATCCAGGTGGCTCGATCAATCAGAAACGGCTTGGAAGTTTCCACGACAACAAAAGACCAGAGGTCAAGGAGTGGTTTGAGCGCTCAGCGCAGAGGTCAGTCCTGCTCCTCAATGTGCCTGATGGCATCACACATGGGGATGTTGCTGCGGTTGTTCGAGGGGGTCCCGTTCTGGAGATCTTTCTTCGGAGCAAAGATAACACTGCCACGGTCTCTTTTTTGCACGAGGCTGACGCCTGTGCTTTTATTGAGAACTGTCGCACTGCTGCTTTGTACATCAAAGACCGGAAAGTAAGTAGATTGGTGAAAGCTGCCGATGTCATTCTTATACGCTATCACAGATACATACCAGATGGTCTGACTACCAGTTCACCTTGAGTGGCCAGGTTGCCCATCATATTCGCAAGGGCGGCTCTCGTAACTTCGTCATCCGCAAGCGGGACCCCAACCTCACCATCCAGGGTATCCGTGATGACCTGGAACACATTCACAATCTTCATGTGATCAGCATCGAGTTTGAGAAGGACAACTGTTTCATCAGCACCAATGCGATTCATGGTGCTATCTATGCTCGAACATGTCTTCAGAGCCGAGTGTAAGTTGGGCTCTGTACCATGTTGAAGACCAGTCAGTAGTCCAGACAGTGCTAATCTGCAATTTATCCAGAGAATACAGGGCCTCTCGTATTGAGTGGTGTGCCGACGAATGTGCACAGCCGTATCAGAGCATGTCATCTGCGATTCACAATCTCGTCCCTAGTGTGAAGACGCAGAGAAGTGTTATTCCCGCCCATCCATCACGCAAGAACCTCATGGGCAACCGTTTCCAGCTATTGGATCTTTCTGATAGTGATGGAAGTAATGGGGATGATTCATCTGACGACTCTTTTTGAGCTACCTATGGCACAGCATCTTCGATTCTTCGATCTAGTATGATCAGGAGATTAATTTGTTGTGACGCTAATGATCTGTTCATTTGTACGAGTTTTGCTTCAAGCCTCTGTGAGAGAGGTCTAGTCATGGAACAGACATTGAGGTTTGTTCGGCTGTAGATATCAGATTACAAGTTACGTATTGGCTCTGCGGTTGCTTTCCGAAAGCAATCTCCTTAACCTCCACTCTCAGGTAGATTGGTATCGAGAGTTTTAGACAAGGAAGGGAACGTTACAATACCTGCATGGTTGTTGGACGGCATCAATCTAATACAAGAAAAGGATTAATATACTATGCTACGTTGCAACTTTCAACAGCCTGACTGTAAATTCAATGAGCTCTTCGACTTTGCAACACCTCGAGTGCCAGGATGAAGTATTCTCTCGCCCATATCACCTCAACTGCGATCCAGACAAGAGGCAGACGCATTCAGTATATATAATATAGAGGAGTTTGGTGTCTCCAATCTGGATCGAAAATGAGAATTGATCTGATGCGCAAAGGCCTTTTGGGGGGGGGGGGGGGGGGGCGATCTGCCTTGGTTGTCGAATACGGCCATGGCATACAGCACGCACTATATGCGCTAGTTTCGAATTCCGAATCATCTGGCTTTCAGGGGCCCTCGAGCTCATACAAATATGCCAACAGGTTCAATAATACTTTTGTTACCGAGTAGATCTCCATGAGTGGTCCTCTTAATGCTTGTTTTCAAGTCGCTAGGTAGAATAGCAATCGCAACATTATAGACGCAAGGTCGGATGATAAAATTTCAAAAAGACATAACAAGGATAATGATGATCTAGATAAAAGATTTAAAAATGCGCGCGGTGACGCTCAGCAAGGGGAGCCTGATTCTGCAGGCAACATACCAATGGTAATAACTTATTTGGAATACAAGCTACTTGACCAAAAGAGTTCCTTATTGCATTCCAATATTCTAAATGCTGCACCATATAGAGTCTCAACCTGGAATTCAATGGCATGGGTTACAAATAGCTGAGTGCCCCTGAATGACGAAACTAGCTTCTGGTTCAGGGAAGAATCAGTGAAACGATACAAAAGACAGAAGATTCGATTGGCTGTGCGAACAAAATTACATACTAGGGACTACATATACCTCCTCTGTGGCTCATTGAAATACTGATACTCGTTAATGCTGTCAATTATGCCTCATGTGTGACTAGCTTTTTTGCTTCGTATGTGACGGGAACATCTGTTTTGTTATACTGATTTCACGCATACATAAGCCGAGAAGTTGATGAAGACCGTTCCAGAGAATAGTAGCGTACAAAGAGTATCTCAGTTATCTTAACGCTCTAATACAGTTATTGTAGCAGAGCTAGTATGGGAAAACGAAAACAACACAACGAGGAATCCATCACTATCTTTGATGAAGAGATACAAAAGATGACACAGCTAACGATAGTTGAATCTGTTACTTTTCTCTTGTTAAGACAGACCTGCAGCTGTCGTGGATTATATTTACCCCTGAAATCAGCCATCTTCTCAATTAACACCAGGACTTCCATTGACCCATTTAGATCATCATAACGGGTCTGTCTAATAAACAGACAGTAGATCAATGTCTGACACAAGTGGGTCGCTCTGGTTAGCGATCCCGTGAGGCATCAAAGTGAACTGCTTGAGTATTTACCAGTCAGGGGCATGGTGACTTTGCATTTGTGAGATTTGAATCCGTGTCAGAGCATGGGTCTTCCATATAGACATGCGAAAGAGCAGCCGCCCACACAGCATGAATCATCACCACAAACATCTCAAATCGGATAACAGTCCAGGCCAAACAAAGTGGCGATAACGGTCGCTTAGCAATTAGATACCTACCCTAGCTCATTGTTTGCCAAAACTATAGTATCCCACACAAGGCTCCGTTGCAATGCTCCCCTGTTCCTATAAATAACAAATAGTACACATGAAATCACTTCTCCACAGATCCCTTAATGGTTAGCATTCTTGGTGACAGACTGTAAGTAGTCCAGCAAAAACGTGCGTTCGGCTGGCGAGATGGGCGTCTGACTACCACGACGAGAAGGCGGGCCGGCAGGGTCCTCAACTCCAGAGGCCAAAGAAGCAAGACGAGACCTAGGCGTTCCAGCAATGACCTCCTTGCCCTTGGCTGCCTCCAAACTAGCAGGGGATGGCTGCTTGCCAAAGAGTGACAGCAGTTCTCTCTTCTGAGCGGGACCAGACTCGCGACGACGATTTACAGCAGGGAATGCTTGTGCAATGCTGGGGCTGATGCCAGCACCTGCAGGCTGCAAGTGGCTAGACAATCCACTTGGCGAGGCAAAAGAAGTCTGAGGAGATGCTGATGCTCCACCGATGCCAAATAATTGTTCGCCCTGACCTCGCTGAAGAATACGGGTAGGCTGAGTAGGCTGCGAGGCAGCTGGTGCATGTGCTTGGGCACCATATTGTTGCGAATAACCCGCTGTTCCTTGAGATCCAGGTGTGCCGGTTTGAGTAGGCCGTTGTTGTAGTGATAGGCCATCCATTGACGGGAGCGGGTTGGGGTCAGCGGGGGCTTGTTGGGGAATATTGGCCCTGAAATTGTCTCCGCCAACTGAACGCAGAAGTTCACTCATCATACTGCCAGGAGCAGGCTGTCCAGCGGGCTGGGGTCCTTGTGCAGGGTGCTGATTCTGGTCGTCCTTGCGAAACATGCCTAGCAGAGCAGAACGGTGATTGTCGGCAGGTGGCCCAACCTTTGAGCCTGGCAGCTCCTTAGGACTTGGCCCCGAGCGGTCTTGGCCTCCCACAGGGCCGGCCGCATGAGGGACTTGCTGAGGAACTTGTTGCGCTTGTGCTCCGCCTAGGTTACTATACACGGGTCCTTGGCTCTGTGCTGGGAAGCCAGGAGGGAACGGAGCTTGTTGAGGCTTCTGCTGTACCTGTGGCGCGGTATTACCGCCCTTGAAAGCATTCAGGAGGGCCATGGACTGGCCGTTCAAAGGTTGTGGTCTCGGCTGCCCAGGTGCATTGAGAGGTTGCTGAGGCATCTGGCCGGGGTGGCCATATTGCGCTTGCTGCTGATTAAGGAACTGACCAGGCACGGGGTTGTGGTTGGGTTGATTAACGTCCTGGAATACACTCCTGTTGAAAACAGCCCTTTCTACCTGGGGGGGCAATGGCTGAGGATGCACCAGAGGAGCCTGGTTGCTCTTATACTGACCCTCCTGGATAGAGTATTGCTGATTATATAGCTGAGGATTGCCAACCTGCTGTCCTAGTCCCATGTTCCAGTGAGCACCTTGGTTAGGCGTGTACGGGAATGGCGGCGGTGGCTGCTGAGTATTTGTGGATGGCATCTGGTGAAGATTATGGTGATGCGGTGTATGAGGTTGAGGAGCGTTGGTAACTGTGTGATCAAGAGGAGTCTGAGGATAGTGAGCACCAGCCTGCGGCATGGCGTTAGGAGGGCCGTCTTTGGCTTGGAGGATAGAAAGTAATGCACTTCCTTTATCCTGTTGAGCCGGAGCCGGAGCAGAAACGCCTTGCAACCCTTGAGTGGGAGGTTGCACCTTCAACAAACGTTGTAACTCCTGTGTGGCGCCTGCGAGCGTCTCTATCGCCGGGCCTTGGTCCGTAGTTTCGGCGCCAGTATCGTTCCATGCTTCGTCTTCGTATTGGGCTTCGCTGATAGGTCCATAACCTTGTGAGCTGTTTGCGGCTCTCCTTGCTTCAATCTTCTTCTGCGCCATAACCCATTTCTTCAGCGGCACCAAGAACGGTGCCACCATATAAAACTTGTTAGCATTAGGTGCAGTGTTGGCATCGTTCGCTTGGCCATTCTTGCGGCGGAAGGCTGGTAGTTCCGATAGCTTATACCACTGGATTTTACTGATTTCCTTCCTGGTCTTGGGTTCAAATACGGTGTCCATTGGGACATCTCGAAAGACGTAAAGCCTCATATGCTGTTCGCGCATCGAGATCTCAATGTACTTTGGTTTATGTTCGGTGGGTACCAGGCCAGCAGCTCGAAGGTCCAAACCGGTCTCTTCATATACCTCACGAACGGCGCAATCCAGATCATCTTCGTCCTTATTGATCTTTCCTCGTGGGAAACTCCAGTTGGCTCCCTTCTTCCATCCCTTGACCAGGACTGTCGAATCCATGGCCTCGTTCAGCATGATAGCACCTCGTACAGGAACACGAGTCTTGTACTCCAAAAACTCCTCAAACGCTTTGGTGTGATTCTCGACAGAAAAGCTGGCCAATAAGGGACAATGCTGGAAGATTCGTAGACAAAAAGTTCGCAGGGTCATGGACGGCAGAGTCGGGTCAAGTGGACGGATGAAATCCTCGTAGAACCACTGAGCTTCTTCGACCTGGAAGCATATTCGAGCGACGGAGGAGAGATCCTCCTGGGGAAGGTTGATGATGAAGCGGACGCAGAGGTCGTCCAGCCCTAGGTTGGTTGCGTTAGTCCTTGCTCGCAACCGCGCAGCACCCACCAACACATACAATCCTCTAACTGCATTTGTGATCCAGACATGATGGTGATGTTGGAGTCACACGGCTCATGCTATGGTAGATGTATTTAATATTCGGTTGTTGTTTTTCTCTTATGTTTGTTGACGCCTTTTCAAGACTTTGCGAGACGATAATGCGAACGTAGCTGCGAAGGCAAGCTGACCATGATTGAAGTGCGAAAGCCAAGATAATGCAGAGGAACGACTGCGACAAGCGAAAAGACGCGAGCGGTGGTCGAAGAGGGAGAGGAAAGCTAGGTCACTCGAGAAGCTACCGAAGATAGGAACGCTGTACGAAGTGAACGTGAACGAGTCTCAGTAGAATGCAACGTCTCTTTGAGGACACGCGGGGTCGAGGCGGCAGTGCAAAGGCCGAGATGGTGGATTTCGGATGTGATTTGTTGTTGGTGTTGTTGTCAGGTTTGGACTGATAGCATTGGATCGCAATGAGACCAGCGAGGTCAAAGACCCATTCTCATTCGCGCCTTAGGTACCCTGCCTTTGGCTGAGGTGCCCGCTTTCAGGCAGGTCCAGTGCTTCGTGAGATGGAGCCCAGTCTCCAAGTCAGAGGGAGCTAGCTGCTGAGCCACGATTGCGATCACTCGCCACAGATTAGCTCGATCGCTGTGGCGGTGCAACGCCGTTCATGATAGTCCAACTCAGTTTCTCCTAACAGGTTCCCTCCCGTCTAGAGTTGCATGGACGTTTCAGAGGTAATGCTCAATCGCCACTAAAGAATATGCCAGCGCATGTGCATGATCAGCATTGCAGCAGTGGTTTAACCGGTTTTGTTGAGCTAAAAGTCTACGTATGAATGCTTCTAGACTGCAGGGGCCGCCAATATTACATCATCGGTCACAGCACCGACTGGGCTCCCTCACCATGGACATCATAAATACTTGAAAACAAGTAATTGACCGACCAGCCGCACAGGAAAGTCACTACAAGCGCAAAGAGTGGTCATTCTTTCAGGACCTTGTCCTCCCCTTATTTAATAAGAGAAGCACCCTCTCATTGTCTTGGCTCGTCCAATCTTCGTCTCGGAATTTCAAGCAGTGACATACATTCTTGTTAGTGGAGTGGTCTTGTCTTTGATCATACTCCCGCCTCTGCCAAGCTCGTCGCTTCAGCAATATTAAGAAGACCAACGACCTCGTCCCGGGTCGCACAACGACTTATTTAAGCGAAGTACTGCTCTTGCTATAAAACATGGCATCACTTGTCGCAAAGCTCGTCACCAAGAAGATCTTGGGAGAGACTGTCCAGAACAAATTTGGAACTGAGGTATGAAAGCATCGACTCAACCTATTGTTTAGACCCGGCAAACTAACGCGTCATTCACAGGATCCCTACTTTGAGCATGTCCCAGCTACTCGCCTAGATGGAACGCCTACTGGCAAAGTTAAAAAGCGAAAGAAGGCTCTTCCTCCAGGCATTTCCGAAAATGATGGCAAAGTCTTGACCAAGGTCAAGCGCCGAGCTTACCGTCTCGACCTGGCTCTTTTCAGTTGCTGCGGCATCCGATTTGGCTGGGGTAGCGTTTTGGGATTTATCCCTGCGTAAGTTTGATCTCCAATCCCAAATTGGGTTTCCATCGAAGCTAACATGGACTTTATAGAATTGGTGACGTTTTGGATATGTTGCTTGCCCTTTTGGTTATGAGGACCTGCATGAAGATCGATGGTGGGCTGCCAACCTCTGTCAAGTCCAGGATGATGTTCAATATCATCATCGACTTTGTCGTTGGAATTGTGCCCTTTGTTGGAGACATAGCCGACGCGGCTTTCAAAGCCAATACTCGCAATGCTGCACTTCTTGAGCAACACTTGCGTGAGGAAGGACGCAAGAACTTGAAGAAGAGCGGATTGCCAGTGCCAGCCATTGACCCCAGCGATCCTGAACAATTTGATCGACTTCAGGCCCAGGATCCACCAGAGTATGTGTCAAACCCACCATCGCGAAATCCCTCCATGTCGGAGCGTCGTCGACACAGCCGCAGTCGCAGCCGAGATCGCCGCCGTGATGATCGTCCCATCGAGCCGGAACCGGCACGAGTCCGCGAGAGCCGCGGATTCTTTGGTCGCAGCAGAGCTCAACCACACGATATTGAAACAGGTGAAGCTGAGCGTGGGTCCCGAAGTCAAAGATCACAGCGACGAGATAGAGACCGACGCTAAAGTCGGCAACTCGGATTTACGTGGACGGCGAGGGAAATGAAGAGAAAGGAAATAGACCGACCACGCTGACGGAAGGGCGGGCCCCTATGAGTCAGGATTATTATGATGGGGTGAGGATATTTGGTAATGCTTGTATGATCGGAAGATGGAGACGCGTTTCATTGTCGTGTTGTCTATGAATGATGTTCAGTATGGACACCTACCTTACCTTACGAATCTATGAGGCGCCATGACACTTATTGATTGATAAAGTGGGTTGCAGTCGTGCGTGGGTTGTAATCCTCGAATTAAAATAGAGAATAAGATCTGATAACTTTACTTGGCATTTTCATTGACCAAGCAACTGACTCGAGTGGAACCGTGACAGAGATGAACAATAATCTTGAAGCCTCCGATCTAGGACTCTAAGGGGTTTCAATTTGAATACGGTCTCACCTTGGCCTGGTCCAAGCTGATCTGAATTTAGTTGCAACTTTGGGGACTGCGGATAGCAAAAGGGAGCTCGTAGGAGGCGTTCCATCCCTGAGCCTATCACGTCAGCTTCAGGGCCCAGGCCGGAACGCGGTGTAACCCCAGGAACGCGTTTCTCACCCTGGGAGTGAAGTTGAGTTACGGGGAAAGTTCGTAGCAGTTCAATGGCGCTTGTAGCAGTTGCAGAAAAGGTTCAATGGCCATCATTTCTGCATGAATCTGATCTCGGTGCACGGTAGGACCTCATCATGACTTCTCCCACCTGGCATAGGTACCTTAGTCTCATGAGTTCTGTCCCGCCTCGCACCACTATCATGCCCTGGCCACAGCCCATTTCGCATACATTGGCCCAACGACGTGAACAAGGGAGGCCACCTCATGAACGGATCTTCACGCCAAAGTGTGCTGATTGATAAAAGATGCCCATGACGTTAATCCTGACAAAGTCTGAATCATCACTCCCTGCAATAAAGCAGGTACCGTGCAAGGACAGTGGAGCAATTGAGAGAAACACGAAGTACAGCACTTGAACCATACCAAAGAAGAACGTGAATCTGCCTAAAACGCGAATCTACGCGTCTCACTTGCTTGATTCATCCTGGTGGCTGGATGTTCTCATGGTACCAGCTCCAGCACTAGCGCCTTGGGTGCTGCCAGTAGCAGTCCGAATGGCGCCGAAAAGCCCCTGGTTCACCCAGTGACGCGCAGCGGCACCCCTGCCCTGACGCAGTAAAAGTACTTTAAAATGGCCCGCTATTTGTATTGCCCAGCGCGACCTGACGCGCTTTAGCTCCACGTGACAGCGCATCAAGACTTATACAAAAGCCCATCGCCTTCATCCCATTCTTTACTTTGGACCAGACCATCACCACCGCAACCCACAATACCTCAACCTCAAGAGCTTCACGCATATACAAAGCCTTTGTCTTGTTTCCGTATTGCTCTGATCAACCTAATTCTACTTCTCTCCCTCAGACACTCACACTCACAATACAATGGCTGCGCAAATCACTCCTTCGAAGCAGGTATGTGACGTCCCAAGTGCACGCAGCTGCACATACCCACCAAAGCCAATTCATTGCTAACACGCTCACCATAGGCTGCTTCCGCCATTGAGAACTTCAACATGGAGTCTCCAGTCAAGAAGCTCGACTTCGGCGCCGCCAACAAGGAGAACGAGCCTTTGAACAAGTCCCTCGATACCACCGACCTCAAGACAAAGATTGTCGAAGAGCCCAAGAAGGAGGAGATCAAGGCCGCTGTTGCTCCTGGCATCAAGTCTGAGGAGGCCGATGAGCCTCTCCTTCAGGAGAACCCCCAACGTTTCGTTCTCTTTCCCATCAAGTACCATGAGGTATGTGACGCGTTTTGACGCGTAAAGTGGTCACCCCACACGCGACCCATGCTAACAGACCATGATAGATTTGGCAAATGTACAAGAAGGCTGAGGCTTCCTTCTGGACTGCTGAGGAGATTGATCTTTCCAAGGATCTCCACGACTGGAACAACCGCCTGACTGCCGATGAGCAGTTCTTCGTCTCTCACATCCTTGCTTTCTTCGCTGCCTCTGATGGTATTGTCAACGAGAACCTCGTCGAGCGATTCAGTGGCGAGGTCCAGATCCCCGAGGCTCGTTGCTTCTACGGCTTCCAGATCATGATGGAGAACATCCACTCCGAGACCTACTCCCTGCTCATTGACACCTACATCAAGGAGCCCGCCCAGCGAACCTACCTCTTTAACGCCATTGAGACCATTCCCTGCATCCGAAAGAAGGCCGACTGGGCCATCCGATGGATCCAGGATAAGGACTCCTCCTTTGCCCAGCGTCTCGTTGCCTTCGCTGCTGTTGAGGGTATCTTCTTCAGTGGTGCCTTCGCCTCTATCTTCTGGCTCAAGAAGCGTGGTCTCATGCCCGGTCTGACCTTCTCCAACGAGCTCATCTCTCGTGATGAGGGTCTTCACACTGACTTTGCCTGCCTCCTCCACTCCCACCTCAAGGGTCGTGCCAGCAAGCAGATGATCCAGGATATCATTACTGACGCTGTCACCATTGAGCAGGAGTTCCTCACTGAGGCTCTTCCCTGTGCCCTTCTCGGCATGAACTCTGACCTCATGAAGCAGTACATTGAGTTCGTCGCTGATCGTCTCCTTGTCGCGCTTGGCAACGAGAAGGTTTACAAGGCCACCAACCCCTTCGACTTCATGGAGAACATCTCCCTTGGTGGCAAGACCAACTTCTTCGAGAAGCGTGTTGCCGACTACCAGAAGGCCGGTGTCCTCCACAGTGCCACTAAGAAGACTGAGGAGGACGAGTCCCCCAAGGGTGAGAACGGCGGTGACTTCACCTTTGATGAGGATTTCTAAGCGTCTCGCCTTGTCGTTTCTCTTTCCTTCGGCCTGGGCAGTTGCTCATTGGCACGCGCACATGTGAACATATACCCTGTTTTACTTCTTGTTTGTACATCTGAATGGGGCCTCGGGACGACGATGCTTGGTTAATACTACGGGTTGGCAAGGTCGCAATCATACTTTGGATCCGGAAGCTGAATTTGCACGGATCGACACGGCGTTAGGGGATCTGGACTCAGGGTGGATGAAAATAGCATTGACGGCTTAATCGTATTTATGGATGACGATATTACTTTACCACTCTCCTAGATAGAGATGAATTGATTAGATTAGTATACTCTTTGATCGTTGCCTGTGACTTTGAGCAAGGTACTTTCATGTTTGTCTTCCCTTAGTCCTCTACTCATGGTTGAAGCTATTGATACTGGACTTTGTAGACTCGCCTGGCTCTTGGTTTCGTGTAGTGAAGAGGGATTTGAGAACGTAAGAAGTCTACAAAGTGGCATCTCTCGAATGAAGACTGCATTTAACAATGCTGCTCTTTTCAAATGTCATATCTGCTGCAAGCTTCATTCCATGGTCATCAATCCTCATATCCACAAATATACATTGAATCTACCAGAAGCACTCAAAACAACTCATCGAGCTCGGATATCTTATTTCTTGCCCTTCTTCTTCTTCTTTCCACCTCCACCCCCTTGTGCCGCCTGCGGTGTCGGCGTAGCAGCTTGTGACTCCTCCGCAGGAGTTGCACCATCGCCATCTACCATTGTCACTTCAGGCACATCCGGCACCGCAGCCATACTCCTTCCTAGCCGACCTAGAGAAGCATGTATCAAACGAGTAACCTCCTGCGCCTTCGTGGTGCGGTACTTGATGGTTGCGCCGCCAATGGGATCGTAGGCCTTGAGGACGAGAGCGCCGCGTGGGGGCTTGGTGACGGGTGTGTCGCCGTCTGCATCGGGTCGCGTAGGGCCAGGTTTGAGCTTGTATGTTGTGGTAATGAGAGTCTATGGTGTTGTGGTTAGCTTGAGGTTGAGTGGTCGGCGCGTGGACGCACGGTGGCAGGACGGGCCTCTAGGAGAGCCATGGACTGGTCGAGCCATTCCTGGCTTGTCTTGAGATACACCATGTCGTCGAGAGTTGTATTATATTGTCTGTCGTGATGCTGAAGGTGATGTCGTGTGCTGGTCCGTTTCGGCTTAAGAATGATCGTGGGCCCAGCTGTGCTTCTGCGTCCGCCTGCAAATAAATATACCCTGAGAAGTCTGATCGTGTATTTGATTATCAATGGCCATAAGAGTCCCAACAGGACGCTTGTAGATGCAATGTCGTTCGCGGTCTTGAAGTGGAGAGTTGAATGAGGTTGGATTTAGAAGGTGGGATATTCTTTGGTGGGGCTCAATGAGGGGCCGGAGCGGCTGAGCGCCACAACACCACGGTACAACAGTCAAATGCCATTTACTTAGTCTTGAAATTCCTCATGTAGTGCCTGAGATAAATTTCATGTTTTGATATCATATAAGTGAGACTGTTTTAATATCAGAGACGCATCATCGTGATATTACACAGACTCAGCCAAGCATGATTGCCACACATAGAGTCATTACGTATGCCCTTCAGCAACAAGTTGATTGGCAAGGCGAGACATCAGAGTGAATACTAATTAATTCTCAATAGACTTCTAGATGTGCGTTTAGTACATATCAACCGTGTCAATTAAACATATCTTAGTGACTCGAGATTATATAGCCTAGCTTGTTTAAGAATTAGGCCTACACCAACTTCCTATCTGCTTCGCAGTCTTCCTTAACCTGAGCCACAAGTATAAGGTAAGTAAGTGATTTTGAGTTGACTTGTGACTACCAAGTTATTATTACCTCAACTCAAGGGTATTCCATCCAATATGCACTTATTAACAGCTATCCACCGCCTTGCTGGGGAAACAGGCATTAGGTACAAGAAAAAGAGGGAACGATAGGCCAATTCCTCCCTAATTTGACTAGAAAGATTGATGAATGAAGCATAGGGGTTTATCAAATACGGCTTCGGACTCAGAGCGTACCCAATAATGAATGAGCCAATGAGACCATAAAACAAACATAAAATAAAGGTATTCTAGGGCAGCAGGCATAGGCCGTCTGTAGGCAGAGGCATAGGCAGCAATCAGGCCCTGGCCATCCAATCATTTGTCTTCATCTCACAACTCAACCAACACCAAGCAATTTGGGCTTTACTCACCTTGGGCCATACAAAAGGCAACCTCCACACAATAAATATCACTTCGTTCTTCTCAATCAACATAAATCTTCACATTCGGTCCCATCAGGCCCACATGGATCAGCCCAAACAAAGAACGATTGCGCATCTCAATGGTAAGTTACCCTCTTGAGCAACGAAATAAAAGAGACGGGATCCATGCTTTCAACAAAACCGTATTGCACAGGATGTAATTATTATGAGGGCGTACTAAGAAGGTAAGTCTGTGAAATCTAGACTCATTGGATCTATCACTAAACTGCTTCCTTTTAGAATTAGCTATGCCTGTTGAGATGATGCATCTCATAACAGATGAGATCTCCTTGCTAAAGGAGCCTTACAAGGGCCTGCTCTACTTGGCACTGGCCTGCAAAAGTCTCAAAGCGATTGTCCTTCCACGTCTGTACGACAAAGATGCAAAAGACTCACTCAAACTCGATCATCAACAGCCCCTAGCTCTTCAATGGGCGACCTGGTTTGGTGCCCTCGAAACAGCAAAAGGCTCCCTGGAAGCTCTAGAGCGGACCGGCACAAATGTCGAAGACAAGATTAACCAGCCTTTCCAAAATGACCGTCTCTACACCTTAAGATACAAGACCGTCCAGAGGATGGGTCCTTTAGGCCCGGCCTATGGGTATTTGCATTGGGGAAGCCGGAGCGGCCTTTTGCACCTAGCCTGCCTGCGTGGGAACACAGCAATCGCCACATTACTATTGGACAATGGTCTCAAACCAAATACGCCAGATGGGAAGAGGCTACCTCCTTTGGCATACGCGTTAAATGAAGATGTGGTAAGTGTTGCAGACGTCTTCGGGTCGGTCGGTAACCTTCAGGGATCTCATGACAAGCTCACTAACACATCAGGCCAAACTGCTCATCAGCAGAGGAGCGGACGTCGATGCCACACACGACACCGACGAAACAGCTTTATGCCATCTCGTTTCTTGGGGACCAATGGATGACTGCGATTGGAGCAAAGAAACCAACATGCCCAAGAGCAAGGGTGCTCTGAATGCTCTGGACACTCGTCACAATCACTTCAGCACTATTCGTTATCTTGTCCAACAGGCCAACGCAGACATATACGCAAATACCATAAGAAACGTCAGTCCCCTACTTTTTGCCATAAACAAGCGATACGTCGAAGCTGTCCAGCTTCTTCTAGAAGCGGGTGCTTCGCCAAATCCGATCAACAGCGAGACAGGTCAGAAGCGGTTATTGCTAGCAGATGCGCTCAAGCGAAACCAGAACCACGAAATTGTTAAAATTTTACTGGAGGCTGGAGCTGAAGCCGACTTTGATACAATGCCAGAAGGTGACCTTTCGCAGGCGCAGGGCGAAGCGCTTCCCATTATGAATCTGATAACGTCACTGAGCAATCCATTATATGCAAAGACAGAAGTTGACATAGCCAAACTTGTCTGTAGGAAGATAAGACACTTTAATAAGGTCATTGATGGGCATACACCGTTGTGGTATTACGTTAGGAAGGGAAGAGGGGATATTGGTCTGGTTTTGATAGAGCATGGAGCATGCCCCAAGTTGGCAAATGTGGAAGTCCGTGAAGATACCGTTCCGAGACTAATCGCACTCGAGTAGTATAGAACTTTAGTACAATCATCAACTATTACTGCCTCGATTCCTTTTCTTTCCCCCTTTATCATAAATGCCTCTAAGTTTGTGTTGCATCATCATAAACTCGATCATTCCCGAGGCCGTATCAGCCTCTGAGTATTTTCAGCGAAGGGAACAATTACATGAACAATGCACCCAAACAAATTAGAAATCATACTATAAGTGAACGCTTTTCTGGTTAGCCCATCGCTGGATAGGCAGTTCTTGTGTAACCTTCATTCTCCTTAAATCTATTTGATCCACTATCTCCGACATTGTCATGATCTACCATAATGCAAGGGTATCTATTATTTACTCCAACCATTTTAACTACTCAGCGTCTTCTCGTTTGCACGACTCAGGCATGAGGATCGGGCAGCCAGAACAACAGCTCCTGGTCAGCCGTAGCGAAGAAGTTGTACCGGGGGTTGAAGGCTAGGACAGCTGCCTCTCTCTTATCAGGCAGTGTCCAGCTCGGTTCCAGAACTTTTTTATCGTTGGGAGCCGCCATAGTATCCCAGACCAGGACATCCTTCTTGGAGCCACTTAGAACATAACGCCCATCGGGAGCGAAACAGCACTCGCCACTGCTCTCTATGTTTGACCAATCTGACGATGAGCTACCACCCGATGCTGTTTCTCCTACAGCCAATCGTCGAGTCCCGCCGTTTGGCTTTTGAAGATATGCTTTCAGTGTGCCTTCGAAAGCGTCCAGGAGGAAGTGGCCATTACCACGAGTCCCAACAAGTAACGACTTTCCATCATTCGAGAATTCAAGTTTTGTCCATCCCTTGTTGAGGCATTGTGAATCTACCTTCCTGCACTGTTCGACAATATCAACCGTCGCAAAAGGAGCCTTGTCATAGTTTCGCGCATCGTAGAGTAATACTGTGCCGCTACTCGTACAGGCGACGGCAAACACGGTTCCAGACGGGTCGTATGCGGTGAGGTAGGGTGATCGAAGAAATAGTTGACCTTGACAGTTCTTAGTTTGTGTGTCCCAGAGGCGCACAGTGTTGTCTTGTGAGCATGAGATGAAGTTGTCGCTGCCCGGGTGAACAGCCAGTGAAGTTACAGGTCCCTCGTGACCTTCAAAGTATCTGATGAATGAATTATCATGTGTGGCAAGATATCGGATAGCGTCTAGAGACAAAAGTCGGTCAGCATTGAATTCATCTTACAGCATGTTGAATGAGTTACCGTTCTGTTTTGTGCTGGCATAGATTATGCTTGAAGCTGTGTGTGTGAATTTGGCCAGTTTCACTCCGTATTTTTTACTGACTAGGCTCTTGTCATGTCTGCCCTCTTTGACGTGGTAGATCTGTATCGTCTCGTCGCTGGCCGAGGCCATGACGAGTTGGCCTTCGTCATCGTAGTCTAGGGACAGTACATGAGGCTGTGGGCGACTGTCCTTGATATCATCACGTCGGAAGAGCTGCATACAGAGTGAGACGGTTAGCCCACCAATAAAGCGTACAGTAGTTTATGTAGGTTTCATACCTTGGTGGGACGAAAGCTGCCTATGACATCGGACAGATTAGACACGGAGGCGGTGGTGCCAATGGTGCGGTGGATGTTAAGCGATGCGCCATTTGGTGTATTAGACCTATCTATATCCATCGGCGTTGAGGACATTATGGACAGAGAAGTGAGGCAATAGCTCAAGGAGTAATATCGAAGAGGTTACTGTGGTAGGTCTGGGACAAAGCCCAGGCGCGTGTGTTGAAAGAGATTGTCGATTGTACGAGTCGCAAAGGGCCGCAGGCAATCTAGAGCCAGGTCAATCTAGTCGCGATAATGGTATGATTGAATATTTCATACAATAGTAAGATTCAAGTAGTTGTGGTGGATGTTTTTGTTGATCCTGATGTCTTGGTTACTCGACTTCTATCATGTTTTGGAGATGGGAAGCTTTTGTCATGGAGCTCCCTTAGCTAGCTGGAGGGGTGTAATTCTGCGGGGTGCGCCATAAGCCACGAGATACGTACCCCGAAAGGTTGGCCAACATAAAGTCGGTCCTTGCCCAGGGGACCATCCTCTCATTCAGTAGGACAGGCTCTGTAACTTAGGTAGATTATATATAGCTATGTACCTTCGACATTCGCTATGGCTTCTTTTAGTGGATTTTGAGACTCGGTATTCAATTGCTATGTATCTGTTCCCCACGCGTATATGAATCCAATAGTTAACGACAACACTCGGTATAATTGAAATCGGAGACGGCATACAAACGCTCGAGCCGTAACAAGCCGCTCAGAGCAAACAGAATCGCCGACCCAGCAGCTAGCTGCCTGTCTCTCCCTTTGGCCCTAGCGTCATACAGTAGCAGTAAATCACCACACTGGCGAATCAGATCCCACCATCGTCCTCCATTTCCAGGGGATGTACAGCGGTCCAGCCGCCCTGACGCAAGGACCCGCAGACGTCCCCGCGAAAAAAAGACCGCCGACGTCGGCATATGAAATGCATCCAGCGCAAAAAAGATGAAAAAGTAGTAAACGGCGAAGAGAGACATGGATGTGATCGTGTGAGGTACTATACGGATAGTGCAGGCCCGGAAATACCCTTAGGAACAGTCTGAGGTATCACTGACCTTGATGAAAGGCGGCTTATCAACTTTGTCAGCTGCTGACAGAAGACGCAATGTACACTTGTAGAGTCAAATAGCAGTGCCCAATAATTTATATATCTTGAGCCCCATTGAAGGTTCCATGTTCCCCTAATTCATTACGTAGAAAGCTTGTACCTTTTTGGTGTAATTGCGCTGCAGGTGGTACCTCAGCGCTGACAATTTCTCGTGCTGCCATAGGGTCCGAAGCCGCTGGTGACGGCAACGGGTGTGAGACCCTTCTTTTCCACGTTCCCAAGTCTTCTTCTTAATAAACCTTACTCAAGTAACTTTGTTTCTTCTGCATCATTTCGGTTTCTTCGGGTCGCCGATTGAAGAGGACAGCTCTCGCGCCCGAGCTCACCCCTATAGGGATCTGCTTCCCTCGCCCAATCTCTCCTTGCATCTTGCTCTAGCAACTGTCGGCCGCTTCCTCACGTTTGGAGAGATCGGGTCATGTCGACCACTGTTGGGTAAGCCTTCTGGCCATTGGTGCTCAATGAAGCGACCCTCTAAATTCATGGGAGTTCGTTCGCGCCCAAGTTCTTGTGCTGACTTCGTGAATAGCGCCTTCATTGCTGGCGGCATTGCCGCCTGCGGTGCTGTTACTGCAACACATCCTTTTGAGACGGTCAAAATTCGGTATGTTCTAGGTTTTGGCACGCGGTGTTGTCCCAGTAGAGACTGACAATTTTCGTGTACAGTATGCAGTTGCAAGGCGAGCTTCAGAACAAGGGCCACCAACCTCACCATTACAGAGGACCGATCCATGGTGTGAGCGTCATTGTGCGCAACGAAGGTGTCCGTAATATCTACCGCGGAATTGGTGCGGCCTATATCTACCAAGTCCTTCTCAATGGCTGCCGTCTCGGCTTCTACGACCCTATGCGCAATGCGCTCGCGAGCTTCTTCCTCAAGGACGGAAAAGCCCAGAATCTGGGCATCAATATGTTCTGCGGTGCAGCCTCGGGCGTCATCGGCGCCGCCGCCGGAAGCCCCTTCTTCCTTGTCAAGACACGTTTACAGAGTTTCTCGGCGTTCCGACCCGTTGGCACACAGCACCACTACCGGGGCGCATGGCATGGCTTCAAGTCTATCTATGGAACTGAGGGTATCAGTGGTCTCTACCGTGGTGTGCAGGCTGCCATGATCAGGACTGCTTTTGGCAGCTCTGTTCAGCTTCCCACATACTTCTTCGCTAAGCGTCGCCTGGTTCGTCATTTTGATATGGAAGAGGGCCCCGGTCTGCACTTGGCTTCCAGTGCTATCAGTGGCTTCGTTGTATGCTGCGTGATGCATCCTCCTGGTAAGTCTTACACCCGAACCAAAGCTAAGTTTGGCGGCTGACATTCACGTCTCAGACACCATCATGTCCCGTATGTACAACCAGAACGGCAATCTTTACAGCAGCGTTGCCGATTGTCTCTCCAAAACCATTCGTTCCGAGGGTCTCTTTGCTCTGTACAAGGGATTCTTCCCTCATCTTGCCCGAATTCTACCCCACACCATCCTTACTCTGAGCTTAGCTGAGCAGACCAATAAGCTGGTCCGCAAGATCGAGGATCGCATTCTCCCCGGAAGGTTGGAGATGGCGACTTAAAGATGATGAGATTATTAGTAGAGGTCAATAATGAACGGGGCGGCAGATTGATTAGCGAGCATCGATCTATGAGCAAAACTGCTCTTGTATATGACGAAAAAGAAAGAAATATTTTGAGTCCTCATTTATATGATTATCTAGCAGGACAATAGGAGCATTCGGCACCGCCTGGGTCATGGGTTTGGCAATCAAAAGGCGGCGTGGCGTATTTGAGGAGTTTTTAGTCACGATAGATACTGTGACATACCAGAATATATCAATATGAGTGTTCACATTTTTGTACGAATTGATGATCTACCCATGAATTGACCGCTTGCAGCCATAGCATAGCCGGCCTGCACCGGCTGCCCCCGGCCCGTCCCCGGCATCATCGCCTATCTCTCCGGCCCATCGCGAATCTCCCTCGGCATCAAGTGACATTCCGCAGCTTCCGCAGAGGCTCTTTCCAGGAACTCGGTCCAGCTTTGTAGTTGTGCGCACCACGTTGGCAACGATTCCAGCATATCCCTCCTCTACACTATCAAAGTACCGTGTCATGACCTCCTCGATGCTCAGGTCCTTGTGTGAAACAACACTGTTTCCGGCCTTGGCACCTGCTTGGTTGACGGGAACAACCCCCTTTAATGAGGGAACAAGATCGATGTACTGAACCAGCTCGTTGCGAAAGATCTCGCGCAGGGGATAGTAGACCGGGAATTCTAGTCGGCCGGTCTCCTGGGCGGCGGCGCCCTCGACTGCCTCGTATATGCATACAGTTGTCATGCCGTCAGCAACCTGTAACGGAACTGCAAAGCCTCTACCGTTGGCGACCTCTGATAGTGTCAAGGCGGCGAGTGCTGTTGTGCTGTGGCCGAGGAGAAGCGCTGAGCATGAGTGCTCCTGGGCTTTCTGGAGAAGAAGGTGACGGATAAGCTGACGGAGAACATCTGTTCGTGAGGTCAATGTGGGTAAAGCATTGAAAAGTCGTTGAAGGCGAGCGTTTGCATCATCATCTGGTGTGACAGCGTCGAGGGGTAGAGTTGACCAGTCGATGCTCTTCACAGAGAGGACGTCCTTTAGAGGAACACACTCGAACATGGCATTTGGCAATACACGACGGTACTCCTCCAGCAGCTGCTTAGCAGGAGATTCTCCCTCGATGTGTGATAACTCAGTATCGATATGAATAATCACAGGCTCAAATGGTGAAGATGCCTTGTTCTCTGAGTGGTGGCGAGCCTGCTCGCTGAGCAACTGGGCCAGGACACTAGATGAAGGTCCAAAAGACAGGCCAGCCAGGTACCTCCGGGTAGTGAGCTTCTTTGAAGAGCGAGTGTTTTTATGAAGTGCGCCGAGACGCTTGTTTAGTTTATAAGCGACATATTGGATATAGCAATCACTGAGTCACATTAGCATGAGGGGCAAAACGATGAAGTGGTTCATGAGAGAATGATGATAACTCACCGGCATGTTGGGTCTGTCCGCAGGAGGAAAGCGGCGTCTTCGGCCTTGCACCGCTTACAAGGCCGGCTGGTGTCCGGGGAAGGCATCTGAGTTGGGTGCGGGCGTGGAGATGACTACCAACGGAGTTGGAGTTGAGTTTTCGGGTGACCTATATAGGGTAACCGTTGTTGAGAGTCAGGTAAGGAAAACTGAGGGCAGTTTTGTTTGTTTTCGTGTGTCAGGGTTTTTCTATCTGAAGTGAGATTCTTTCAGATGCCGAGAGATAGGTTCATATGAGTCGATAGGTGAGTTGGGTATCAACTGTGTGGTAAGGTAGAGTTGAGTAATGTGAAAAGTCGAAATTTTCGCCGCCTCCAACCGATCAGTCATAAAGCAATCACGAAAGCCAACTTTACCACAAACTGAGAGGAACATCATGGTGGGCAGTTAAACTGAGTTCCAAACTCAGAGATAGTTATGACAATGTTTTGATTTTATTTTTTATACATTATAAATTTACTTCTATGCACTTGAACTTCAAATCCAGTACAAAACCTTGGCACCCATTTCACTTACACAACTCCCAGCACCGCTTATACTTCCTGTGACTACTCCGTAGGCACTTTCTATTTCCTCTAAAAAAATAAAATTCAACATCCTGAGTAAGTGCGAAGAAAATACTAGCAGACTTCTAAAAATTGGCCTTCAAGTCATTGCTTCTTGCAAGACATGCACTGTCGCTGACCTTGATGTGTACGTGGTGTTTTCTCCAATCGCTCGGTTCTTATATCAGATAATCAAGCGTCCTTTATCCGTATACTCTCATTAGGCATACTTCAAATATATACGCAGACAGCTGCAGCTGAGCCCCGTTACGGCCCCAGTTGCCGCGGAGTCTTGCCCGTTGAAGGGGCGTCACATTCTGCAAACGTGTAGCAACCAATGAAGCGAGCCTTTATATGCATACGCCTGATGATTCTCTGGTTCCTTACACGTATTTGTAGAAGGACCTCTAGTTTCTGAACAGGCTATCAAGAACATGTCCGACAAAGTAGCCACGATCTCTACCCCAGGCTCTGACTATGATCTCCTTGCCTATTCTGACCACGTCCTTCTGTTGCTCAGCATCGCCCCATCCTGGCGTCTGAGATCCAAAGCAGATCAAGTGAACACCAACATGGATAACTGTGCGGTAAGCAAAGTCATCACTCACAGCACCGTAGGCATCAGCAAATGCGCGAATGAGCCACTCCCCTGCAGCAATGTCCTTATATAGCTTGAGTTGCCAAAGCTCAGCAATGACCTGGCCGAGATCTAGAGGCCGAACACCAATCTGAACCATCTCCCAGTCAACAATACGAATGGGAGTGTGAGTGCCTTTTACCAGAGGAGTGTCAGGGAGTAAGATACTGTTTGTAGTCAGCTGACCGCAGTCTCATGATAAGCAACACTATTACGAGGACTCACTTTCCAGTCCAGAAGTCACCATGAATGGGATACAATGCTGATTCATCTGCAAGTTCCCCGGCAGCCAGATCACTGACACCCTGCAAAACGTCCCTTGCATCGCCAAGAATCTCGGGGTGTCGATCCACCACCTGCAGCAGCTGTTGGTAATTGATCATGTTCTTGAGACCCTGCATCTCCTTGTTCCCCGCAAACGTCTCTCGCAGGGCTGCTTGCTTAGGTTCTTGGCTCCAGCTGTGGAACGCACGAAGCCAAGATCCAAGACCATGGCCGAGCTGTTCGCATTGCTCTTTAAGAGTTGGGGGTGTGGGGGCAGCGTAGTATTTGAGGGCATAGTCTTTCAGACTGAGAGCTTCTGAGAGATATTCTTGGACTTGAGTATTGCTATCCTGGTTGAAGTAATATGCCTCTGGAGTTGATATTCTGCATGATGGCGTTTCTTTTGGCGGGAGTTCAGCAAGGTGAACAAGAGACTCATACTCGATAGCCTGCAATGATGTCAGTCAGCCCAGCTTGCTGATTAGTCCTCTCAATATCGCACTTACACATCGAGAAGTTGCAATCTTGAATGCAGGGTGAAGTGCAACGTAGCCCTCGCCCTGCTTGATCACGACGCCATTTTGATATTTGTCTTGAGTCGATGGCTTCTCGAGAGTAGCATGGTACATGAAGTTGGCAGTACCACCACTGAGCTTTCGTAGGCTTGACACAGCAAAAGTGGTTCCTTTGAGGACTTGCTCTACTTTGGACCTAATTTCCTGCTCGGTATCTGTGGGAATGCTGTGTTGTTCGTGTAAAGACATGGTGATTCGAAGTGGGTGAATGGATGTGTAATGAAGCGAAACAGCCACAGGTGGTGAGTTATGGGTGATTATGTGTTAGTGGTGTTCTAGGACACTGAAGATATCGCAGTGGTTCGAACAATTAATTGGCTTCATATTGACTACTTATAACCAGGATCAACTAAAGCGTTTGTTTTCTTGAGAAGAGGTGAATATTTTCATTCCATGGACTAAACAGATTCGGCAAGTATTGAGCGCGTTTAGTCGATGGCTGCATTCGCCGGTGACTCAATAGTAGAAAGGAGTCATCGTCTATGGATCGCGATAGTGTTTGACGGAATATACTGCCGTCTCTAACACCTGAAGCTGATTATCAATCCAGTTTTTCACTTTCACCTGTTACACTTGGAAGCATTGAATTAATTAACAGCCCGTTCAACGAGTGTTTCGTCGCCATGAAACCTCCCCCATTGTAATTCTCCACCAGCAAGCGTCTATCCGGCTCGGAGCGAAACAGGGAGGGGACATTGTCGTAGCATAAAATTCTCTGAATCTCAATATCTTAGCCGCTGGGCATTACGATATAGCATAGCATGGCATGGCATCGTCTCATATTATGGACTCTTGTCGAAGCGCCCTGTACCAGATTAAGCGATCGACCAGGTGGTCTTGGCCTGACCGGGCCGGGCCTCTATTATTATTTATTTATATCAAGTCAGTGCAGAGCAGTTTGTCACCAATCGAGATGACAGTTCTTGGCTAAACGCTGCATATGCGGGCTGATGGACGCATGACATGAAAAAAGACATGAAACTCCCCCTCCCAACAAAAAGAGTTGCGAGAGCTGAAATCGTCAGATTCAGTCACAGAATAGGAATAAGCCACTTTCGTGATCGTTTTCGGCTGCGGAATGTGCGGACGGTTTAACTCAGCTGCCTTGTTTGCACAGCCAGTATCGATTTGATCATTCACTCAAGATGACCAAAGAGACACTGCCCACTGTCATCTTTCACAAATAGTCAATCTCTGCCTGGTGCTGGTGCTGGTGACGGAGGGTGGTAACGTCAGGCGATACGTAAGACTGATAGATAGCTTAAAAGTCTCAACTTGGCGTGCACGCGTTTACTGTATTTGTTCAAGGGTCTCGACCTCCATGTTGCTTCCGCCACCTGATGTAATCCCGTTCTGGAGGAAGAGGGATCAACAGGTAAAAGAACCTTAATCAGAGTGAACCCCTCTTTCATTCCTTGGTTCAAGTCCAATTCCGAATGCGAAAAGGTCTTGATTGACTGTTGATGGTGTCCGTTTTCAAGTCCAAAGTAGTATACGTAACTATACCAACAGGTGAACCGTAACACGTTTACTTCTTCTTTGACCGCTTTATTTATAAACTCTTTTTCTATCAGTTAAAAACAAAAGGTACCTAGTGAACCTTTAACGCCGCATTGTTTTGGCCGCGAGCAGTGCATCTCCAAGAAACACCAACTGATTCGACAACATCGCTTCTTCAAAACGCCTGAAACGCCTACGGGCAAACTCAACATGCAGGACACCCGATACTTGGCACTCAACTAGAAATACCTGAGCCGTCACTGCAATTTAGCGGCAGTTTCGCTTGTTGCGCCTTGTACCGAAAAAGTACCGGGTCTGCAGATCTGCGACTTGGCTTATTGCTTAGCTCTGAGTTAGTGCCCTGTTACTGTATCCCGTCCCCCTCTTGACTCTGCGACAATCTTCGTTCCTCTCCGTTGCCGATCAAATCAAAACACCCTTCCCTTTCTTCTCCTTTCTGTCTCCGTCCTTTCGAAAGCCGCAAATACCTTTCAATCGTCATTCAAACCTTATACTCTTTCATAATTCCATCATCTCTCGTCCTTCTTTCTTTGTCTTTATCCTTCTCCACCATCTGCGGTATCTGCCTGCATACCTGCGCCCTGTAACTGCTAAATACTCCGGCATTTCATCACAACAATCAACAACATCCAATCCGATCCAACCTGACACGACAACCACAAACCTCACTGCCACCACCAGTTCCAGACTCATCTCCTCAAGTCTCACCACCTAAACTCCGTATCAGCATAACGTTCCACGCCCGCAAACCCCATCGTCTCGACTTCCACGACCTTCTACTCTCCTACAAGCATTATATCCTGGTTTCCAACCCCTGCTTGTAACACCAGCCTTTCGACAATCGAGAGGCCCATCGTTTTCTCAAATTTTACAACGAGGCCTTTACTTTTTGTCTGCTATCAACCTCCAGACGCTTGTACCGGTCGACTAGTCCGAATATTTCATTGCCGCGCAATTCTTCGAAGCGAACGCTACCCCTTCTCCTTCACGAACCGTCAATGTTCGTGACATCACCACCACCCTCATCATTCTCGAATTCGATACCGTTCGCCGAAACATAGTAAAAAATGGCCGGAACTCTCGTTGAAAGGGCCGCGCATCCGGTCACTACATCCTCTCTTGATACCAAACTCGACGTTTCTGCTCGTCCTCGCAGCCAATCTCACCTTGAGGCTGCCTTTTCTCCTGTCAACAACGACGGTTGTTTTGACTTTGACCGCGTGTTGAAGAGCGGCTATGTTCAGAAGCGCACACAAAAGACAAAGGTTAGCATCCGCCGCCACTTATCCTTTTTTGAAGCATGATGCCACGGCTTCCGGCTCTTGTCCAGTACTGACTCCTTTCTAGAAATGGAAGCCTGTTTACCTTGTCTTGCGACCCAACACCCTTTCTTTGTACAAAAACGAGAGCGAGTCTCGACTACGACATCAGCTTTACTTGTCCGAGCTTACAGCCGTCGCCGAATTGAAGGACCCCAAGCATAAGCGCGAGCATGTTTTTGGCCTCTTTTCCCCCTCTCGCAACTACCACTTTCAAGCGAATTCCGCCGAAGATGCTCAGGAATGGATGGATTTGATACGAAGGGACGCGCGCATTGATGAAGAGGAGGACGAGATGTTCCTTGCTAGCCCACGTGCCTCTCAACAGCCTAGCAATGGCATCAAGTCGGTCTCTATCAACAACAACCAACCAAATGAGCATGAGCGCTTCCTTTCCAGCTCTCCGGAACCAATGGCATCATCTGCTCCCAGATATGTCACCTCGGCAGGGGGTAGGAGAAGGTCGTCGATACTAGAGTCTTCGGGACTATCGGGTGCGGAGTTCGCATCGCACTCCGACCTTTCCGACAATGAAGCTTTCCGTCCCCAGGACTCGTCCTACGATAGTTTGGCTGTTCAATCACCTGGCAAGCTACCCCCAGCGGTTCGCCCACCAGGCCAAGGTATCCGATCCGCGAGCCAAACGAGCGTGTCCAATGTTGAGCAAGACCCCGACCGTGTCATATGGCAAGGCCGGCTCTACCTCTTGCGTCACCGACGTGGCATGCGCCAGTGGAAGGATATGTGGGCTGTTCTTCGCCCACGTAACCTCATTCTCTACAAGGACGAGTCTGAATACACAGCTCGGTGGATTTTACCGCTCTCTGCAGTCGTAAATGTTGTCGATCTGGACCCTCTCAGCAAGAGCAAGAAGCATTGCCTTCAGGTTATTACTGAAGAAAAGAGCTACCGCTTCTGCGCCCACGATGAAGATGCTCTTGTTCGCTGCATTGGCGCTTTCAAGAGTTTGCTTGCTAAACGTCGCGAACTTGAGGCTCGCGCTGCCGCGACGGCCACATGACCTAAGCGCAAAAACAGACCTTATGGGATCTCGGTCTCACGAGACCCAATGGTGTAAACGCACCCAAGATGAATCATGATGATCAACGTTTTCTTTGTCAGTTTTCTTTGTCATGCGCCAGCGGCCGTGCTGTTCTCTTTGTATTTCTTGGTCATTGTTCATGGCGAATATGTTGCTTGATAGAAGAAAGAGGAGGAGAGCTTCTTGACGAGTTGTATATGTTTCTCAGCGCCTGTCCATTTAGCGAAAGCCTCCTATTTTGTTGTACATAAAACATGATATCCGTGGTACTTAGCACCATTCCTGTAGAAACCTTCCATATTCAACCAACATTCTTGAATTGAGAACACCATCGTGAGCTTAACCCAAAACCCAAACACCTGTCCATGTCTACCGATACATTCTGAACCATTACAAAACGCCAAAAACAAAGTCAAATCGAAAATCGAAGATGCCAAGCTTTTCAAACACAAATATTATCATTGACCTTGATCGTGCCATATTGACAACTGCCGATGCAGCTTTGCCTAGTTCGTCTTGGTATTGGCCAAGACAAAGTGATCTTGGCATGAAGCCAAATAAGTGACTGAACAATGAGTGTCGGAGACCCATAGAGATGGCCGAGTTTCGTGGACGATGTGCGCAACAACGGTATGCGTATGCGAAAAACCCACTGGATCTTCGGTGTGGAGTGGCTTTGTGCGCAACAGCGTCGCTATATATTCTCGAGGAGAAAGGTGTCATCAAATTCGCCATAGTTTAGGTTGTCATCATCCCGGTCGTTCATGAGGGATTCAAAAGTAATGTCGTCGGTTCCATCGGCGAGACCGTCGCCTGTGCCGAGACCACCGAAAATCTCGTCATCAAAAACCGAGTCATAATTATTGGTTGACATTTCCTGTGAGGCTCCCAGATTGTCTGTATCCATTGGCAGGTCTTGCTTGGATGCGTTATCGGCAGATCCAGCAGGCAGTTGTGAGCTGCCATTTGTCTGAGAAGTGTTGTTGGTGGGCAGGATGTCGTCCAGACCTAGTATATCATCATTACCCTCCGGGGGAGCAAAAGTTGCAAGGTCAAATGAAGGGTCCTGAGAATTAGAAGGGTTCTGCGAGTCGTTGTTTGTCGGAGCCAGCGTGAACTGCATATTTGTAAAGTTGAGTTCTGAATGGGGCCCGTCGCCAGTAAGGTCTGTCACTTCATTGTTTTGGTTGTCCACAGGCTTTTGCTCCATGATTGGCATAGGAGCCATCGGAGCGGTGGCAGCTGGAGCTGAAGCCGGGGCAGCAGGAGAAATTGCCCTCGTGATCGGTTGTTCAGGTCCAGTACTTGGAATTACAGATGAGCTGGTCTCATCATTCGGCACACTGATAGGTTGGCCGACATCGGGAAGCCCCATGCCCATGTCAGGAAAGGGGGCGACTGGTTTGTTAGTCTTAATCTCTGTCATATGCTGATCCTGAGGGGGAGGAGGAGGAGGAGGCGATGATTCAAGGTCGATGACCATGGGAGATTTGGACTGAGATTCAACTGGTTGAGGTCGTGGGGGTTGGGATACAGGAGTAGGTTGACTTTGCTGAATCTGCTGGCTCTGCTGCTGCTTCTGTTCTTGTAGACGCTTGATATCACGCATGAGAACAGACTTGGCATCGATCTAAGACAATGTGAGATTTGAGGCGCTGAGGAGATGCTCGAGGTGACTTACAATATCCCACTCGAGCTTGTGTAAGGCTTCCCGGAAACCGTCAATAGACTCGGGCAACTTGGACTTGAGGGTTGACTGAGTAGACTGCGTACTCCCTTGAGCATCCTTGCGGGAAGCTCTGAGAGCCTTCCCAGTATGTACCAGCTGTAACGAAGCGTCAGAAATTTGTTCAAGTCATTATAAGGATGGAGGTGACACTTACGACATCGTTGACCATATTCTGCAAGACATCCAGCGGGTCCGGCTCCTGATGAGATTGGGAAGCCATGGCTGTACCAGGCGACAGTTCTGATAGATACTGAGAAGCCGTTCAAACGAATTATGGGAAGTTATGTTAATCTAGTTGTCAAAGGACGGTCAGATATCGTCGTTGCTGAACAAAGTTAGGGAGAGCCCAAGAGGTGCACTCCTTGCTAGACCCAGTTCAGCCCCAGGTTAAGTGTTAAGCGCGTCCAGAGGAAGGACATCACGTGCACCTCACTAAGGTTTTGAGTTGGATGGATTCACTGACAAGGGCAACAGTGAGCAACCAACCAAAGACTCGCTGAAAATTGAAAGTAGCTTCGCATATTTTTATCCTTAGGGAAAATCTGGGAGCCTTTTAGAGCCTAAATATCAGTGTACGAACCATATGATTGAGACCGTTGAGTGTTGCAGTCCTGATCGTACGGAACGGGTTGCTTGGCAGAAAGAAAACGTTGGCATCTAGAAGAGTTAGCTGTACCTACTGACATAGCCTTGGAAATCTGACTATAAAAAAAATGCCATATATCCAAAAGAACTGCTTCGGTACATAGATCTGCTTATATTTATGTCGTTCCTGGGCTATCGCCCTCCGTTAAAGTACTTTGAAGGAAATGACCCCAGTTTAACCACTTACACCTTTGCCCTCCAATCATCACCTCTGACTTTTGCAAAGCTCAACGTTGCTCTTATTCTTGGTCTCCAGCCAAGTCTGCCTTTGACATCTTTATATAAACTTTATACCCCTCAAGTATTCAATTCCAGGGGAATATGCCAATGCTCTACAAGGTCAGTAGGTAATGGATGGGTCGCTGTAGCAGAGACAAGTTGGAGGGCCAAGTACATGTACATACATCGAATTACACCTATATTAACATGCAGCTCCCCTTCACCACTTGTTGTAAGGATTACCTATGCTAAAATAGTTGATATGTGATAACTTATGTGACATGATATAAGCTACTTCGAGTCCCAGCTCAGCCCATGCAAACTCTCTGCCCGCTTCTCCAAGGTCCAATGCAGTTTGTTCGGTTCTATCCCATTCCCCTCTTCCTTCACTCTTAACCCTGACACTTTGGTCAAATCATGGCGCCTAGAACAACAAACAACCAATCGCTGATCAATATACATGCATGGTCTGTCGGGCTTCGAGAGTCGGTAAGGGAAAGCAAGTGCCTTACTTTACCTAGGTACTAACCTTACCGACCAACCACCGCCCGTGTACCTCAGCTCACTGTATGCAGTGAGAGGAACAAGGCGATATCCGTCCATATGTAAGGCTTTGTATGCCCCTCCATCATCCGCTTCTCGTCAGCTTCTTCTTTTACTTCTCTCCTCTCAAGCATTCATAGTCATAATCTCGTTGGAGTGGTCCTTGTATCAGGTTTCCTTTGGGCTTTTACGGTTCCTTTCGGTTCCTCCGTTCAATTTCCTTTTCATATCATCGACTTCCATCATCGTATCACACTGCTTCTCTATTGTAGCTCTCTTCTGTCACGTCATCTCCTCTCTTGTTGCTCTCAACTTGTCTCTTTATTTGAGTCAGTTTCTGCCTTTTCTACGTCTCTTTGCCGGTCTTCGATTCTTGTGCGCGCCAGGCTACGGAAAAGCACCATCTGCACGCCTTCTTTCAGCCTGTTGACCAGCTCTCATCTCCATCAAATTAAACCCCCCCACGTCTCACAACCGGCCACGATCAAGCCAAGCCAAGGCCACCGTCTCGTTCCGCTCCTGTGTTACTGTGCCAAACTGCACGCACGCGCAACAATTCGATCGCTCCTCTCCGAAAGCTTGCGCCTTCGTTCGCGTCGCCATCAACCGCTTCTTGGAGATTTCAGACGTTGGAGTTTCCACTACAACCTCCCACCCCAGTCCCAAAGCTTTCGTCTGGACCCCGTTGTCAGACCAGACCCAGACGCCGGCCCCTCTCTCTCTCCCTGTGCCCACCGTGTCACTCTTAGCTCCAGGTTGTCTACTCGTCCAGTTGGACCCCTGTCCTGTCAAACGCTAGGAGGTACAGGTACATATTGTCACCGACCGCAGACTCTCCACCTCGACCGACCGACTTCAGTACAACACAGCTCATAGGTAGCCTCCAATTCCTCTTCTACCTCTGCTTTGTCGTCCTATCCTTCCGTTACTCATCCTTCTTGATCATCACCCCAGACACGATATCATACAACATGGCCGACGCTGGAACGCCCTCTAACCCAGGCCAGCTGCCTCCCCCCCCTCAGGCTGGTGCCGGCGCCCCTGGCTTCGAAGCTGGCCAGAATGGACAGCCTATGGCCCCTCCGCCTCTGCATATCCCTCAGAATACCAACCCGATCCCGACTGCCATCACCTCCCCCAGATCCGCTGCCGATCAAGGAGGCATCATGTCGCCCACCAGTGCAGGTGGCTTCCGTCGTGCTGCCCCTGAGCCCAACAAGCGTGCCCTCTACATTGGTGGTTTGGACCAGCGTGTAACTGAGGAAGTTTTGCGCCAGATCTTCGAGACTACGGGTCATGTTCAGAACGTCAAGATCATTCCCGACAAGAACGTAGGTCTTGCTACAACCCTAAGAAAATTTGTGGATGTGATATGGTAGACTAACAGTGCATTCACAGGCGCGTGGTTACAACTATGGCTTTGTCGAGTATGACGACCCTGGTGCCGCTGAGCGTGCTATGCAGACCCTCAATGGACGACGAGTTCACCAATCGGTACATTGCCCCTCAACGAAATCCAACAACATCTCGAACGTCGCCCGCTAACCGTAGCTTAGGAAATCCGAGTCAACTGGGCCTATCAGTCGAACACTACAAACAAGGAGGACACCTCGAATCATTTCCACATCTTTGTCGGTGATTTGTCCAACGAAGTCAACGATGAGGTCCTCCTTCAAGCTTTCTCTGCTTTTGGTTCCGTTTCAGAGGCTCGTGTCATGTGGGATATGAAGACCGGCCGATCTCGAGGTTACGGTTTTGTTGCCTTCCGCGACCGCCCTGAAGCCGAAAAGGCTCTGAGCTCCATGGACGGCGAGTGGCTCGGCTCACGAGCCATCCGATGCAATTGGGCAAACCAGAAGGGCCAACCTTCAATGGCCCAGCAGCAAGCTATGCAGGCGATGGGCATGACGCCTACCACCCCTTACGGGCACCACCAATTCCCAGCACATGGCGTCGCTAGTTACGAGGTTATTCTGACTCAAACTCCCAGCTGGCAGACAACTGTCTATGTCGGCAACCTTACTCCTTACACAACTCCCAACGATGTGGTTCCTCTGTTCCAGAACTTCGGTTTCGTTGTTGAGTCTCGATTCCAGGCCGATCGAGGTTTTGCTTTCATTAAGATGGATACCCACGAGAACGCGGCTATGGCGATCTGCCAGATGAACGGGTATAACGTTAACGGACGACCCCTCAAGTGCAGTGTATGTTTTACCCGTGTTGCAATTCAGAGATGGCAGCTGACAATTGACCACAGTGGGGCAAGGACAAGACGCCCAGTGCTCAAGGAGCCTTTGACCCTGCTCAGCCTTATAGCCCACAGAGTGCTCAAGCTCCTGGCTTCCCGGGCACGCCTACATACTATCCTCAGTACGGTGGTAAGTGAAATGTGAGCAAAGCTTAATCGTAGTAGTAGCTGACAATGATTCAGCCCAGTACGGAGGACAGCCTGGAAACTACGGTGGACCACAAACTGGATCACCGGCCGGCTATGCTGGATCACCAATGGGATATGCTGCTCCTCAAAGCGCGGGCGGCTACGGCAGGGGCCAACAGCCTCCCAATGCTGAATGGGCCCAGCCTCGCCCTGGACAGAACTTCAACAATGGATTTGGTGGTTATCAGGCCTAGGGGGCAACAACCAAACCAGAGCAAGACAAGCCAAAAAGCTGGACGAAAGCTGGACATGGTGGTATCGGGGCGGAGGTGTCTACCACTTGATCATGCCCCGGGACGGGTTTCTCTTTGTCCGCTTTTCATGATTCCCCTTTGTTCTTTCTCACGTTTCTGTGGATTTCTCTCTTGTGCTTGCTTCTGTTGCTTCCATTACTCTTTTCTCAGTATCTTCAAGCATTATTACAGTTCAGGCCTGTGATACCCCCGTTCCGTGTTATGGGGGAAAAAGGGCGATTTTCCTCTCTTGCTTACAAACGGATGTATGCATTTCTCTCTTCTCTTCTCTTATATTCCTATTTCGTCGATAAAAGTCAGGGAGCGCCACATGTTTCTCAAATCTCTCTCAATCTCAATCTCTATCTCTCTCTGTACGAGCGCTAATTCTAGGATACCACCAACATTTCTTCATCTTGACTTTGTTGCATTAAGTCAGGAGCCAGTCTGGCATTTTAATTTTCCCTATCTGACGACGTCATGAGCGTTTCATCCATTCTTGTGTCTCATGGAGCATCTGATTGATATTTCAATGGCTGGCGAAGGGGGTGGCAGTTCCATTCCGTGGATTCTCATCTATGTATTTAGCGGCGACCTTTTTCTTTCTTAACGGGACATTTTCCTTCTTTCTCCTTTTTCATTAATACTTCTCGCGCACGCGATGATGGAACGACGACTTGACGACTCTGTAAGATTGATGATAAAAGGTGAGGAAGTGGAAGATGTCGGAGACACGCAGGTTGGGGGGCGTTGGCGGATGTTGCTCGAGGTGCACAGGATTCTCTCGAAGAAAATTAGGCGACAAGACGGCGGCAGTTGATGAAACGGATGAATAAAACAACAAGACAATCTCACTTGACTATCGGTCGTGGAACCCTCGGCCTTTCTCTGATCAATTGGATAATGGCGTAGGGTGACACCACAATCGAACCGTTCTGCCGAGATGTTGCCAGCCTTCAAAGTTTCCATCTCGATAATGATGCCCAAGCTGAGAAGTGAGGAGGTTTCTACATATGAATTGGCATAGCAACAGGCCTACGTGTTAGATATTTGGCACCAGTGAACCCCAGTAAATGTGTAAATAGACACAGGAGCCACGTAGGTTCAGATTGGATGGATGGACAGATGGGATGGCAAGCTCATGAAACGCCAACGAAATAAACGGGGCACAAGAGGCTCTGGGGTTTGATACCTACAGGCTACCGTCTTGTCCTACCAGATACGGTGAGAAGGGCCGGGAGCCGTTTAGAATGTGAAACTTGATTTTTATTCCGTGGTAACTCCTCAGGACCCTGAAAAGGACGTCATTTTTAACATGGTGGGTTAATTGGCTAACGTCTATGGCATGGGTAGTAATACCTATTGGGCTGTAGATTATGAGAGAACCCATGTTGATGATGACAGCATACCTAGGTAGGCAAGTTAAGGATAATGCCAATGATAATAGATTTGTATTGGGAAATTGAGATCGTAAGCTGGCCGACTGAGGGAGGTATCGATCAATGAATGGTAATTTCCGGGGTGTATGTGTTGTGTGTCGCTCGTGTCAGAGGCAGAGTCATAAGCCAAATTCTGGTGCGCGCGTACATAGTAGCAGAGGATAGCCGGGAAGGGCTGATAATGACCCCGCTGACCAGAGGCAACAAGATACTGTATATACTGTTAAAAATTACCCTTGTTTTGCCACGTTGTAAATCGGATCGACTCTGATTGCGCGTAGAAAGGCAGAATACGTGCATCGTTGAGTAAAAGTCAGTGGTGATTTGACAGTTGATAGAGGGGGATCATCACAACCTGTCCACTGCGGCGTACCCCCTTGTTGTTGTGGCAGGGTAGTAGAGCAGACTGGGAAACAAGCCTAAAGCGCCGCAAATCTCGCACGTTTCTGTTTTGCTCGTGTACCTACGGCCTTCAGTAGGCACCTTAGGTAGTGGTTACAGTGGTGGGCTTCTTTTTGACTTTTTGCCGTTGGCTGGGAAGAGCCGAGCGAGGAGTCAAGACCAAGAAGATTTCTACATGCATTTACTTGGTCCAATGTAATTGCGTAACGTTCAGCTGTTGGTTACTTTATTTTGCTGCAACGAAAGTTTTGTGTCCATAGCGTTGAGTTGCTGATACTTGATGCATATATCGTTGCTGCAGATGTTTCAACGTCTGAACTCGGCTCGTAACTCGTGTTGACGTGAGCAACGAAGGACAACAGCATGAAAGTTAAATCATGCGCAATCAAGGCATTGATATAACTAGCTTTTATGTGTTGGTAAAATGCGCTGAATTCTAATTGACTTGCAATTGAGAAGATAGGTAGGTAATGGAATTTAATTATATCTCGCTGAGGCAGGTGGGCTTATTGCAATCTAATTGAGGTGATATCAACCTTCTTGACTCTTGCCCTCTCTGGCATCCATCTACAGACAGTCAGTATCTGCACCGAGACCTCAACCTCCCTCCCACATCAACTCACCATCCATATAATGAATGGCTTCATTCATCAACGCTCTGAAGACTAGAATCTAGAGCATCCCTTCCTATACAGCAAACTTCCTCCTCATTTTCCTTACCCTCTTAATTCTCGCTTCAACGTTTGAGTCCTCTACCGAACCAATTCCTACCATCTACAGATACTTTACCTGATCTTGTTTTGCTTGACCTGACTGCCCATATCCACCCCCGGGCCTTGGCTTGGGCCTCCACTGTCGGCCCAATCCATCCTCCCGCCCCCTCATCTCTCTTTACGGTACGGTACGAGACGACGGTACGATATTCTGAGAGCCTGGCGTGCCCATTGTTGCTCCTTCTCAATACGCACGCTGTAGCTGTTGTTAGTTCTATTAGGACGGCCTGGGTTAGTCCGTTCTACCGCAATATTGCCTAACCTGTTCTTACAGGACAGGACCTGCGCGACGAGACCCAACTCGATCCATCTCCAACTTGGCGAGCGACCACACTGCACCCGGCCCAACCAGCAACCAGCTGCCAGCCAACCATCACATCCCATCCATTTTCTCTGTGCTCTCTCTGCATTGGATTGTAGCTAGGAGCTAGCAACTCGACGCTACACTACACCATCCAGACCCTTCTCCTCTTACTCTCATTTTTCTCACTCCCATCCTTCATCCTCCCCCCGTCGCTGGGATCTCATCGACCGTCGACATCATCGTCTACGCCCGATAACCACGCATTACGCATCCCCACTCGCGACAACCACCACAACAACGATTTCACTGCTGACCACCGACCGCCTCTACTTAATCGCGGCGATCAAACTGACGCTGTCGCCCTAAGCTGCTTGATTCAGCTTCCGCAGCAGTCAGTCAGCGCAATGGATCCTCAGTGGCAGCAATATCCCTCCGCGAACTCGCCTGGCTCCTCGAGACGACACAACGGCAATACCCAAGCCCCTCGAGACTACACCAACCAGCCCCCGCCTCAAGGCGGATACAAATACGACCAGTTCCACGGCGGCGCCCCCGTCCATTCTGCTGCTGCTCCGCCTGCTTCTGCTCCCGTTGGTAACCCCAACTCGGCCGCCTCTCCAATCTCACCTTCGCAGATGCGCGACGGCAACGGTGACGTCGCTATGCACGATGCTCATGATGCTCATGCTGGTATCAAGTACCCCATGAGGCCCCTTCATCAAGCTCACATGTCGGGCAGCCGCCCCGTCAACCTTCACTCACCTCAAGAGTCTTCTTCCGTCGCTCAACGATACTCGCCCATGGAGGCCCTGTCCCCCACTTCACCTTACGCGCCCAAGTCGTCTTCAAACAGCCAATTCACAAGCCCGACCTCCCAGCGACAGTCGCCTACACGCCAGCCTGATTATTCTCAATCGACATATTTCCCCGGCGCCCGCCAACACCAGCAAGGCCAGCATCTTCCTCCTATCAACCCTTACGCGTCCGCCGGTCACCAGGAAAATTATCCCTCTTCCGCTGTCGGCAATCTCGATGCTGCTTTTAACCTGGACCCCAAGTCTCCTCGACGGCCTGTGCCCCAGCAAGTGACCAGGGGCCCAGTTCCCGAGTTCAAGCAACTCTCCTCGCCCGCAGATCTGCAACCCAAGGTCAATTCACAGCCTCCGTTCCGTCGCGCCAACCCTGAAGGCGGTTTTATCAGCGTATGTTTTCAAGCCTCTACAGCTTTTGACACACTTTTGCTCACGATATGATCAGCCTCTTCAAGCTCTTACTGTTCAACTGCCTGCTACTTATCGCATCTGTAACCCCAGCTTCAAGTATGAGTCGTCGCGCAATCCTCGCAGAGTCTTGACCAAGCCTAGCAAGGGTACCAAGAACGATGGCTATGACAACGAAGACAGTGACTACATCCTCTACGTGAACGACATTCTTGGATCTGAAGAGGCCGGCCACAAGTATGTTGTGTAAAACTGAAGTTTGTTGCTTATAATTCTAACATATTCTTAGAAACCGTTACCTTATTCTGGACGTCTTGGGGCAGGGTACTTTTGGTCAAGTCGTGAAATGTCAGAACCTGAAGACGCAGGAAGTAGTGGCTGTCAAGGTCATCAAGAATCGTACTGCCTACTTCAATCAGAGCATGATGGAGGTTTCGGTCCTTGATTTGGTACGATCATCAATTCCATACTTCAAGGTCCGCACTAACAAGGAGTAGCTCAACACGAAGCTTGACAAGAACGACGATCATCATTTGTTGCGACTTAAAGACACTTTCATTCACCGCCAACATCTTTGCTTGGTTTTTGAGCTCCTTAGCGTCAATCTTTACGAGCTTATCAAGCAGAACCAGTTCAGAGGACTCAGCACTACTTTGGTTCGCGTGTTCGCTCAACAGCTCCTTAACGGTCTCGCACTACTTAATAAGGCTCGCCTGATACATTGCGATTTGAAGCCTGAAAATATTCTTCTCAAGAATCTCGAAAGCCCCATCATCAAGATTATTGATTTCGGTTCAGCCTGCGACGAGCGACAAACAGTGTATACTTATATTCAATCTCGATTTTACAGATCTCCCGAGGTTTTACTTGGTCTTCCCTATTCTTCGGCCATCGATATGTGGTCCCTTGGATGCATTGTGGTGGAACTGTTCCTGGGACTTCCCTTGTTTCCAGGATCTTCTGAGTATAACCAGGTCTCGCGAATCGTTGAAATGTTGGGTAACCCCCCGAACTGGATGATCGAGATGGGGAAGCAGGCGGGCGACTTTTTCGAAAAGCGACAAGATGAGTTCGGACGACGGACATACCAGCTTAAACCCATGGAACAATATGCCCGAGAACGTGGCACCAAGGAACAGCCTAGCAAGAAGTACTTCCAGGCCAACACCCTTCCCGAGATTATCAAGTCCTATCCCATGCCTAGGAAGAACATGAAGCAGAGCGAGATAGATAGAGGTAAGATCCGAACCGGTAGGAATATCATGTGCGCTCATACTAACCGTGATAGAAATGAACAACCGCATCGCGTTCATTGACTTTGTCCGCGGCCTTCTTACAATCAACCCTCTCGAGAGATGGTCTCCCCAGCAAGCCAAACTTCATCCGTTCATCACTCAACAGAAGTTTACTGGGCCTTTTATACCACCGATGAATCTCAAGTCTAGCTCGCTGAATAGGTCTCCAGCACCTGGCACCCAACAACAGCAACAGGCCGAAGCACTTAGCAAGCAGCGGGCTCAAGCGGCAGCAGCTCAACACCAAGCGCAACACCAAGCGCAACAACAGGCTGCTTCAGCTGCCCCTACCCCTTATGCCAACCAGTACGCGCCTCAAGGCCATACGCAACCGCAGATGTACGGCAACAACTCAATGTATTCTCCCGGAGGCAACCACGCCAACATGCCTTCGGCATACGGCCAACAACAACACGGGCAGTATGGACAAATGGTTATGTCCCAACCGCCCCAGCAGATGCCTCAGGGGCAATATGCACAAATGCCCCAGCCCAACATGTATCAGCATCAACAAGGTGGTATGAGGCCAGCACGTCAACGGGCTTCAACCATGGAGCAGCAACAGAGCGGTATCCCCGCTGCCATCCAACGAGTAGCTAGCCATCTCGACCCCAGTCAGCCGATTCGTCTACAGCCTAGTCCGGCGTACTACCCACCCACTGGAGAAAGTATGGCATCTGGCAGCATCGATAACCGAACGGCAGCAGGTCGAAGAGGTAGCCGCGTGCAACAGGGTGGCCGAGGCAACAGGGACTTTATCCGCAATTTGGAGGAGCGCACTCTGGAAGAAGGTTTTATGGGAAACCAGAACACCTGGCATTGAAGTGGCCTAACCTAACAAGGGACCAGATGTCCGCGCCAATCTGTGATGCGAGCGACTTCACTCGATAAACGAAGCCCTGCCGCCGAGGTCTCTGCGTAATAGCGTGCAATAGGCCGGAGTTCATGGTTGGTAACGAAGCAAAACTCCATGGTGGTTCTAATGTACTAGAAGTCCGTCCTCCCTTCGAAACCCATGCGCCAACGAGGCAAGAGACGTCCCATGCCATATGTGCGTGCTCGGAACTGTCCAGTCGACTTTGTCAGAATTGGTTAAAGAGGAGGCGTGGCTCCTTTTCATAGCCAGGGAAAGGGAACTTCAGCGTCAAGGTCTCAACGAACTCGAAGGAATGATATTCAGACTCGATTACAATGCTACAAGCATTTAGCACAGGAATAGGTTGGGCCAAATTACACAGATCCATGATGAAAGGGGTAGTATTTGTTTACAGGATTTCTTTGTCTCGACACGATGAGGCACGCCTCAGAAACGGCCGCGGAAGTTTTGGGTTTACTCTCGGGGCTGCTTTCTTTTTTTTTTCTCGTTATTTTTCCTGTTGTCAGTATAGCTCTTGGAGGGACGGGGTTTCTGGTCAGGAATTCAACATGGTGCAGAGTTGCCAAATCTCGGCTGAATATGATTCATGCCTATTGTAGCCTGGCTGTAGATATTGTTATTCTTGTCTCGACTTCTTGGTGTATGATGACGGAGGGACCGCGCTTGGCATATCATGGGGTAAGGTTCTTGGGTTACAATTCCCATTTTGTAGTTGTATTGGTATTATTTGGGTTTGGGCGGCTTCAAAGGGGTCATTTCTGCGCGGACGAATCGAGGTATAAAATCATGAATTACCCCTGATGAATGCGAACGGTTCTCCATCCTCAAGTGATACCATTGTCGGGAGCTGGGACAGTGAGCTGCTTCCACATGGTCGTAACTGGTATCCATTTTCAGGGGTACCCGAAGTATAAAGAGAGAAAAATGAAATGATTAGCTTTAATAGCCCATTTTGGACACGTGAACCCCGAACGCCCAGCCCAAAATTTCGTACACCCACTGCTCCCCTTGTTGTGGTTCACCATGAAATTGCCCGGCTATTTTAATGCTGATAGGTACCTCCCAGTCTGTTCTCTAGAGACCATGTCCCAAAAAAGGTTGCGAAGTAATCGTCAAATGCAATAAAGGAAAAACAAGAGACAGGCGATAGTTCATCATCGCCCGCCGCGACCTCTTTGACCACCTCGGCCTCGTCGGTTGCCGCCCACGATTTTATCGCTATACAACTGGTTGTTCCTTGATGAGCCGTTTGTGGTAGTGGTGTCCATTAAATCAGGGAAACCCATTGAGCCATCAACAAAGTTGTCGTTAGCGTTGGGCTTATTTCCGCGGGTGCCACGGGGACCGCTTGGGGCGTTTCTTGGCGCATTGCTGGACGTAATGGTATTGCTTGAAGGGGCTCCTAGCTTAGGGTAGACCTTGATGATTCTACCATCGGCCTGTAACAAGTTTTAGCAAGAGTTCTGAATGAAAATTGGTCCCGATGGACTCACAGTCTTATCGTTGAAGGTCTCGATTACTCGCTCACCACCCTCGCGCGATGCAAAGGCTAGCTCGAAGAGGAGGAATGGGTTTGATTTGACAATGCGACAGCTCAGAATCTCGCCTCCGATGGGAGTCATAGCGCTCTCGATATCAGCGGCTGTGGTGCCAGGGGCAAAGTTTTGTGCCAGAATAGTGAAGGGACCTGCGAGACCCCGAATTGTCATTCCCATGCCATTGCCAGTGCTGCCCTTGCCTTTCACGATGTTGACTTGTTGTGGCGCATCGCCAGAAGTGTCCATGCGATCCACGGCAGCGGAGAGACGAGCAGCGCGGCGGTTGTTGGCTCTCTTATGAGCAGCATTGGGAGCTGAGATGCGGGAGCTTAGGTCGCCTGAGACAGAGTGATGCAGATCGTGTGTCCATTCTCCGTTGACATTGCCAGGCGCGGGCTGGGTCGAGCGGGTGCCTATGGTGGAAGTTCGCTGCTGTACATGTTGGCTTCAACTAATCGCTTCCTATCTTTTGCTGTAGCTACCTTCTTGACGCCGACACGGCTTGCTAGCGATTGGCCGGGGGCGGACTTGAGCTTGGAGGGGGCGCTTTGGCGACGGTTCTTTGAGAAGATGCGATCGGCAAGGGCTTCGTTCTTCTTTCGCTCACGTCCTGAAAAACGATGTTAGGGAAGGACATCAGGACTTGGAAAAATTGATTGTTGCTTACCCTCGTTGATGATCTTTTCGAAATCTGTAGCAACCTTGGCCATGATTGAGGTGGTATGAAAGAAAATCGGTATACGGCAGAAATCGATGAGTATAGTAAGATGAGTTTAGAAGGACAAGGGATGACTGATGATACTTGGAGGATCAAACAATTCGCATGTTTTGTCTCGTCCCTATAAAGGTTAAAAGAAAAGAAACGTTGGCTCGACTGGACTGGACTAGACTGGACTGCGACCGCGAAGCGCGTCTCCAATTAGAAATGGGAGAGAGTTGTTAGCGACCTGCAGGGGAAGGGGGTGGCTCTATGGCAATTACAGAATGTACATGCATTAGGTACCTCAAGCGCGGCAAAGTTAAGCGCATCTCATGCAACGCCCCTCGCTCAGCTGATAAGATAAGAGATTTTTTGGTGCACCTACGGACGGATCCATTCTCTCCAGCTCTAACTTGGGTATATCTGGAATTCCGTGATCAACCTAGGTACTCAAGCAGCAACTCTCCCATGGCTGATAGGTTATTGCACGGAGGCGCGTGCCTTCGGAGAGCTCTGCAGCTCGCACCGCGGCAGAGACTAGAAATTCGGCCTGCTTCTGCTTTCCAAACCCGTTCGTTTCAACACTCACAGCGCATGTTCAACTCTACGACGACACCGACTACCGAGGTGACGACTACAGCTCAAGACGCAAGCTCTATAGCTGATTCTATCACGAAAGATGCTCCAAAAAGCCTCGATGCACCAGCCGACGAAGCAATATGGAAAAAGAAGGAAACCCTTAAAATGGAACGGGCAGTCAACAAGGAGTTACAATATCTGAACAATGACCCTTGGAAAGTTGCAGAATATGTCAGAAGAGCGCTTGAAGCAAAGAAATTCGATGAAGCCCATCTTTTGGTTCAAAAAGGCAGTAAAGATATGCAATTGGTCGTGCCATGGAATCTACTACTGGAATATCTGCTCGACCAGCAACAAGTCAAGGCAGCGATCAAGCTATTCAACGAGGTAGGCTTGAGATATAGTCCTCGGGTTCTTCTCTCATCTGTGATACTGACATTATCTGAAGATGAAAAAGCGCGCACAATTCCCCAATGCGCAAACCTACACAACCCTGTTCCGTGGTCTTGCCAAGTCGAAACACCCTAAAACCGCCGTCTTCGAGGCTGTAAAGCACTATAACGCCCTTTTCAAGGACTCTCGCCTAGAACCAAACAGCACTCATATGAATGCTGTGCTCAGCGTGTGCAACCGAGCGGGCGACCTGGACTCCATGTTCTCCATCGTCGACACTCTCAACGAGTCAACTCGAGCTCCGACTTCCTACACCTATACTACCGTTCTCAATGCTATACGATTCAACACGCTTGATGGCTTGGAAAACTTGACGCCTGAACAGAAGGAGTTCAATCTCAAAAATGGTATTCAGCGCGCCAAAGCCATCTGGTCAGAAGTCATGAGTAAATGGAGGCAAGGACGTCTGATCATCGATGAGGAGCTCGTCTGCTCAATGGGTCGTATGATGATCATCTCAAGCGACACCAACGAGAAGAAGGCCGTCCTTGATCTCATTGAACAGACAATGAACATACCCAATTTGTCCAAAGTCAAAGAAATGTCAGCTGAGGAAGCTCGCAAGACAAATCCTCACACCGGTCAAGTGGTTAAGAAGGATAAAAATGGTGTCTTTACCAGTCCTGGGAACAATACTTTGTCTCTAATCTTGAAGGTTGTGTTGCAGACGAAGCTCAACAGCCTGGGCATCAAATACTGGAATTTCATTCTTCGCCAATATAATCTCGAGCCTGACCGGGATTGCTGGCTGCGCCTCTTTAGCATTCTCAAGCAAGCCAAAGCAAGCGGTCATGCTACTGAGATTCTGGACATAATACCAGCGAGTATCACTGGACCAAACTTCTATCGTATAGCCTTTGAAACATGTGTTCGTGATAACATCAACCCAAATGTCATCAAGAATGCCGACCGCGCGCTCGATAGCATGATGAACCACCTAGAGGTGCCCGACGCTCATCTCATGCGCTTGTACCTCAACGTTTCTCAGTCTACGCACTATCACTTGCGTGCTCGTGCTAGAGAAGGGGACGTGGCTGGTGCCAAACGTGCCTATGGCGTCCAGATCACCGACGCGCTTGATCGTCTGTGGGTGCCCTACCGCAAACTACACGATCACTATTTCAAACGAGTTAAAGCTGAGACGAAGGAACAAAAGAAGGCTCTTTTCAATGATCAACGCGAGGTAATTGCTCTCGCACGCATCATGTATGGATCATTCAACAAGGTCATTCAGCAGGAGATGCTCCCTGAGGAAGACCTCGAGAAAATACGCCCTGTCGGGGGACGCATCAACCGCGAGATCCAGGCCTTCTATGCCAACCGGGAGGAAACGGAACACAACTTGCCCAAGACGAAGGGTCGTGGCACAGCCGAGGAAGATATGTCCGCACACAATGAGGTCATGAATATGGTCAACTTTTGGGACACCACTCAAGCAGGAAAGCCCCGATCCCCAAAGCAGACAGACCAAGGGCGGTTGCATCGTGATAATGGCCCAGGTGATGGCTATCGACGCGACGAAAGCTCAAGGTTCGAATCAAAGCCTCCAAGGCCCGTCCCCCACTCGTACAAAATCTACCCTAAAAACCTCCAGTCACCACCTGGAAGGCGAATACCAGAGCAAGACCTGCGCAAGCGGAAAGGCGGCACGCGGCCGGTGAGGCAACCCGTTTATGGTGGCTATCCGGGCCCCAAGCCTAACTGGAACGCCACTCGTGACGACAGGAAGTTTCGATAACGAAATGCTGAAGTCGAGCCGTATCCGTGGCTGCTACAGGAAACCCACTCGCCGTTTTGACAAACCGCGGCGTTGAGGCTCCTGTACATTGGAGCATCGAATTGTGCTTGGGTCCATGAATAAGAGCTTTCAATGGGAAAAGCTCGTGTAAAACTAAACTGATGTATGTACGATTTAGACGCAAAAAAGAATGCGAGGGTGTACTGATAGAGCATATGGCGGCGTTTTGTTGGGCGATGGCACTCCTCTGCATATACAATACCTCACTTACACAATCGAAGCCTTGGTCCTGTTGAATATTTGTCATATCTATCATCCAGGCCATCACAAGCTTGAGTATGGAAGGTTGTTTTACCATGACTATCCATTCTGCTTTATTTTAATCTCGGTTAGGAATAGGTAAAAAAAGGGAGTCTCTGCTACTAGTGGACTACCTTCTATTCTATAGCCAGCTTTATAAACTACTTGTTAGGTCCAGCTTAAACAATAAAATACCCCCATCAAGCCCAGTAACATCACTTAAGTTCGAATTGAGGCAACGAATCAAGGTAGAGATTCGAGGCCACGGTGCGATATATTGACCTGCTGCCTTGGCTGGATGATCGATCTGAGAGCTGTGATTGCGTATTCGACGTTGATGAATGTGTGGCTGACGGTTTATCGCCTTCTTTGACAGCCAAGTACGAACTCTTGAGTAAATTTGTGGGTAGTTGAAACGTGGTGGCCGAGGTCCACCGCGATGGCGAGCATTGGCCAGGTTCTTGCATGGAATCATCTTGCATAGACAGTAATATGCCGAAATTACCCTGAGTCCAGTTTGACGGAATCTGACCTCTTTGCGGGTGGCTATAGCCTCCAGATTTGTTAAAACGACGAAGTGAGCCGACTATTGTCGCAGGAGCGACTAAATCGCAAGAGGACGAGGGCCTGGTGATAGATAGTGTCTTCCGCCCTACCGGTTGTGATGTAAGTGCTGCCGAGACCTTGGGACGAGTTGTGATGCGTTCACGCTTAGTAGTGGAGCGCGGCGATTTGTCTTCCAGACGCTTATCATCCGGTGCCGCTTCTATGCAAGCTCGTAAAGTATATGATCTTTCCAGGCTACAGCTAGACATGTCAGGAAGAGGATCTAGCTGAGGTGGACCTTTGTCGATGACTGGTGAAGGGGGCGCGAATTCAGAGTCCTTCAGGAACGGCTTGGATAATTCGGAGATATGAATGCGTGACCCAATTGGAAACACTGAATGGTTACTCGAGGAACTCCCATTGCGAGTCCATCTCTCTCTGGAGTATTGAAATGCGCTGCTGAGGCTCGGTTGGTGATAAGAGAGATCTTCCACTAGAATAGTCAGATACGCCGCAAGCGAGTACTTATTAGCCCACCCACCTGTGCTAAGGAGATGAGGAACTCCTGGGACTTCAGATACTGACAATTTCTCCAAATTTGTTGAAGAGGAAGCTGTCTTTCGTCGTTTCGGTTTCAACCAACGCGCAAGATGAGAATACGACGAATTCTGAGAATTTGATCTCTGACTTCTGCGCCGTGTTGACGTATTCTCGCTAGGTCCATCAAAATCGATTTCCTCAGATCTATCGAGACGAGCCCTGCGGCGATTCAGTGGCAGTCTCTAGCTGCTAATCTTGTTGTGAGGCTTGACAAGCTCAGGGGACGGAAGCGGATGCTGAGGCTGAGGTGGGATCCTTTTCTTGAGCTTCGCCTGCCAGGCACCAAAGATACTGTTGGGCATGATGTAAGTATGGATGGGATCGGATATAGATGGTTTGACGAGACAAAGATCGTCAATTTTGACTGATGTGTGGTGAAAAAAAAAAAGCGGCCTAGATACTCAAGGTACCTACCAGGTAGGTAGGAAGACATCCACTGGTACAGGTGCAGGAACAAGTTGAGAGTTTGTGTTACTTTGGGAAGGTCCTTTGACTGAGCTTGCAATTAATGCCATAGGTAGCTCTTGCAAGGAGCTTACAAGAGAATATCCGCAAGGACGGAGTGAATTACTGGCAAGTACATTATCACCATCACCATCACCAATTGCCTAAGGTAAGGTAGTGTATCAAGATTAATCACAAGGTATTTCTGGAAAGACGATGTCCTGGAATTACGGCTCCGACCCGGTTTTTATTAATATCTAAGCTGAACTGCTGAATCTCCAATACATGGTCAGGTAGTCACTACAGGTGTATCTGACTGAGCCGAGAGATAAACTGCAGTTCAATGTGGGTCATCCATCGTTCCGGGCAAGTGGGGCCGCACCGGGACGGCCGGCCACACCTCAGCCGGGCAACAACTGGATTTGGGATGCCTTTGACCCAATGATATTGTCTGAAGACTAGCTGAATGAAGAAGAATGATCTGTATTGATTTTCCATTTTGATCTTTAAATGAATTATCCCAAGTAACATCAATTTAAAGAGCGGCAACTCAATTAGCAACTCGTTTATAACATTGACTACAACCATTCGACGAAATTGAAGTCCTAAAGGAAAGGAATATCATCTAGTTGCCATTAGATCGTAAATAGGAGCTTATGCAATCCTAGATACGTAGTAGGTATCTTGGTTAAAGACCTAAAAAGAGTCTCGGTAACACTAACAGTTAACAGGTCGCGTAAAGTGAAAAGCCGCGTGGACTAGCCATTTGATGCCGCATATATTTTATGCAAATACCAATTTATGCATCAGCAAGTACCTCCCTGCGCGGGGTACTTTAAGGTTCTGCATCACCTATGCCGTAGCGCCTATTGGCTGCTCTCGCGTCAATCACTTAAATAGATGGCCCCTCCTTCGACACGAGCCGAGACGCGGCTCAGGAGGGACGACGCGCTTTGACGCGTCTCCCTGACCACTTTTCTAAATGAGCACCTCAGCGCTGGTTACCGGGGGACCAACCTCATCCAAGTAGCACCTCCACCATCACCATTTCCATTCTCGATACCATCATTTCCCTGCACTACAATCACGAGCAACATATAATCAAAAAGTGGCATCCAGGCATATACTCTCCTTCTCTTCTCTCTTTGATATGCCACCGGCCTAAACTCTTCTCCCGTCATGTCTCATAGAGCGCGGCTCGCTGAGCTCAAGGCTCTTCGAGAGTCCGGCAAGAAGGTCTTTGATACTTACAAAGTTGCCGACGTCGACAATTTATACGACGAAGTTGACGAGGATGGATATAAGAAGGTTGTTCGGGAACGATTAAATCAGGACGACTTTGTTGTCGACGACAATGGCGAAGGCTACGCAGATGATGGCCGCGAAGACTGGGATCGAGTACAGGCCTATGGTTCAGAAAGCGAAGAAGAGGCCACCCTCCGTGGCCGACCCAGTAAGACTGGTCAGTCTTCCTCCAGGACATGTTCAGGACAGCCCACATACTCACATATCATGTAGCGAAGAAGAATCGTCAGGAGGAGCAAGCCAAGCGAGCGGCCACTGACAAAGATATCAGTGAATACTTCAATGGCGCCAACAGGGCCCAGCCAAAACCCAAGGTACGCATTCCGTTTACAACATCGTGGGTCGACCCAACTAAATTAAATATCTCTTCAGGTCGTTAAGACAAAAGAGGACGACGACTTCCTTTCAAACCTCCTCGGCGAGGTCGACAACAACATTCCTGCCCCTGCTCCCCATACCTCAAGAGTCGAAAGATCTGGCGGTCGTCGCAAGGCTAGGGCCCTTTCACCTGCTCCCGAGCCTGTGCCCAAAAAGACCAAGACCCTCGATACCCGGCTACCGTCCCCTCTCCCTCCAGCCCCTGATGATGATGGCTTCTTTCCCTCCGCCGACGATGACATCCTCGAGACTGCCGATGTCCCCATGAGCGATCCTGCACCCTCCTCTCCAGCCGCAAAGGTAGCGCAGAGAAAGGCACAGATTAAGCAGGAACCAAAGGAAGACGACGACGACGAAGACATGATGGAGGTTGCGCATGCTGGAACCATCGCCACAACCAGTGTCAATCTAGCAAGTTCAAGGCCGATCAAGAAAATTCAGAAAGCAGAATCCTATCCCACACCTGCCAGCTCCTCTCCTGTTAAACCCAACGGCGCTCAAGTCGACTCAGCTTCATGGAATGCCCTCACAGAGAGGCTGAACGTCGTCACAAGTTCGCCTGCAGAAACAAAGACAATAGGCAAAATTGACTACAAGGAGGCGATCGAGGAAGACGGCAGTCTCAACTTCTTCTGGACAGACTACACTGAGGTCAACGGCAGTCTGTGTCTCTTTGGCAAAGTTCTCAACAAGAAGACGCGATCATACGTCAGCTGCTTTGTGAAAGTAGACAACATCTTGAGAAAGCTCTATTTCTTGCCGCGCCAACACCGCTTGCAAGATGGCGAAGAGACAGGCGAAGAAGTCGAGATGATGAACGTGTATGACGAGATTGACACCATGATGACCAAGATGAATGTTGGCATGTACAAGATCAAGGCCTGTACCAGGAAATATGCCTTTGAGCTCCGTGATGTCCCCAAGGAAGCACAGTATATGAAACTTCTCTACCCATACAACAGTGAGTGGCCACATTCCTCCTGTAGGTCCCTCAAAGCAGCTAACAAGTATCCCAGAGCCTGAAGTCGACCCCAACAGACCCGGTGAGACATATTCTCACGTCTTTGGTAGCAACACTGCTCTTTTTGAACAGTTCGTTCTCTGGAAGAATATCATGGGCCCATGCTGGCTGAAGATTGAGGATGCCGATTTTGACAAGCTCAAGAATGCTTCCCACTGCAAGCTTGAGGTTTTGGCCGATCACCCCAACATGGTTTCTGTTCTTAGCGAGTCTGACAACCTGGATGCACCCCCCCTGACTCTTATGAGTGTCTCATTACGGACTGCCTTCAATGAGAAGGATAACAAGCAAGAGATTCTGGCTATTAGTGCAAGAATCTACGAGAAGGTATCCCTCAGTGACACAACTCCTGCAGAAAAGCTGCCCTGTCGAACCTTTACGGTGATCCGGCCGCATGGCCAGGCGTTCCCTATGGGCTTCGATCACCTTGCAAAGAAAAGGAATCGTGGCTTGATTGTGCTGAAGAAGCAAGAAGCCGATATCCTCGCCTTCTTCTTGGCCCAACTTGATGTTGCGGATCCAGATGTAATTCTGGGACACCAATTGGAGGGTGTAGACTACAGTGTGCTCCTCAACCGCCTGTATGAAAAGAAAATACCCGGATGGTCCAGGCTAGGCAGACTCCGTCGCAGTCAGTGGCCATCGTCAATCGGCAAGACTGGTGGTAATGTTTTTGCTGAACGCCAGATCTTGTCAGGACGTCTGCTATGCGATCTTGCCAACGATGCTGGAAAGTCCGTCATGTTCAAGTGTCAGTCATGGAGCCTGACAGAGATGTGCAGTTTGTACCTCTCTGGAGATAACCGGCGCCGCGATTTTGACAATGAGGTTGCCCTGAAGACGTGGGCCAGGGAGAAGCAGGGACTTCTCGACTACATCACCCATATGGAGGCCGATACACACTACATTGCAGCCCTGGCCCTGGGTGTTCAGATGTTGCCACTGACTAAGGTTCTCACCAATCTGGCGGGTAACTCTTGGGCTCGAACCCTGACCGGCACGCGTGCAGAGCGGAACGAGTACATTTTGCTACACGAGTTCTATCGCAACAAGTACATCTGCCCTGACAAGCAGACTTTTCGCAGTCGCCAGCGTGCTGAAGAGGCACAGCGTGAAGAAGAGGCGGTTGAGGGGAAGAAGAAGGACAAGTACAAGGGTGGCTTGGTTTTCGAGCCAGAGAAAGGTCTGTATGATAAGTTTGTGCTTGTCATGGACTTTAATTCCCTGTATCCCTCTATTATTCAGGAGTTCAACATCTGCTTTACAACTGTCGATAGACCAGCCACAGTAAGTTTGTCGAGAATCCTTGTTTTAACCTCGAAACTAATCAAACCCACAGAACGGTGAAGAAGATGAAGTTCCCGAAGTCCCAATCAACCAGGATCAAGGTATCCTACCTAGGCTCATTGCTACTCTCGTTAGTCGCCGTCGACAAGTCAAGAGCCTCATGAAGGACAAGAAGGCCACCCCAGAGGAGCTGGCTACATGGGACATCAAGCAGCTTGCGCTCAAGCTCACTGCCAACTCCATGTACGGATGTTTGGGTTATACCAAGTCACGCTTCTACGCTCGACCTCTGGCTGTTTTGACAACTTTCAAGGGCCGAGAGATTCTCCGCAGCACCAAGGAGCTGGCCGAGAGCAACTCACTGCAGGTTATCTATGGTGATACTGATTCCGTCATGATCAATGCTAACGTGGATAATGTTGCCGATGCGTTCAAGGTTGGTAATGATTTCAAGAAAGCAGTCAACGAGCAGTACAAGCTGCTTGAGATCGATATTGACAACGTCTTTCGCCGTATTCTTCTTCAAGCGAAAAAGAAGTATGCTGCTATCAACCTTGTAGAGAAGGATGGGAAGTTCATCGAGAAGATGGAAGTCAAGGGTCTTGACATGAAGCGTCGAGAATACTGTGCTCTGTCCAAGGAGATCTCCCAACACCTTCTTAACGAGATTCTGTCGGGTGACGACACCGAAGTCTCAATCGCCCGAATCCATGAGTACTTGAGCGATATTGCTGGCAAGATGCGTGAACAGACTATTCCTGTTCAGAAGTACATCATCCATACACAGCTTGGAAAAGCACCCAACGACTACCCTGACTCCAACTCCATGCCTCAGGTCCAAGTCGCTCTCCGTGAAATGGCCAAAGGCAAGACAGTTCGCAAGGGAGATGTTATCGCGTACGTGATTACGGGCGACAGCAAGAGCTCCGAGCCTGCTCCCAAACGAGCCTACACTCCTGGTGATCTCAAGGCAGATCCTACTCTACTGCCTGACGTTGAGTGGTATATTGGCAAGCAGATCTTCCCCCCTGTCGAGCGTCTCTGTGCCAATATTGTTGGAACATCAACATCACAACTGGCAGAGCACCTTGGTCTAGATATCAAGCGCTACAGCTCATTCCAGACTCAGCAGAACAGCTCAAGCAACGACCTCGAGATCTACCCCTTGGACTCTCAGATTCCAGATGAGGTCCGCTTCGGTGATTGTGCTCGCCTCTCTTTGCGTTGCCGCAAGTGCAAAACCCCGTTCGCGTTCGAAGGCTTGGCTACGTCCCCCAATCATGTGTCCCAATCCGGTGTTATCTGCGGCTCGTGTGGTAGTTCCATCTCAACACTCTCTGTCGTGGCCCAGATGGAGCACGCCATCCGCACTCAAACAAGCCGGTACTACGAGGGCTGGCTGGTCTGTGATGATAGCCAGTGCGGCAATCGAACACGGCAAATGAGTGTTTATGGTTCTCGTTGCCTTGGTCCTAAGGGACTTGCGCGAGATTGTCTTGGTCGAATGCGTTACGAATACACAGAAAAGGCTATCTACACTCAGCTTCTCTACTTCGCCAGCCTGTGGGATGTCGACAAGGCCAAGGCCAAGGCCACGAGCACTGAGATGTCCAGGCAAGATCGGGAGAATATCCTTGCATTGGCTGAGCATAACCGCGTACGCTTCGGAAATGTGAAGGGTATTGTTGACAAGTATCTCGATAAGTGTGGTCGGCAATGGGTAGCCATGGATACTCTGTTCACCAAGCTGGGCTTCAAGCCAATGGCATGAGTTGGTTAGGGATGCGGAAGGACATTTATGGGTATACTGTGAAACGTTCATGTATATTTGGGTCAGCGGCGTCCTGAGGATTATATATTTACGTGGGTTGGGTTTGTTGAGGATTATCAAAGAGGACAACAGCTTCACATGCCAGTAATGAAGGGTTTCGGCATGCACAAGAGTAAGCGAGTCTTGGTGGTGTTTGGGAGTTTGATGAGAGCGAAGCCTGCCGAGTGCTCTACTACCTACCAAGTTACAATATTTTAAAATAAGACAGTTTTCCTATGGTCGTCCGTTATCAAGACATCTTCTTCCCTGTGTTCAACATTCACTTATTTACTATTCACGAGTAAGAGGCAGCAAGTTTGAACATATATGTAAATTGTCCCTGCCAATGGCCCATGCTTCTTCGAAATTAGATGATATACAGCAAAGCATCATCAAGACCCTTTCATTAAAGCTCGACCAGGCTGAACGCCTCTATACATTACACACCAAGTGACAGAGCCGTTGGCGAGCGGTCATGTCCTCCTTCTTGGTACAACAATGCATATGCTCATGAGGCTAAGTCGAGAGAGCCTGAGTCGTCATCATCAATCATGGTCTTGTTTGAGAACCCTTTCCTATCCTATCGCGACGTGATGTGATTCGTCAGCGTTAAGTGAGGGAGCAACATCTAAAGCCAGCAAAGGGGCGAAAGCATGGCGAGAGGCTGTCCACGTATAACGAAAGGCCAGAGAGGAAGAATGCACCGAGAAAACCATTTCATTCCATATCATTCCGTTCCATTTCGTTCCATTCCCTTTCGCGTTCTGCCTCATTGAGTCCGAAATAAAATTCAACCGCAAATGCCCTGAACACCACCTCCGCCATCCACCCCGAGTCGTACGTATGTATATGACGGTTGCGACGTGATCATCGTGACGCTTTTTACCATCATTACCTCCCCCTTTTCGTGCGTAACCTCTCCTGGAGATAAAACAGCCAGAAGTATGCTGGCCAACGACAGCGATAGGGTCATCCCGAACCCTTGAACCGGAAATCCTCCACAACATTAAAGAACTGAAACACACTCGAAGCATGATCAGAAAAGGGGCTGAGGTAGGTGGTAATGAGCACAATGGTGAAGGAAATCCCTAGTCCGATGTAGGGGTCACCTCTCACGCTGAGAGGAATCGTGTCCGTCTGTCTATGGGCAAGGTATCATGAGTTCTGGAAAAAGAAAATGTGCTCAACTTTTGTGACACGTCTGATAAATAAATAAAAAAAGGCCTGTAAATGCAAGAAAACACAGCACCGCCTAGTCTATTCTGCCGAAATGCAAGACACCGAAGGAAGAAGAATACTTTTACTCGCTCTCTTTCTTATCACTGTCAGGGACAGCCTTCGACATCGCGGGGGAGGCAGAAGTAGACGGGGGCGAAGCCGGGTGGTCGTTCTCCATGTTGGCAAGGAGGCTACATACATGTCAGCAACTCAAATTTGAATGTATAAGGCACCAGTCAAACTTACCTGAATGCATTAGAGTGAGAGGTGTTCTCGCGGGTAGGAGGAGTGCCAGTTCGTGAAGAAGTAGCAGAATCCTCACCACGAGGACCAAGGTAGCCGCCGGGACCCATGCGTCTTCCGCTGTTGCTACGAGAAGAGAGCATGGAAGCAGGGCCAAGAGAGATGTTGCCGCTTGAGGTTCGGTTGGCAGAGCCCTTCAGACGGCGCAGATCGTCCATTCCGACCTGGTTGCTGGTTTGTTGTGCGTAACCAGCCGAGAAGTTGCGAGCGTCGCCTCGTCCGACCGGAGGGCGACCGCCACCTCGCTGATTAGTGCGAGCAGCCTCCTGAGCTTTGGCAGCCTGAGCAGCCTCAGCCTCAGCTCGAACTTCATCGAGAGTCTTGGGCCCCTTGTTGGTCTCCTTCGAGTGCCATCCGGCCTTGCGCAGGTCCATAACGTCCATGAGCATAAACTTGAGTCGGCTGGGAAGCTCGGGAAGATCCATCATGGTCTGGATGCGCTGGAAGTAAGCGTCCATCATGGGCCGACCCTTCTCAGTGCTGTCGAGGTTGCCACCAATAGTCCTGAGCAGCTTGCTAAGCGACTCAACTTCAGCCTCGTCAGGTACTCCCTTATAGTCGACGAGTTTGTGCACACACTCGTGCATGATACGCTCTGTAAGCATGCCGAGCTTGTAAAGTTCACCGATGAACTGGACTAGACCAAGACCACGTCGCTTGGCAGCAGCAGCAGCATAGTACTCATCGGACAGGAGAGCAGCCTCAGCAGTCTTCTTACCCGCAGCGTCTTCTTCCTCATCAGGCTTGTCAGGTAAGTTAACGGTCCAACCGCGCTCAAACTCCTCCTGACATCTGTTGAGAAGGTACTTGCGGAACAAGTTACCACCGCTGACGACATTACCATTCTTGTCTTTGATACGCTCATCACGGACGTCGGGGCTCATAGTCTCGAGCATACGTTTGCAGAACTTAGCATACATGGAAGCCCAATGGGCCTCATCAGTAGCCTTCTCAAAGGTGAGCTGAATGACTTGGCGAAGTGTACGACCGTCAGACTCATCCTTGGACTGGGATGCAATGAGCAAGATCTGGTCTGCAATCCTGTCGAACTTCTCGGGTGTCATCTTGTTGAGTGCCGCCTTAACCTTTCTTTGAACCATATCAGGCTCGAGGTGGCCAGAGGGATTGGCAGCGGCTGGATTGGCATTCTTGCCAATACTTGTAGGCTTCCAACCGTTAGCGGTCTGGGCAATGGGCTTAAGCTCCTGGCCAGCAGTCAAAGGCATGGTCTTAGCAGCCTGAGCCTCCCTGACGCCTTCACCACGCTGGCTGCCGCCGCCACGACGACGAGACCCACGGGGAGAGTTAGGAAGTTGAGAGGGGCCACGCGAGGAGCCGCCTGTAGGGAAATTGCTGGGACCACGGCCCATGGAACCAATACCAGGTCGCTGCTGGTTGGAAAGGGCGAAACGGAGTTCAGAGGTACTGTTACTGGGGAGAGGTCGGGAAGCGGTAGGGGCGTTGAAGCTACCCATGGGAAATCCACTGCCGATACCTGAGCTAGGGCCACGAGAGCCTCGACCAGAGCCGCCAGGAGTGTTGGTTCTGGAACGGTCATCGCCAATAAGAGACTTGACTTGCTGGCCGAATTCGAGAGAAGGCTGCTCAGTAAAGACCTTCTGGAACTGCAACAAGAAGTTGGCATCATACTTGAAGGTCTTGCCCTTCTTCTGAACCGCTGCATTAAGGGCAGGGTTGGGTGACTTGATGCCAGCAGGGTAGATATCTTGCTCGATAACCTTCAGGAAACGAGCAGACTTGAGCGATTGCAGGGCGGCGCTTGGTTGAGCGGGCTCAACGGGCTTGGTGTTAAGAGGGGCCAAGTTGAGAGCAGCAGGCTTCGCACCGCGCTTCTCGTGCTTGGGCGCAGCAGAGTCGGCAGGCTTGTCGCCTCCAATCTTCATGCTAGCAAGCTTGTCGGTAACAGACTCGACCTTAGTAGGCTCGGTGTCCTTGCCGCTTCGAGCCTGGGAGAGGAGTTCGGCAACTGAAGGAGCAGATGAGCCGGCCTGTTGGCGTCGCTTCTCCTTCTCCTCCTCGAGACGCTCCATCTCGCGCTCTTGTTCTCGGAGCTTGCGGTCTTCTTCTGCAGCGTTCTTAACACGGTCCTTTTCGGCTTGTTCCTTGGCAATGGCCTTCTGAGCCTCGACCTTCTTGCGATGCTCTTCCTCAGCCTTTTCACGGCGAGCATCCTCCTCCTCCATCTCACGGATCATACGCTCTATCTCTTCCTCCTCAGTTTCTTCCTTCTTAGCAGGCTCAGCAGGCTTCTCAGCCTCCTTCTTGGGCTCCTCAATCTTGGGAGTGGCTTCAGGAGCCTTGACCTCGGGTTCAGGCTTGCTTTCAGGCTCAGCCTTAGTAGAGGGTGCAGGCTCGGCCTTGGTCTCGGTGAGCTTGGCCTCAGATTGCTCAGCAGGCTTGTCTTCGGTTTTAGCCGCAGGCTCGACGGGCTTTGGCTTATCCTCCTTGGGCGGTGCCTGCGTGGCTTGCTTGATCTTCTCTTTAAGCTCATCCTGAATCTGCTTGGCAGTCTTGGTGGCAGCATGACTATCAGTGCGGCCGTGAGAGGGGGTAGATGGCTTAGGAGGGGGGGTAGATGAAGCAATCACAGGAGGAGTCTTGGACTGCTGGATGCTGGGAGCGGGAGATGATGGAGTTTTGAAGGACGAAGTGTCAATGACTTCACCGGCAGCGTTCTTGATCTGGATAGCGGCGCTCTTCTTAGGCACCTTGACGAAGCTGTTTGCGGTGGGCTTCAATGACGAGTTCTGAGGCTGGGGGGTAGATGATACGACGACCGGAGCATTTGGCTGGCTGGCGCTCGGTGGCCTCTCGGGCTGAGAGGGTGTACGCGACATGTTGTGACCATGCTGTGTGTAGGGAGTGACATAGTTCTGTCCGTAACTAGGAGAGTTAGCCTGGGGAGGAACAGCCATATACGGCATATTGGCATAATTGTATTGCATCGACAGTGGGCGTCCGAAACCATCCACCTGCGGGGGAGGATAACCGTAGTTCTGTTTTTTTAAAGTTAGCATGTATTCAAAGAAACCACTTCCTGGTGACAAGTCGAGAGACGGAGTTGATTCATTCAAGGACAGGGGTTGAAAAGGTTTTTTGGGGTAGCTGAATGACGGTACACGCGAGCTGCTGGTATCTGTTTCTCGCCATGGTTGATCTGAACGTTTACTGAAACGCCGACGTTGGTTGAACTCGTTCCCATGCAGATCGCGTGACGACTCTTGCGGGTGGTTGACCTGGACCGACTTTTCCAGGTCGCCGCGCTTCCCCTTGTTCTTTTTGTTGTTTTTCGAAAAAGGCTTATCAACTTGGGAAAGGGGGTACTGTACTTGTTGATGCTGTTGAGGCATGGGAGGTTGGTAATGGTATTGAGGTGTCATGCCAGGCTGCATGGTGGCAGGCTGCATGTTAGGAGTACCCGGGAGTGATGGGACGAGAGCCGGGCTTCGGGCAGGCTGAGGAGAGTTCGGGTACTGAAGGTTACGACCCTGAGGCTGGAAAGCTGGAGGCATGCCACGGCCCTGACCAGGGCCGTTACGGAACTGGTTGGTGGGGGGGAAACCCATCTGCGAGCTGTAGTTGCTGCCATGGGGATTGTATCCGCGGCCACGACCACCCTGGGGCTGGAAGTTGCCTCGACCGGCGCCGTCACCTTGCGCCGAGTGGCCAGATTCACGTCGGAAGTGAGCTCCAGGCTGTGCATTGGGGTTCGTTGGAGTAGAGCCCTGCCTCATGTGGCGCTAGAGAGTAAGTCAGTGATGAGTTCGAAGGTAATTATTTGACAGACGAATCTGAAAGAACCTACTTCGCCATCGCTACCGAGACTGCCAAATGTCATTGTATTGCCTCCTGCCTGTTGGAGACCAGAAGGAGGTCGGCCACCACTGGCTGAAGGCTGAGGAATAGGCGAAGGTGAGTGAGCAGGAGAGGGAACTCGAGCATTTCCACCACCGGGAATAGGAATAGGCGCAGCACTGGAGGACTGAGGTGTGCTGTTGGCCATTGCAGGGGAGTCGTAGCCGAACTGGATGCCAGGCTTGCCAGCACTGACGGGACCACCATTGGCGACAAAACTGTTAGGACCGTTGGCAGCCATGGTGACGGAGCTCTTGCGAGAATGATCGGAACCGTTGAGGTTAGCGCTGCTGCGAGTGACAGCAGGGACAGCGGGGGTGACGGCGGGTTTGCCGTTCACAGGAGACGATGAGGCGTCTTTCGCATTCTGCGAAGAAGACGAAGCTCCAACCACCGCGGGAGGGTGGGATCCAGTTGCGACTATAGGGGCCTGGGCTGACTTCTTAGGCGCACCTGCAGCAGAGGCATACGAAGAAGCCGTAGTCGCGGGGGTGTTGTTCGCCTGGATGGGGTTCTGCTGGTTGGCAGGCGACGTCATATGGGGAGTTCGGTGCCGTTCGCGATGTGAGATTGCGGTGGTGTTGGGATTTTTTTTTTTGTGGGCGTCGAGGGAGAAAGCGGAATAGATGGCGCCGGGTGCCGGGTAGGGACGTGGAATTATTCGAAGCTGCAGCGGGGCAACAAGATTCGACGACGAAGAGAGACGCACAAGTCGTTTCCCTTTTTAAAAATAAACGAAACACCACAATCTCGGGCGGAGAGATCTCGTAGAAAGAAACGACGGTAAGTTCGATGGGCGGCTTGAGAGGTCGAGATAGGCCGAATCGAATCGATCGATCACAGGAGAGCGAACAAGGAGTGCAGTCGTACCAATGAAGGCGATCGTAGAGACAAGACGGGTCAAGCTACGTACGATCCTGCGCGGCAGCGACAGAAGAAGAAACGGAGGGGAGAGGGTCGCTGTGATGGTCTTAACACACACAGGACGTGGTTCCAAAGCAGAAGCAAATGGAAATGGGTCGGGTTAGAATATTTTCCACCGGACCAAGAAGGTTGAGTTGGTGAGGATTCAGAAAAAGCCGGCAAAAAAATTTGGGCAGCAGGATATGATAAGGACTGACGGGAAGGGGCGAGGGAACAGGGCTTTCTCCGGCAAGACTATTTAAGCTTTGGGCACTGTGCTCGTAAGCAATGGTAGGCAATGCACCTCGGGGCAGTGAGTCACCTGTAATCAACATCGACAGAGCCGTTAGGGGTTCTAATAACAAGAGCTTTTCAGGGAGTCTATACAGTGTCAATCACTGCCAAGAATGTGTTCAACACTGTCGCTCCCACGGTTTTTTTTTTTTCTCCTTCTTTCTAGGCACAGCCCAAGCCCAAGCCAAACATCCAGGCTCCAGTTGGTTGGTTAACCCGGCTTGACCTCCAGCTAAGAAAAGACGCCGCATATCTAATTTCTCCATCCATTCGCCCACAAAGAGCACTACGTCAATCCCGTCCCCGCGGGCGAGGGCACGCTAGTTAAGGCGATAAACGGAGCCTAAATCTGGCTGGATAGTTCGAGACATTGGAAATAACCACTGTACTTCGAATGAGGATACAGATATAGGAGAGGCATGAAAACTTACGCCTCTAGTCCAAGTGATGAAAAGATTTAGGAAAGTTTGGCATCCATTCATCGATCCTATAGGCTGGCTTATTTTATCACCTTAACTTTACGTCAGAAGTTCACAAGGGAGGGTGTTATTGAGAATTTGAGTATGAAGGTGGGAATAAGAATCCACCTCACAGACGCATACAACGAATTCAGAGACGCTCAGGCTGTCGTCGTCGGATGTCTATCAAGTAACTTCACTTTCATGTGGCAGGGAGTACTCAACTTAGATGACTGTATATTCAATCTGCCTAGCATGACATGCATACACTCAATGAAACTAACATACCTGTAATCTAAACACAACACCAGGCTTAGTAGGCAGAGTAGGTTTCAGTCAATTCAACAATACATGTATGCTATGCCCTCAGTATTGTCCTCGTAAAGCGCTTTCCGGGCGTATTGATATTGATTCCACCGATATCTTTACCCCAAGCGACGCAACACAAACTAGCAAGCACATAGATACGCGGGCCCTCAGTCCGATGGGCCGGCTTGTCTGTGCTCATCAAGGCGATCCGCAGGTGATGAATTCAGTACGATTGCTACGGCGTTTTGGATGTGAACACTGAAGGCCATTGTGCAAGGGAACAGGGCGTAAGCAGTGGATGTCAAGATTGTTAGGGCAAACGGCAATTCCGAAATGGTCGTCAAAACATGCGATTTCTACGCCTCATGCCCAACCCTCCCCATTGATAACTCGACAACAATGAATCGCCCATAAAGAAGTGGAGTGATAAGTGACACTGGTGTGAGAGCGCATGGGCCAGGCGTGGGCATCTGCTGTAGAGATAAATAGACAAGGGCATGTCGGGAGTGGTAAAGGAGGATATTGGCTATTTCAGGGCATCTGGCTGTTAACTTATCAGGGGCAACAACACCAAAGGGGGTCAGTTCTGTGTTCTTCCTATTTGGACCAAGGTTGTAAGGGTAACAATGTTCAAACTGGTAATGGATATCTAGCAGTCATTCCGACTTGAACTATGACCTGATTCGTTCTCATGAAATGGCTGACTGGACTGACTCACGGACCTGTCGACTTGCGGCCCAGCCAACAAACTAGGTGTCCAATACCAACTGAGCCAAACTTGGTTCAACCTCACCAAAGCAAGAATCCTGCACGCACCCTCACCACTATCGTACTAAGTCCGCAAGCTCCGGTCTAGGCATCATTCTGGCAGGCTGCAGTAGGACTGGATCTGATGAATTGTTTCTCCTCTTTGTCCTCTTCATACTCATCATACTCAGAAGGGAAACCCGAGCCAGTCGATGTATACTCTCTCTCTGTCTCTCTCTCCTTGTGTGTTATTGCAAACATGGTTTGGTTTGTCTTTGATACTCCGAATTCACTTATCGAGATTTCTCATACTCTCAAGTGATTCTTACAAGCAGCTCCTGATTGTCCAAAGTCAGACGCACAGATACTAACATGTCTATCTATATCAAACGTGTTATTTAGTCCAAACTCTAACAAATGACAGGAGCTTGATACCGTCACTCTCAAAGCATCTGCCTGTTCTTACTACCGAGACTGATGTGAGAGTTTGCAAGAAAAGAGTCACAGTATATGACCAATAAAAACAATTAATATTTAATTATTCATCGGCTATTCCCTCTTTCGTAAGTAAATGCAACATGATCGTTGGCATTGTCGTCACACAGCCTAAGATTCTTTCTACCCGTGGGATAGGTTAGTTGATACTATCACTTGCAATCAGTAACTTCACATAAGCATCACTTTGACAAGCATCATTTTGATCTAGATGAGGCGTCCCGTGTAGACTAGTATTACTGGCCGTCCTGATCTTGTTGTGGACGGGTCTCACCTTGTCACCTAATCCGTGTTGAACATGTACCTGAATGGCCCTTCCCAAGCCAAAAATATTCCCAATTTTTGCTCTGCTTCACATTGATACGTTGCTTGTTTGTTCTATCTTGGCATTCCACGACTTGCATTCTGTCTAAGCGACTTATCTTCTGTTCAACTTCGAACCACGTCAAACACAAAACCCTCTCTCAAAACTTTAGTCACCTGATTATGACGAGATGCAATCAAACCAATGACACAGACACAATTGGAAGAATTTGACATCTTGATACATGATGTAATGATGTGCATCGCACGTGTGATCGTCGAAACCAGTCAAGAAAAAAGTATGTGTAGCCAAACTTTAACAGACTGTATTACTCGTTGCAGAACAACTACAAATATCAAGTCGATCTAGCCAAGCAGATACTAGAGAGTCGGCAAGGACGTATATTTATGAAATAAATGATCAGAAACCTCCAAGAAGTTCGATAGCCAGAAACCTCAGAACTAAACCCTTAACCTTTTCGCACCTCTTCTTCTTTGGCTTACTGCTGGAGACTGTCGATCACCCGCTCTTTGCCCAGCCCAATGGCGCTAGAGTTCGACTATTCTCAACGGTTGCAGCAAATAGTGATTTCTAACGAGCACACGCCAATTGAGTCAAAACAGGAGCCAGCGAGGTTCAGTCGGAGGCTCAAAGATTTACGGATAGACTCAGGGCCTCGGTTCTCATGCTATATGGGTCCTTGTAACAACAATTCCTCTTGTCTTGCGCCGTCCGAATAATACACAAGTGACTTTTCGATCAGTATCTCTACTCTCCTTCTCGAACTTCCAAGATGTCTGCCTCGACCTCCTCTTCTTCGTCATCTTCCTCGTCTTCATTATTGCCATACCCCCCTTCCTCGTCTTCAGGCTCTTCCATGATTGTCTCAGGCAGTCCTCCCTGTTCTGCCTCGAGCTGCTTGATCTTTGTGTTGGTCATCTCAAAGACATATTGGCCCAGGTGCTCTACGCCTTCCATTGGTACCTCGCCCTCCACAGCTCCTAGCTCCTGAGTGACCTCTCTCTGCGTAGGCCAGAGCTCTCCCGTTACCAGCATTAGCTTATCTGGTCTTTGAAGTAATAGGTCAAAGGCGGGTCGAAGCTCAGGGCATGCTTCGAAAACCTCACGGCGGCCGAGAATGTACAAGCCAAGTCTTGCTCGAGATAGAGCTACTGTCATGCGTCGCACGTCACGTAAATAGCCCACACGTGACGTTCGGGTAAGAGACAGAATGATATCTGGAGGGGATGTTAGTTTGGAAATTGCTATAAAACGCACAACACTGCACTTACAATCGTTCTGTTCGCCCTGGTACTTGTCGACAGTAGCTACCGCCTTGGGCATACCAAAGACGGGGTTTCGGGCGCATCTATGTGAGAGCACATCCTTTACCAGGGCTCGTTGACCAGCGTAAGTTGTAAGAATGGTGATCTTCTCAGCAGGGTAACCCAGGAGGCGCATGTACTGGAAGATGGCCACTGCGTACTCGGCCTCACCAAGATTCTGGATAAAGTGTGGCGTGGGTTCAGCCTCTCCCCGACCCTTGTAGTCAGGCACGTTGATAAACTGATAGTCAAACTTGAATCCGGCATTGGCCTTGACAAATTCAGCACTTGTCTGCACCTCGGGAAGGTTGTCAAGCTTGGGGTAGCGCCACTGGTAAAGACTTGCGATCGAACCACGAGCACGGCCCTGCTGGTCGAGGGTGACCGTAGGAACGCCCAGTCTGACCAGTCTTGAAAACAGTGACTGCTCAAGGTTGGCGTAGTGACGGAATGCCAGACTTTGAATGACCGGTGAATTCTGGAAATGGTCTCCGCACAAAACAACCCTTTGTAGAGGCAATTTACCATTTCGAGGCTTCTGCATCGCGAGGGGCAAAAAGGTCTCGATTTCGGTCACTTGAGCAGCCTCCTCCATGACTACATTGTCGTAATGGAAACCAAGTGATGCAATCTCTCCTCTTCTGATAGCTGCATGTGTTGTCGTCATGGCGACAATGCGCGCCTCGCTGGTGAGCAGGTAGTTTGCCTTGTCACGATCTCGTCGGAGGATCTCAAACGGAAGTGCATCAGCCAGCTCCGAGAAAATCTTGGAAATATGACGGTAGCAGCCTTCTACGACTTCGAGCACTTGCTCTTTATTACTCTCTGGGTGGAAGATAGGTTGCGGGACATCTGAAAAGTATGAATGGAAGGGGAAGGCTGCCACAATCTCAGCAGCTGTTGATTGCTCGGCGTAAGCGATCTGCTTGAACCTGTTCCATGCTGGAGCGACGTAGACATTATTGAAGTAACCTGCTGTCTCAGCTGAGTTCTCATGAGCTCCAGGGGCGCCAAGGCTGGTTGCTAGTTTCCTCACTTCCAGAAGATAACGGTCTCGGTTTTCGAGGAACGACTCGACTCGACCATGCTTGCTGAAGTTTCCTTCCGTATCTAGATCCTCTTCGCCGTGTCCGAGACGCAACAAATGTCGCTCGTCGATATCGAGGGCGACGATCTTGGCAAACAGCTGGTTGAGGGCTTGATTGCTATGAGCAAGAAGAAGCGTCTTCTGCTCGGGATAATTGTGATAAATGTTGTTGATAACCTGTGTAGCAACATCCGTCTTGCCTGTACCGGGAGGTCCAACAATGACAGTGAGTCCAGGTTGGGTGCCTGAAGTAATGGCTTCAATCTGAGCGGGAGTGAACCGTACCGAGTTGAGCTTAGGGTTATCAACGGGATAAGGGCCGTTGTTGGGGGGCTTATAACTCGATACCTTCAGAGTCTCAATCTCAGCGATAAGTGCAGGATCGGCATCTCGACGTCGTTTTTTGGAAGGCTTGCTACCTTGAGGCTCCTCTTGCTTCTCGACAGACTCTAGGACGTAGGGCGGTCCAAAGCTACCAGAGACGTCGTCACCTGGGTCAATGATCTTACCAGGGAGACTTTCTGCTAGATGCTGCCAGTCAAGAAAAGTATCCCTAAAGTCGACCTTGCGTTCGCGGTTTGGCAAGTTCTTGTAATGCGCTCCAGCAGGATCCCCATAGCCAAGAAAGACCTCATGAAGCCATTCCGGCAGAGGAACATCTGACAGCACCAGGCTTCGAATGGATTCCAACACAGGCTTGAAGTTATTTTCCCTTCTGCCTCTTCTCAGCAGAAGGTTAACTTTGCCATAAACATCAGGCTTGCCAGCCGCCGCCCGCTCAGCATCTTTGCTGTAAGCATGTGTGTCCAGCTTGAGTTGGATGCGGCGCTTGGTGTCAAGTTTTCCTGCGCCCTCTCGAGCATGGCGGCCTTTATCGTCGGTGATTTGATGGATTTCGGCGGTTCGTACAGTTATCACACCCAGTCGTTCAGACTCTGACAAATTATCTCCTCCATTGCTGATGGACTTTGCTAGTGGTGGCTCGACTGCAATGAGGAAAACAACATCGTCCTGTCGGAGAGAATCCCACTCTCTTCGGACTCCTTCACCCAGACGTCTAACGTCAAAGGAAACTTCAGCGCGTACCGTGGATGGCTTGTCATCTCCAACAAGAGGAGGGACAACCTCAAGGATGGCTGGCTTTGAGATCGGCATCGCCATCTTTGAGAAACCGGCAAAGTTTGTTTCATCTGATCCTTTTGCCTCTGGGCGTAAACGCCTCAAAGCAGTCTCGATATCCTTTCGAACTCCATAAAAGGACTCGCACCGATACAAGATAAGTGACCGCCACAGAAAGTCGCCTATTGAGAGATATTGAAGGTTCAGTTTAGGAAGAGCCATCGGATGTGAGCCATCATATGTTTCTGCCTGCTGGAAACTGTTGTCAAATATTGTCTCCTCGGTTGGTGTCAGACTCATATCTCGTGCCGCCTCTTGGAACGTCTTTCTGCGCTCAAAATTAGACAAGAGCACTTCAAGCAACAACTTGCGATCCATTGGTAGATCCAAGCTCTCGGGGTAGGCTATTCGGAAACCAAGCAGAGATACCAGGCTCAGAAGTTCTTCATCTGTCAACGGTTCCAGTAATGCCTGCAGTTCATGCCTTTGGTTAATGGCACCATAGTTCGACAGAGCCAGTACCGTAAGCTTCTCTCTGAAATGTTTTAGAGCAATGCGTTGCAACTTCGCGAGTGACGCGCAATGTTTGTCGTATGCCTCTGTTATGCTATACTGGGCACCTGTCTGGTCATTGATATCAAAGAACGTAAAGTGGGAAAGCAAAGCCTGGAGGTCGCGAAGAAGAGTGTTTTCCTCATCGTTAAACATCGGTGATAATCGCATAGCAGGAACAACATGAAGATCCTGAATCAAGGTATTGACATATCGTCTGGTTGGAAGCTGGCCCTGAAGATCGGCAAGAAACTCAGTGAAACGCTCACAGTAGAGAATTTGGTCTAAAAACAGGTTGTCAGCGGGATGTCGCAGGAGATCAGGGCCAAGATATTTACTTACCCGCCTTTCTGTTCTCCGTATACAGCAGACTCAAAAAGTCGAGGAGAAGTGTATAAAGCCAAGATCGCTCGAACCGTAGTCGTGCCTTATTGGGCTCATCAGCGGCATCATATCGCTTGTGCGCGGCCTTCCAGGCTTTTCGTAGATGAGGGAGTTGATCTAGACTAGCTTCGCGCGATGAGTCGGTGGACAAGTTGTGCCAAATACCGATCGACACAAGAGGGGCACATTCTTTGCGGACGAGGGTGCAGTCGAGACTCTGGAAAGCATATATAAGGAAGCAGAGAAGTTGAGTCCGGAGCGTAACGGATAGTGTTCGATCGAGCATCATCGACAAGAGTCGGCGGAAAAGTGAAGAGAAATCGGCGGGTCGGTCCTCGAAGAGCGCTAACAATAATTAGTTGTCGGTCTGACAGCAAGCAATGGGGACTCACTCCATGTCGCGAGATGTTCTCGATGTTTCACATTTGCGATGAGCGCAATCAACAGAACGTGAAAGTTGGAAGCCTCCTCTGTGTATCCTGGCCATAGATAACTAGGGGGGGATGCAGTCAGTATTTAATGTCCAGTTACTCGTGTTTCTGACAGCCATACCTCTCTAAAGTCTGCAGGCTCTCAAGAAGCAAAAGAGACTTGTACTGGAAGCCCTCGCGTTCAAGTACATCCCAGATACTTTGTTTGAGAACATCGTTCTTCACCTTGGGCTTCGCTGGCTTCTTGCCAGCTTTCAACCAATGCTTTCGCGCCAGTTGGACGAACTGATGCTCCTCCTCCTCAACCTCGGCCGGGGTTGGCCGTCCATCGTTGACTTTTGGCTTTGGTTCATTCTGCTTTTGCGCCTTGGCAGCGCCGCTGCCCTTGAGTCGCTTCACTGTTGGCATTGTCGCACTATCGTGTCGTCATGAGCCTGTTGAGTAGTTTGCGAAAGTTCGCTCATGAGATGAAGCGGCAGAGCCAAGCAGTCGCGTGACCGATGGTGTATTCGAAGGACGAAGCTGAACCTTTGGAGCTTGCACCTTGTATGTCTAAAAGTGACCTGCGCCTCTCAAACAAACCGTCTCCAGAATTTCAGCCTCGCAGACCCACGCGACGCGCTGACTGGGTCCAGCCACATGCAAAGTAGCTCGATTGAATAGATACTTCAAGGCTAACGTAACTTTGGCAATTTTGTAGGTTTCAGTTTGATCGTGATACTTTAGCGTTGCTCCACGACGTCTCAGCCTTCTCGCTTCAAACATCTAATCCAATCGCAACTGCGTGCCCATTCATCATCTTGATCAAAGAAAATAGAGCCTCCCTTTTTTTGCTCATACCGACAAATCATTCTCAGCGTCTACGACATATCTAAGAACTACCTTGCGATTCGATCTTTGCAACGTGGCGCATAAATACAACCATTAGTATCCTTCACTTCATGATAGCCTCAACGAACTTTCATCCACAACGACTACTCTAGTCGCGCATCATGGCAGCGCAAGAGATAGACAATCCAGCTGCACCGGCGATCGCAGCTTTCACGACTCTGCTAGAAGAATTCCTTTCCCAAGCAGAGACCGCCAAGCCAACATCAGCGATTGAGCCAGCGTTGCGCAAGTCCGATTTCGACGACCTCTCAGGCCGAGTATCCAGAACCGCGGACGATGTTTCCAGCCCAGCTGCTGAAGGTGCTGCGTCAACGATCGACAAAGGGCGACAGTTTGCTATAATAGAAACTGCCGCTCGTAACATATTCAGTCAACTCATTGTAAACCCCGACTCTCCCATGCGATCCGCGCCTTGCGCTGACCAAAATAGGCGACAACCACCATCGATTCTCCCGACTATGTCAAGGTGTGGAACCTCCTCGATATCCTGTCGATTCTTTCCGACGATGGACAATGTGATCCCGCGCTGTTGTTCTGGCTAGCAGAGGAACTACTGGACAGTCAAACTATTGCTGGCTGTCGTAAGATCTTTGATTTCCTTGAGTCGAGGAGAGAACGAATCACAGCAAACCATTTCAAACAAAAGCAATTGATTATTCTTCGAACATGCAATGAATTACTACGCCGACTATCTCGTGCAGAAGATACTGCTTTCTGCGGTCGCGTTTTCATCTTCATGTTCCAAAGCTTTCCTCTGGGCGACAAGAGTTCTGTGAACCTACGAGGCGAATACCATGTCGAGAATGTCACGACCTACGAGGCGACGCGGGCAGAGGATGAATCTAAGATGGTTGTGGACGAGCCAGAAGAGCAACTAAAGGAGCAAGCAGAGTCAAAGTCCACACCCAAGTCAGCCGATGCCAAAAAGGCAGACAAAGAGAAGCCCCTATCGACAGACGAGCTTTATCCACTATTCTGGTCCCTTCAGGAATACTTCAGTCAACCCAAAAAGCTTTTTGAGACTACCAATCTGACGTCTTTCAAAGAGGGTCTAGCAGCCACAATGAAAGTCTTTCAAACAGTCCACAACGATTCAAGACGAAGCCTCAAACGAAAACGAGAGAGTGGAGAAGAAGATGAGAGTTCTAACACATTCAATCCCAAATATCTCACTAGTAAAGATTTATTCGACTTGGAGGTAGTGTCTCATAACTCAGTCTGACTCGAGTTTAAGCTAACAACAATACAGATCAGTGATTTGTCTTTCCGACGACATATTCTTGTGCAAGCTCTCATCATCATGGATTTCCTCATCTCACTATCCATCCAAGCACGAGAGCGACTTACAGAAGCTCTCCCCGTCAATGCCAGCGTAAATAAGGCCGTCATGTACAGTGACCAAGTCCTGAGTGACGAAGACGTAAGTATTTCAGGAACTAGACCACAGCAGAGAGCGCTTCAGCTAACCCTTTCTCAGGCTGAATGGGCTAGTGACATGAAAAAGACTATTGCGGACTACCTCCGCCAGGGTGCTGATGGTCCATATTTTTATCGAATGGTAGAAACCGTGCTGGCTAGAGACAAGAACTGGGTTCGCTGGAAGATTGAAGGCTGTCACCCCATCAAACGAGACCCAGTCTCGCCGGCATCCTTTCTTGAGGCAAAGGCCAACGTTCAGAAAATGGCTACCAGCAAGCGGCTAAGGTCGGTCCCTATGGGCTCTGTCTCCCTGGACTTTCTCAAGGAGGAGGATGAAGAGACAGCGATGAGTCGACTCAAAGCCAAGGAGCGCTATGAGCTACCAGAGCTCGACACGTTCAAACGTAAAATTGCCGACGACGATTTTGAGATGGATATGCCAACAAACGACCAAACCAAAGCTGCTGCTATCGCTGGCAAGGCCAGCAAGAGCTGGAGAGCACTACGAATCGCAGCGCGCTCAAAACTTGCCGCGCTCGACAAGATTGAAGATCCTAAGAAGATTGATATCGTGTTCGAGGAGCTTACAGAAGTGGATGATATCGAGGACACTGCTGAGCCCACAGCAAATGAAGAAGATATGCCCTCCAACCGAGAACCTATCATCATCTCTGGCATTACAGGCGTAGGCAAGTCAACCATTATCAGAAGACTTATGGAAGAGCGAAAGGGAGTGTTCGCTCCTGTTGTCCGCCATACCACACGAGAGCCTGTTGAGGGTGAAGTCAACGGCAAGAGTTTCCACTTTGTCAAGCAACAAGAGTTCAACCAGCTACGAGATGGGGACCGCTTGATAGAATCAGGTACTCGGGACGGCGTCGATTACGGAACCAGTTTCAAGGCCATCGAGGCTATCTCAGAGAGTGGCAAAGTGCCAATAATCGAACTAGATATCGAGGTAAGTCAAACAACTATCAAAATACGTATTTTACTGACAATTACATATCAGGCTGCCCAATATGCCAAAGATATGGACTTCCAGGCACGCTACGTGCTCATTACGACGTCTACCCCTGAACTTCTCAAGCAGCGCCTCGAGGCTTCGGGCAAAGAAGAATCCGCCATTCAAGATATCTTAAAGAAATTTTCTACAGAACTTGAGTCGAGAAAGGTCGACGAGCTGTTTGACACATCAATTGTCGACGACGATGACGTTGAAGCAGTCAAGGCTATTGGGAATTACATATATGGGGAAAGTGAGGGAAAGCAGGGCTTGAGTGAGGACACAGCTATGAAGGACGAGGAGGAAGATACCACCAAGGTCGCCGAGACAAAGGAGGCCACGATGACAGATGCATAATACTGAGATGGAGCATGTCGAAATAACTGTGTGAATTATCTGTACTTGTAGACCAGTCTCAGGTGAACTGGCAATGGGCAAAGCGATGTTCCCATATTTTGTGTGAACTAGTCATCAACCACAAGCATTTCACTGTCTCTTGCGCTGTCAAAGAGGCAGAGCACATCAGAAACATCAGGTTTCGGGTAAAAGACCAACAATAGAATTAAGCTATCTGAGCATCAACAATGCACCACAGAAGCCTGCCCGCAAAACACACAAGGCACGAAGCAAATCAAGTACCACACGGGAAGAAAGACTACATAAACAGGATTTTACTCCTCGTCAGAAGACTCCTCCGAATCAGCCTCGGCAAGCCAGGTCAAGAAAGGCTCAGCAGCCTTGCGAACCTTCTTGGAGGTGGAGATGTCAGTGTACTTCTTGCTAGCCTTGGATCCCCACTTGGTCACGACCTCCTCGCTGATCAGGTCATAGTGGTAGTAGAGCTGGAGAATCTTGACGATAGACTGGAACATCTCGGGGTGGTCGGCGGCCAGAGTACCGACGAGACGTTCGGTTCCACCGAGAAGAGCCTTCTCGTGACGCTCAGAGGTAACAAACTGTTGCACATTAGTACATGGATGCTTCGTTAAAAAACGAATTAAACATACCTGCTTGAGCATGCTAGCACGCTTGGGAATTTGGGCAACAATGTTCTTATCGAAGATGGTTTGGACAAGAACAAGAACACTACGATGCTTGCCTTCGATACCAAGCTCCTTGGCCTTGACATAGATGTCGATGGATTCGACCTTGTCAACGCTGCCCTTCTCCTCGGCCTGGGACTGAATCCAGTCGCCAAGCTCATCGTAGATGGTGGGGCCACCCTCGCCTTCTTCATCATCATCATCGCCAATATTGAGCTTCTGCTTGAACTCGCCGGGGAGAGAGGCCTGACGGGCCTTGACGGCTTCCTCGCTCATGTCAACAGCCCATTCATGCTCCTTGACTTCGTTCTCCTGAGCGGCTTCGGCGGCCTCTGCCGCAACCTTTTGGAACTCGTCGTCACTGCCAACGTCCTCGTCGCCGTTATCGTTTGAGCCGTTCTCAGATGCCTCATCACTGCCAGCACCATTCTGACCATTGGTGCCGTTGGCAGCATTGCCGTTCTGTCGAGCCTTCTTGGCAGCCCTGCGCTCGGCCTTGTCCTTCTTGCCCTTCTTGGGCTGGTTCTTGAGGATAAAGCCACTGAGCTTCAGGCGGATGTCGACATCGGTACGCTGACCGCAGGCTTTGCAGTCAAGCAGGATACGATCATCCTTGATGACAACATCGGTCTCGGGGTTCTTGCATTTCTTGCAGAGGACGAACTTGTTGATGAACCCATCGAGGTGATCCTGAAGCTTGGGGGCATCGTGAGCACCGTTGATGATCCAACGGTCGTCTTTGGGATCAATGTTGGTCTGAGCACCAAGCTCAAAACCAAAGTACTTAATGACATAAGAACCAGGGCGGGCAAGAGAGGCAGCAACGCTGCTCAGGTTGACGACGACGGTCTTGATACCATTTCCTTTACCTTCAATCTTGGTCTGCAGACGCTCCATCTTGTAACGATAGAAAGCATCGCTGACATCGCGACGAACGTTGACGAGAGCCATGGTGGCGGTATTGAGTAATTACTGTCTGAAAGATAGAGTTGACAGAGCAAGGCGGGTGAGCGAGGCTAGTGGTTGATAGAGTCGTAAGATGACGAGGATGTCATGTATAGACTTGGTAGCAGAAGATGACTTGAGGGTGGGCGGAGCAAGGAAGGTTTCAGTGCTCTTGATGATTTTTGATTGACATGTGGCAGACCGGATGTATGATCGGATGCTGGTGGTGATGCATAGACGACAATGGTGTCTCTAGAGTTCAACCGTCGGAACTGATGTCGGGGCTACAAGGCTTTCGCGGTATGCGAAATAACTGCAGCTTGAAGAGGTGTCTGAAGACGGAGAGCTGGTCGTGCTGATACATAAACAGCAGTGTGGTTCGGCGGATATATGTGTTCGGGAGGTCCGATTTCGTAGGGAGCAAGCGAAGACCGGCGAAGAGGGTGCTCCAAGGCCAACACTACACTATTAACGATGCGAAGTTCGTGAGCCAGGTATGAGTGGCGGGGAAGTCAGGTAGGCGATGCGCGCTGCGACCGGAAGAGTCAACAGGCAAGTATGAGAGTGAGATGCGCTTGGCGCGATGGGTTCAGGGGCGCTCGGTTGAGTTGAGTTAAGATTTGCTGTCTCGATGAGATGCAGAGTGTGATGTTGAGGAGAAGAAGAGAAAAAATGCAAAAGAGGAGCAACCAGGTGAGTTAAGAAGGAAGGAGGGAGGGGCGACGTTAGGGCCGACCGGGATTTTTGTTTTTTGGAAGCCCGGAAGGGACGCTAAAGAATGGGGCAGGCGGCAAAAAAACCTGACACAACCTCAGATTCAGACAGCCCAGGTCAACCAACATCAGAAGACCCAATAGGTACCTTTGATGTTGTGGTCAAAACTGTCAGAGAATGGCCCATATTAGTAGTAGAGATACCGTGTGAGGCTATTTTTGATAATAGGTTGCCAACAAAGAAGTTACAAAGACTGATTTTTCCGAAGTTTGAAACACTACTACTAACGTCCGTCACCCAAAGACTGGCCACCCCCACAGACCGGCCACCTCACTTTTAACCCAGCCACCCAATTTATATATACTTTAAACAGT